TTCCAACTGGCATCCATTTTATGCATGACAAATTATTTCAACTTTGTCGATTTCAACTCTGACACATCCATACAAAAGAACTACCCCAACAACGGACACGGACTTAGACCTGGGGATCGGGGGAAATTTGACTTTCAACGGGTGGTCCGATATCTTGTGGAAATTTACCGCACACGGGCGTGCACGATCACCAAGCGACCGCTTGTTTATCGCCCTTAGTTGTATATCTATGACAAATTCTGTTGTACTAACTGTATGATTGATCTTGATATTGTAGTTCAGAGATGCATGATGCTGCACTGGTACACTCGTGGTTGTGTCCCGCTTGATGTTCGGTAAATGTTGTATTGCATACCCGCACTGGCAATGGAAGGCGAACTCGAAGAACTTGAGCAGATGGAAAAGGACGAGAGGCTGAAGACTAATTCGGGAAAGAACGTGGTATATCCTGTGCAAAAGTATCGTACTCGTATTGCAGTCACGCACTACAAATCTTTTCTCTAAGATAAACCAGCATTACAAGTTTTATTTCTCATGCTGAAGAAATTTGTAATGCATTTATACGAGTGCGATACTTGTGCACCGCATATGGTAAAAACCGTTTCTGCGTCCCACACCCCGAAGGAAAGCAAGAAGCAACGGACTAGGAATTTGAACAAGAAAACTACAGGCACTCCTGCTTCTAATTCAGCCGGTGCAGTAGCTGGTAGTAGCTCTAGCGGAAAGAAGAAGCAGGGAACAAATAGCGGTGCTGGGGCAAGAACCCCAAGAACTACCGGGCGGAATGTTGATAACAAATCTTCCCTGAACGATGACGATCAGCGGAGTTACAACATCGAAGGTCCTTCGGACGACGATGAGGATGACGTTCCCCAGGACCATTCCGTTTTAGATTTGTGTGCGCAAGAGAAGGCGAAGATGAAGGAACGGGACCGCCTGAACAAACAGATTGCAATGGAAGTAGCTGCTGCTGGTGCTGCTGCTGCAGCAACTCCGTCGGTGCAACAACAGGGCGCACAATCTGGTCGAGCACAACATCAACATGAGGGACAGCAGAATAACATGAACCAGAATCACCACCTCCAGAAGAATCAGAAGGGGTGGAAAAATCGCGGCAGCAATAAATCTGGAGGGGCACCAGCGCCGGGAGTCGCTGTTTGTACCACGCCGATGCACAATAGTGCCACGACTACAGTTCCACTTTCGTCGTCTGGCAACAAGCTCTTGCACGCGGGCAAAAAAGGAGGCAGCAAGGGCGGAACAAATGGAAACAACAACAATCGTGGTTGTACTACCAGTGGGGCGGCATCCGTTCCACTTCCTGGCAAAGGCTCGTCTGGGGCAGGAGCAACCGCAGCAGTGGATTTTGACAACATGATGATGTTGCACCGCCATGGCAGGGCAGGACAACTACCCAACGTGGGTCCACCACCTGCTCCGCCGAATTCTACTTCGAAGGGCAACGTGGCGGTTTTGCTGGCGTTTGATCTGGAGGACTACAGTCAAGACAACCACAGCGAGCTGGCGAAGAGAAACTTGGCATTGATGACGCAGCCGTCGGGTGGTCTTAGGGGTTGTGCTCTTTCGAATGTGGTAAGTAGTGTGCCGACCCAGAATATCCTGAGCAAAAATGTCCCCACCCCAGAGTTTTCATGTAAATCTGCATGCCAAAAAAGTTTCTCACGCGGAGCCCCATTAGAGCCATTTTCTAATCCTGTTTTTGGAATTTGCGATGCTACAATCAGCATGATGTGCTACATCTGTGATGCTTCGGAACTAGCTAAACAGGATTACACTACGAGGATAAACCTGTCATGCGAAACAACCAGAGGTGGCTGATTTGTCTAGCGGATTTTCCATCTTGACTCTGGTGTGGGGACATTTTTACTCAGGATACAGAACTACGCCAACGGTGTGGTGGTGGATCCGATGCAGATGCTGCCGGACGGACAGCAACTGTATTCAAAGAAAAAACCCATCCACATCCAATTTGTCATGCAAAACACGTATCAACTTCAACTCATGTTTTTGTCATGCGAAAAATGGATGTGGGTGGATTTTTTATTTTTTCTGTGGATAAACTGCTGATGCAAAAGATGGCATCTTTAGATCCAGTCCGTCGTGGAGGTCATGAAGATCATCCACCCAAAAATAACACCACCCACGACCACGAACAAAGCTGCAGTGGCGCCAGTTCTTGCGACAGGAGCTCGAATATTAACCCGCCCCCGCCTAACCGGCCGCCGCCCTGCCCAGGTTTGGTGCATCCACCCCTGGACAAAAACCCCCTCGGTGGACAGCACGACAACAAAGTTACTCGACCAGCACACGCACACCAGCAGAATTTTATGCAGCTGGTGCCCACACCGCCTACCCCCGCAGGCGAGCCCCAACAGTTCAATTCGTGTTTGCAGAAGATGCGCTACTTAGCAGGCGGCGGTGCTGGAAAACAAGGACTACAACCTCCGCAGCAACAGGATCAACACTTTCGAGCATCTGACTCTGGTTCTCTTACGGATCATGTTCAAAATGGTCGTGAGCACAGTAACATCAATTATATCACGAGAAAAAAGTGTTACAGTTACACATTTGTTGGAGTTTCTGCATCACAAATTTTCTCTGTGTGGCAGAGAAAACTTGTAATGCGAAAATCATAAGGGAAAACAGGAAGGAAACGAGGCTCCCGAGCATTTTCTGCATGAGAAAGGTTGGTTGTGTTGCCGGTCTTGCAACACAATGTGTAACTGTAACACTTTTTTCCTGTGATAAATTACCCGCCAGGATTACTCTCCATGTCGTCAGCATCTTCCTCATCCGGTCATCTGACCTCTTCCGCCCTGTTGGTACCTGATCCATTATTTGATTTGGGTAGCATTTTGCTTATTGTGGCGCGAACACAAACTCCTTCCCAAATCCCCAGAGCGCTGGCGCCCCAAGGGCTCGCCGCTTTCTTCCTTCGTTCGTATGTTTCACAAGGTCACACCCTTCACAGTGGCGGACTCCGGATCTGTATCAAAGTGCATCTGCGCTGCTTCGCAGCGTCCTATGTACAACTAAATACAGTCGCGGGGCGCGCAACAGGGACCGCACCGCAACGCCCGCGCCACAGAGGTGGCTGCGGGACGTCGCACTTCTCCGCCCACAGACGTGGGTCGAACTGTGCTCCAGCACTGCACAGAGAGGTAACAGCGCCGGGTGCAACAGAGGCTGCAACAAGTCCCGGACCCTCCCCAACAGAGGTCGCGAGCGGGCAGTGGCGGGCCACTGCGTCGCCGGAGAGAGGGGCTACACGCCCGCTGAATTATATATATTCGCGTCATAGACGTCAGGATGTGCCTTGCTAGTGTGTAAACATAAAGAGAGGTAGTCAGCAATAACGCGCGCGCGTTTGTCGAACAAACATGCACACGCGCAGTCCCCCGCTCCACATTGCGTATCGCCATCGGCGTGGGCATTGGCGTCAACACTGGCTGTGTCCCCAGTCCGGCTCCCCCGGGTTCACCATTTTTGTAGGCAACAAGGGCTGGCCACGGGAGAACAAAAATGGGACCACAGAGGTGGTTAGCCCAGCCCATTCCGGCCCTCACGAGGTTCGCGCTAAGTAATGCTGCGCGACCTAGTCCTATTTGCGATGCCTAGAATGTGATGTCTGGAATTCGTTGCATAGATTGAGAATGAATTAGGTTATGGAAGCGTCAGGTTTGAAATGGTCAAAGTTGAAATAATTTGTAATGCATAAAATGGATGCCAGTTGGAACCCAGTTTCCAAGTGGCGCATGACAAATTTCGGTGGTCCCTAAATCCAGTTTGTCATGCTGTTTAGGCAAAGAAGAGCGATTCTCTCATGCTACTTTAGCAGCTCGAGCTGTAGCCCCAAACAGGCTTACAATCGGCCTCGCTTGCCTGCTCTGCAACGCACGTACCTCGGGTCATGCATTTTATGCATGACAAATTATTTCAACTTTGTCGATTTCAATCCTGACACATCCATATAGGTACCTCGTGGATTACTCTCCATGTCGTCAGCATCTTCCCCGTCCGGTCATCTGACCTCTTCCCACGAACAGCTCCCGCCCCCGTCGTGCGCGGGCCGCCGCTCGTCCGCTGCAGTTGTTCCGGGGAGTAATATCTGCTGCCCGAGTATCGCAAGAAAAAAGTGTTACATTGTGTTGCAGGCCAAGCAAGACAGACCAGCTCTGTCATGCCAGATACGCATAAAAGCCTCGTTTCCTAGGTGTTTTCCCGTGCGATTTCTGCATTACAAGTCTTCCCTCTCATGCAGAGAAATTTGTGTTGCTGATTTGACTACAAATGTGTAACTGTGACACTTTTTTCCTGGGATACCGAGTCCCACCTCCGCCCTTGACGCCTTGTCTCTGGAAACGCCGCGGCAGTCGACTCTGAACGTGCATATGCTGTGCAAAAGTATCGTACTCGTATAAATGCAGGTCTTGCATTACAAATTTCTTTGTCAAGGCAAATCAGCATTACAAATTTTACTTCTCATGCTGAAAAAATAATTTGTAATGCATTTATACGAGTACGATACTTCTGCACAGGATAGCGCAGACCCGGCAACGGATCTCCAGTATGATGCTGCAGCAGAAAGAGTTAATGCTTATGAACGCCATTTCTGGCAATTTCAGGGAGCCAACTACATCAACGTGTTTCAAGACGCCGCCGCCGCCCAAACACCGAAGGTTGCTGGAACAGCAGCAGCAGCAGTTGGATGTTGCGAGTGCAAAAATAAGTAATACCGCTGGTTGTACTACAACGACTACAGCTGCGTCTGGTTGTTTACCGGCCCCCGCCGTTAATGCGAGAAACACGGACACCAGGCAGAAGAAGGTCCAGGACAACGTGAAGGACAAAGACGCGGCCGCCGAGGTCGCTGTGCATAAAGATTCGAACGATGAAGTCAGGGGCCTGCACCCAGCGCAAGTTTCGTTGAAAAACAACGACAAGAAAAAGACGACGGACTGCAACCTCTCTGCAGTTTCGCACAACTACACCCAGCAATCTGGTTCGAGCGGCGCATCTTCAGCTGCAGCTTGTCCTCGCGCGAGTTCTGCCACGGCACTGCGATCGCCGGATATGAAGCACGATGAAGATCAGGGGTCCTCGGTTGATACTCATACTGATACTTCTAGAGGACCACCTCCACCACGCGACATCACGGCGCTGGAAGCGGAGCTGAAAGCAGCGAAGAACTGCAACCCGGCTAGCCCGTCGAGCATTGTCCCGGTGGAGGAGCAGATGCAATTTGACGCAAAAGTGAAGCTGGTTATTGAAGGCCCAGAGGCCGTAGTGCATCCACCGTCAGGGTCAGGTTCAGGAGTAGCTGCACCAGTAAATAAGTCGAGCACCCCACCCCCACCGCCGCCCGCACTGTCTAGTAGCCCTTGTAATTCCGCGGACACTATTAAAGATACGCCGGACAAAAACGAAAACCACCACCATCATCTTCTTCACAATGATATCACACTGAAAAGTGTTAACGTTAACGGGATTTGGCATGCAGGAATGCACGAGACATGATGCCCAAATTTGTATTGCACAGCATGCATGATAGCGAAAATTTGTCGTGCATGACTGCAATGCCACAAAACCGTTAACGTTCACACTTTTTTGCTTGATAAATTACAAATCGACGGTGGCCGGCACACCGACGCCCCGAGAGCAGCGACAGGTATTGAGAGGACAAATCCCCCCTCCCCAGATCGAAAAGGTATGCTCCTGAAAATTTGTGATGCAGATTTGTGAGCACAGATCCTGTCTGTCTTGCAAGAGGGCAAACTCAGAGACTCCGCCACGATATGCAGGCGATTTGTAATGCTGCAAGACCTATAGGGCAGACGTCTGCCATGCTAGGCCCCTACACCAAGAGGCCCGCCCTTAGGCTTACGATCTGCGTGCAGTCCTTTACTGCAAGACAAATGTGATTTGTGTACTCAAATACAGCAGCACAGATTTCATTTTCGATATGGGGAGGGGGGATTTTTCCTCTCAATAACAGGGAGGTTGTGAGCTGCACAATGTTGCAGGAGCAGCCGCTACGATGAAAATTGATGGCAACAACTCCTGTGGCATTATTGAAGAGCAGCTGCAAAACAAGTACCAGTCGGCTGATGTTCGTGACGCGGCAGGAGCGCCGCTGTGTCGTGACTCTTTCGCGACGTGCGAAGAAGGAGCTCGTCCTTCTGGCTCTGGCTCTGAAATTATCGAGCACGACGTCGGCAATGCTGGCAAAACGACCATTCGTGAAGGCAATATCGACAGCGATGATCAAGATCATCTCGTCATACCGACAGGAGTGCAGGTGAAGGTCATTGGAATGCCGAAAAACAGTAAAGCTGCTTGTGTTTCTCCATCTCCCCCCGTCAGCACCGCTGCGAAGAACAATCTTACGCCGGCCGCGAAGATGTCATCGGAGGGGACGCCTTATGTTTTCTTGTTAGAACCGCAACAAACGCCTTCCTCGACGCGATCCTGCGCTTTGCTGAAAGCCCGGACCAAACAGCACTCGGTGTCCAAAGCGGAACTGCACATGAAGGCACTGCAGCACGAATTTCTGGATTTTGCGGACAGCGATATGAGCGAGGAAGAGAAGGTACACAGATTGGAATCAGGAGAGCAACGGAACTCGCGCAGCTGCCCGAAGGTGCAACTCCCGGCGCACTGGGATTCGGACTACGCAGACGCGTTGGCGACCGGAGGCACGAAAGGCAAACGTGAAAAGAAGAAGCCAGTCGCCAAGAGTCCATATGAGGAGTTTGAAGATGATGATCTTGATGAAGAGCAAGAGGACCACCACGACGGCGCCATCGATGACGGACCCGACAACACACCGCAAGGACGTTGTTTTTCGCGGTGCCAACACCACCCTGTCAACATCATCCCGCCCTGCACGCCGCGGCGGTACAACAATTATCAGGAGCGCGAGAGGTGCCCAGAACTACGCGCTCACATGGAACAATTCGAGCGGGGGGCGCAGAATCAACAACAAGCGAGTTCTTTGTACGATAACTTATCCGCCTACCAAGAGCAGCAACACGACGCGCTTTTGCTCCACGAGAACGAGAACTTTGAACAGGAACAGCATGTCATGCTGAATGCGGGATACCTGGACAGTGGCAGTAGCTCTCCTGCTGCTGGAGCAGGTCAAGGAGCAGTTTCTGGGGCGGCTCTTGAGCTTGAACAACAACGGACGAATAAGCAGGAACAGGACGTCGAGGCGACGACGATGGCAGCTGATCCTGATACTAGCAACAGACACAGCTGCCTCATTCTGGAGGAAACCTTGCCAGCCGCGACGGAAATCATCCGTGTTGGTGATGATATTTCATCTGGAAAGGACACGAGCAACTACAATCAATTACAAACTACAATGCCCGCAACTGCAGCTGCTCCACGCGGCGAACATCAAGGAGAAGAGGAACAGGATGTCGTGCAGAACCAGACTAGAGCTGAAGTTGGAGGACAGGATGAGCACCAACAGCATCACTGCGAGGACGATGAGAATAACGTCGCCAACGACCCGGTGCACACGGATTGCGTGAATCAGTTTTACACTGCCGCGTTCTACAGTGCGTGGAACCGAGAACACCATAAACAGCAGATGGACCTCGCAGCCGCCCAGCAGAACATGCACCGGGTTCCCGGGGGCGCTTCTCCGGGGTTTCAACCACTAGCACTCCACCAGCGCGAAGCACGTCAGACCAGAGCGGGTCGTCGCCGTGGCTGGGCGCGAAGGGTATCAAATGTAAAAATCTCTGGGCCTGGAAGATTGCGAGACTTGTCATGCAGCTTTTCCATGTGGCGTCTTGGTATTTTAGGTGCAGCTTTTCCATGACCCATGAGGTCTGGAATGCAGGACGTAGCATGACAGATTCTGCGCGATCTCTCTCATGCCTATCCTGCATGAGAAACTCCCCTCCGACTTGGTCAAAACTGGACGACTTTTGGCAATCATGCAACACAGATTTTTGCATGCTTCAGATTTAGCGTGACAAGTTGCATTCATCTTCCAGACCCAGACACTTTTGCATTTGATAAAGGGTTGCGGACGACGACGACGGTCTTGCCTACCACGCTCATGGGCCGGCGCATCAACAGCATCAACATGTTCCGCTCAATAATATTCCGCCGCAGCAACAAAATTATCCGATCCAGCCCCAGCCGCGTACCATCGTAGACGTTTTCGGCAACGTCGTTACTCTCGTCGATGAGTCTGCCCTCTCTGATGTGGTCAACGGCTGTGCTGCTCCGGCGTACGGGACAAGCAACCTTCCGATGGCGATGAACAACAATGACCCACGTAATATTGATATTCCGCTGGGTGGTAGTTCGATTAACACTTCTGCTCCTCAGGAGTCGCCGATGGAACATCTATTGCAACACGTGGAGAACCAACAGCAGCAGGATAACCACCTGTACCAGCTGCAAAACCTTCAGAATCCGCAAGGGCACCAGCTGCCACCGCCTCTGAACATCTATCCAGGAAGAAACACCCATCCCCATCCAATTTGTCATGCAAAACATGCATAAGCTGCAGCCTTTGTCATGCAAAAAGGGATGGGAGTGGGTGTTTTTCTTTTTTCCTGGATAGCGTCGGTTTGTTTACCCCGAACTGCGGCTCCCCAATGGAGCAGATGTCCATATGGTGTTCTCAAGCGTTACATTCTCAACTGTTGCGTGAATCTGTAATGCAAGAATGGCAAAAGCCAAAGGGGGAAGATTGCAAAAATTGCATTACAAATGCCACGCAGATTTAGGTGGTGTCTAGCCCTTCGCAAATTTGTCATGCGAAGCAGCTTGATCTTGTTGATGATGATGGTAGTTTTGCATGACAAACTCATGTAACAGTTGAGAATGTAACGTCTGAGAGCTCCATAGTCCATTGCCGGCTCGCCCTTAGCTGCGGCGGCTGCCATGGGAGGCGCCTACCAATTCCAAACAAACGCGATCTGTATCGCTCCGGTTGGAGGTAGTAGGTCCATTGGGGGCAACACGAACGCCATGAATCTTCCCGACAGTAGTAGTTGCAGCAATCTTGTTGGTCCGGCGAATGATGTGGCCGCAGGGGCTTTGTCTGGTCGTGCTGTCTGCACGGCCAGTCCGCATGGTTGTATGGCTCCCGCCTCACTGCAGCGACAGGTGATGTTTGACCACTCGTCGGACAATTTTCGAGATGCCGGAGGAGCTGGAGCTCCTTCCACTGCTGACTTCGGTACAACATTTAACCGTAGCAATTGCCCGGTTGCAGAACTCGATTTGGCCGCACGCGAAGCATATGATGCCGCCAACAGGCTGTTGGAGATGGACTCGTCCTCGGGAGGCGAAAAAGGGCAGGTACAGGTTCGCTATAATGATGAACTCGCTTGTTACAAGAACATTCGTTTTCACTTGTAAGGTATGAACGGTTAAGTACTACGTAGATATGCAAAGAAGCTACAAAACCAAAACAGTACGACACCCATGGGGATCCCTGGTCTAAGCGCTCGGAGCACGATATCGTCCCGCCGCCCCCGTCCCGGCCGCCCCCTCCTGGGCTCCTGCTGCAAGACAGCTCGTCAAAAGGGGTCTCTGAGGAGGAGGAAAATGGTCATCGTGATGTTGAGATGGAAAACGAAAAAATCTACTTCAACGGGGAAGGAAATAACCCGTCTCAAGTTGTCGATCCGAGTCCGAATCCTTCCCCGCCACCCGCGTTGCCGCAGATTTTGCTAGACAAGAAGCGCGATGAGTTGCGCCAGAGGATCACAGATCTGCAGGACTTTTATGGCAAGCAGTGCAACGAAACGAATCCGAATGTTGGTGAGGAGCAGTGTGGAGGTGGTTCTTGTTCAATTCTTCCGCAAAATCAGAATCAGAGGTACAAAGACCAAGTCTCCTGCGCGAGGAACAACTACAGCGAGATTCAGGAACAGCTACAGGAGATGAAAAGGAAGTGCGAAAACCCCACAGACTTTGTTCACACTGGTGGTGCACCAGACGGTCTGCCGTATCTCGAGGGCGCACCTCACGAGCCCAGTGCAGTCAGTAATAGTGCCGGTGGACCATTTCCCCAGCAGTACACCGGAAATTTCGCCGCGCAGATGAATCTCAACGCAGGTGTTGCTGACAATGGCTGCAGCTCTGCTTTCTATTTCGATAACTACACCGCAGGAGCTTGTACTCCGGAAGCCCCCTGTTCTGCCGGTGACGAAGCCCAAGTTGCTGCGGCCTACGCAGCCTATTGTAGTGGTGGCGGTCGTGGTTCTCGTTCTGGCACGACTTTCGGCAGTCCTGGTAGCATGGGACCCGCTCGTCGTGGTCCGCGCTCTTGTGCGAGAAATAGTGGGCAGCATTATCATGATCCGTGTTCACGACCCGGCTACGCCGGCACCAGACGTCGATCTTCGCCGAATGATAGTCCGGAAGTGGAGGTGCCCCCGCACATGGGAACTTCTGCCGACGCACGTGTAAGAGCGCCGTATAATTTCGCTCCGCTGTCATCTGCTCCCTCTCCGTGCTCTTCATCTCCGATGGGCGTAAATGCTATGCACCCCACTATAGACGAAGCGCGAGCCGCGCATCTGGAGCTAATCGGTGCGCAGGCCGCGTACGCTGCCGCGGCGCAGGGCGAGAGTGACGACCAGGCTGTTAGTGCCGGCACGGCGGCCATGTTGCAGGCTGTCAACGCGGTGGCAAACAACGGTGCTCCTGACTGTAGTTCTTGTTTCTACGGCAATAATTTTAACGGATCCACCACTACTTCTCCGACAGGCTTCTACCCGATCACTCCGCAGCATCACCAATCTGGGACTACTGCCCATCATGGGAACTACATGAAAGGGGGAGGCGGAAATAAAAAGGGAAACAAGATGCAATACCACGAAGATGACGTCCACGTCGGCGCGCTATTCCTCGATAACGCCAGTAACTTTGATATCAACCAGCAGAACATCAATCATCAAGAAAACTTCTACGACCGCGGCCGCAGCAATGGCAAAAATACCTCCGCGAATACTAAAGATCACGCGCTGATGGACCCGAATACCGGCCGTCTTTACCGGCCGAGTTCCAATAAAATACCCGGTTCTCGACGAGGTCGGAGTGGAGGTGGTATGATTCCCGTGTATTGCAACAGAGGTGCCGCGGGCCGCGTTTCTTCTCCGACGACAGGTCAACAACGGCATGGGAAGGGCAGCTCGCCAAGATCTACTTTGCAGGGCTTTTTGCAGCCGCACGGAAATAGTACCAAGTTCCTCGGAGTAGAACATCATCAACACGGAAAGATGATGAAGGGCATAAATGGAAAAAGAGACAACAAGAAAGGCGGCGGGTTTGATGGAGGTGACAGTCGACTACAAAAAAATGGGCGGGGTGGAAATAACGATGTGCAGGATTTTCGTGGGAGTGGTAGTTCTCATCAACATGTTGATCAACCGCGTCGCCCGCTGGTCTTGCAAAGGAAACGGAACTACACGCATAATCCGCTGGCAGAGGAGATTTCATTGTTTCACCATGGCATGATGCTTGAGGAGCAGCAGGACAAGTTTGTGATGGGGCTTGACCAGCAGCAGCAAAACAACTTCCCGAACGGGGACAAGAGTGTCTGGCACGACGAAAGCGTCGAAAAGAACCGCAGCTCCAGGCTGCCGTCGAGCGGAGTAGACCAAGCTCTTTTTGAGGTGGATCGTGCTCCCGTTGATGAGATTGCGCCTGCTAGTACTTCTGCCTGTCCCCTGGACGTGCAGTGCTTGATGGATTCGATTGATGTTTTGGAGCAACGTGGATATAGTAGCCGTGGCAAGATGACCATGACCGATCCGCAGAACGGGAACGGCAGCACTTCGAGCAACGACGCTGCTGAAGTCCAGAAGAACTCGACGGATCCCGATCGCCAGCAGGGAAGATCGGATTTCCAAACTGCGCCGTTCTGTTCCATCGAAGGACCACCAGAAAGTGGTGCTGACGTCGCGAGAAAAATGTGTACCCGCTCGCATTCTTCTCATCTGCAGGATAAGTCCTTTGTGCGCACCAGCAGTTCTGCGGTGCTGAGAAGCTACCAACATGAAGCCGCTTGTTCAAGAACAAATGGTGGTAAAGACCAAAGCGCTGTGTTTTTCGTGAAAAAGTTGATCGAAGCTTTTGAACAGATGGTGCCCGAGCGGCTCCTGCGTCCCACGATGCAGAAGGAGGCGCTGGCGCGATTGAAGAAGTACGTTCTTGTTGCGGCGAATTCATCTTCTGGGGGACAGAAGCAGCAGCAGATTAATTGTAACCAGGCTGGCGGTGATCGTGATGTGGGTGCTACAACTTCTACGGGCATTTCTCGCGAGGAGGGCCTACTACTGCTGGGAGGTACAACTCCTGCTGTGGCGGATGTGGAAAATGACAACAAGAATCAGAACTATGACAATTATGGTACTACTGTCCAGCATCAACTTCCTCCTGTTCTTGCTCCTGATGTTGGTGCAAACGGTGCTCGTGAAGGTGTCGAGCAGGAGCCTCCGCCTTCGGTTTTGGGTTGTCGGATCAGAGACAATGGGAACGGCGTCGTCGATGAAACGAGTAGTGAAGAAGGGGGATCTAGGACCAAGTTTCGAAATCTTCATGCACGACCTCTACAGATGTCAAATTCGGGCGAAATAATTGGTGACCATTGCGAACAACAGACCGCTTTGAGCTGCGACGAAAAAACCTTTTTGCGAGAAGATGACGAATTAGATGTTGATGATGACCACGATTTTTTCCTTGCTCCCACTGCTGCTCCTCCCGCGGCCTCCACTGCTGCTACGATTTCCGCGCTGTTACTACCGGGCGCTACTGATTCCGCTGCTTCGTTGCAGCTGGTGGACGAGGGTACTACGACCAGCACGACTATCAAAAATGTGTTGAACAATCAGAAGGACGATAGCGATAAGATTGAAAAAACCACGTCTCATCTGATGCCGACGACAAGCACGCTTCCGGTTGCCGATTTGCAGAAGCTGTTAGCTTTCTGTGAGCGGATTGAACAAGCACAGAATCAGATCAAGAACACGGCTTCCTCGGTGGATCATGCTGGCACTATTGACGAAGATTTTCGCAAACAATCGAAACTACACTACGACCCTAAAAATGCAGTAGAAGTCGGGGATGAGATTATCGATGAAGCCGCTGCCGCTGCTGCTGTGCTTCGGAAAGATGTCGGGATGAAGACACTTCTTCAGCAGGATGAAGAGCGATCCTCGACGCATTTGATGGCTTCAGTCAAGGAACTCGTCCGTGTGGCGTTGCAGGGGCACGCGGCTGCGCAGACCGACACGGGGAGTATTCCGGGGTTCCCGGGTTTCGCCTTCGGATATCCAGGAAAAAACACCCATCCACATCCAATTTGTCATGCAAAACATACATAAAGTCCTGTGCTTGTCATGCAAAAAATGGATGTGGATGGGTTTTTTTCTGTGGATATCGGAAAAGCTTTCTCTATGTCGAATAACAACCCTCCTGCGGCGAGGACAGATCATGTTGCAAGAAACTACGGCACTTCTTCGACTTCCGTTCTTGGTGAGCAGAATATTATCCCGTACGGAAATAATATTAAAACTTCTGCCCACCTATTAGGCGAGAAAAAATCACGGAACGAGTGCAGCGTCAGCACACATTCGTCTGCCGAGGATTTCGTTTACAGTCGTCTACGGGCCCTGGTCCGAGGGGAGTCGATGCTTGCGTTCTCTAGTCGCACGGTCTCGGCTGCCTCTGGAACCTCGACCGCCGAACCTTATCGCATCAGCTCCAGTTGTACGGAAAATCATCACAAGAACACCGTCGCCCCACCGCTGACTACCGCTGACTCCTACAGCGTTGATAAGCTTTTCAACAAGTCAGCTCTTCAGGATATCTTATGTAAAAACGTCCCCACCCCATAGTTGTCATGCAAAAGTGCATGCTCGAAATGTTTCTCATGCGGATCCCCATGAGAGACATTTTCTCATGCTATCTGGAAGTTTGTGATGCTGGAATCAGGATAAGGTAGTCGATTTGTCATGCGGCTACACTACCTCAAAGAGCACTACACTACGAGTATAAACTTGTCATGCGAAACAGCCAAAACTTGTTCATTTGTGTAGCAAAATCCCCATCTTGACTATGGTGTGGGGACGTTTTTACTCAGGATACAGGAACTTGGATTGCTATCGAGTGGCTCCTGGTCTTGTGATTCGACTTTATCGGCGGGCCAGGATCGCGTGAGCAAGCATTTGGACATGCAGGTGGACGAGGGTGCTGGCGAAAAGCTAGACGAGCAACTATCGCCTGCTCCTGGTGTTGACAACAAAAAGTCATTTATTGGCGCGAAGAAGATGCAGAAAGCGACCACTTTTATTCCGCGGGACAGTTACGAACTGAAGACGAAAAGTTTATCCGTTGGTTCGCAGGGTCAGGAAGTGTACTACGGTAATGTCGACCATTGGCTGCCGGAAAACTTGATGACCGCGGCCCAGAACTCGGTCGATACTTCGATCGCAGCCGCCGCGCAGCCCGACGCGTTGTTGACTGCAAGCCGAAAAACTACAATGTCTATGGGCCTTGAGCATGATATTCTGAGTAAAAACGTCCCCACCGCCACCCCATAGTCAAGTTGGGGATCTAGCAACACAAATCTCCAAGCTTTGGGAGCTGTGCATGACAAGTTTCCCTCTGCAGTGTAGTGCTGATTGGCAAGAGATGCCGCATGAGAAAGCCACTTTCGCATCCTGTTTACAGCATTACAGATTCCACAACATGATTGGAAGTGCCTCTCATGGAGCTGCGCATTACAAATGTTCCTGTCATTGCACATTTGCATGACAACTCTGGTGTGGGGACGTTTTTACACAGGATACATGAACAGCAAACTTCATCCGCTCCTACAGGGAAAAAACACGAGGAGCCCCAGCCGATTCAGGTCCGACAAGATGGCAGAAGCAATAAAGTTGGACCTTCTATTGACGATCCCCAAACCCGCGCTGGTGCGGACAATGCTACAGATATTGTTGCTCCAGCGAGGACTCTGTCAAGTAAAAAAAGCGTGGGGGCGACTAGTTCTGGCAATTACAGCGAGGATGGACTGTTGGATGCTGATTTATATCCGGCCGCTCGACGGCGCGGGAAAGACAACTCCAGGAAGAAACACAAGAATCGCAAAAACAGGAACGACAAAAATTCGCCGAGCAACAGGATTATCTTTGTCAAGAAGCAAGTGCAAGAAGGTCTGCTAGATCAAGGAACCCACGCGGGAGAAGTTTCAGCTCCGTGCACAGCAGTTGCCGGACCTACTTCTTCGTCAATTGTTGACGGTGCAGCACTTCCACTTGTTGCGAAAGGCCAGGGGCCGCAATCACAGCCGGGCGTCGCGACTGCTGCTATCGATTCTTGGAAAAGCAAAAAAAGCAGCGCTGTGTTCGAGAAAAGGAACAACAACACAGGCGACGATCAGGAACGAGAAAATCAAAGCTGCAAGGAACAACAGCTGCAAGAGACCTCTTCAACGTCCGACATCAGTGCGACCCGGCGTACTATTCGGAACCAGAAAGAGCGTCAGTACAAAAAGAACCGGAGCAAGTTGTGGGAGGAAAAACGTATGGGGCTCTCAAACGTTACATTCTCAGCTGTTACAAACATGAGCTGTCACGCAAAAACACTATCACTCTTCCCACGATCAAGCCTTCTCCGCATGACAATTCCTCGACGCGCTAAATAGCACTAGAATCCGTGGTGGCCCCAAGTCTGTAATGCAAAAGGCGCAGTCTTCCTGTTTTCACTTTTGCCATTCTTGCATCACAAACTCATGTAACAGTTGCGACGAGTGTAACGTTTGAGAGCCCCATAAAAGAAGCTCTGATCCAGGAGCAGATGGACATTGATCACCACATTTCCATGTACCACCACCATCATGTGTCGCGGGTGATGCCTATGAGAGTGGTGCACAAGAGCTCCCCCTCACGACCCTCGCTTGCCATGCAAAATCCCAAATCCAACTGCTACCCTCAGGGACTGTTTGCATAACAGATTCCAGATGAACAAGACCAAACAATACTACATCGGGAGTATCATGAACATGAACTTGTCAACATGCACAGCACCAGGCTCCACGTGTGCTGGAGCTGGTGTTTGTATTGCTGTTCATGCCATACAAAACAAAGAGGCGGACGAGGAGGGGAGTAGTTGTGCACTCTCATAATTCCGGCAGAGTTCGCGGCCGCGTCACAGTCGTCCTCTTATCGAACTGCCACGAATTCCGCCTCTTCATCTCGGAAAAATACGGAGTGTAATACGAATTCCTCCACTTCATCTCGGAAAAATACGGAGTATAATGTTTTTGCCACGTCGAATTCCTCCGCTTCATCTCGGAAAAATACGGAGTATAATGTTTTTGCCACGTCGAATTCCTCCGCTTCATCTCGGAAAAATACGGAGTATAATGTTTTTGCCACGTCGAATTCCTCCGCTTCATCTCGGAAAAATACGGAGCTTCGCGACAACGTGCTCTTCTGTGGTGGAGGTACTTACGTTGCTTAATGATGTAATCGCGCTTTATTTCGAAATGAGCATCTCCTGCATTAAGTATTTGTCTTTTATTTCGACACCGATTTCATGCACTCTCCAAATCGTGAGTGCAATATATGACTCGAAGCCCTTATTTATAACACCTTCCCTAAAGGAGAAGGACGAAAGGGGAGAGGTTTCGCAACAAGATGAAAAACTACAAAACCGCCATCACGCCAGGTTCGCCGTCAACCGAAACCGGTTACGGATTTACGGGGAAGTGAGGGGGCCACACGACATGCACATTATCGGGTTCACGATTCGAACTAAACGAACCTGTTGACGCCTTTTTTTGGAGACTTCGACGAGAAAAAACAAACTCATCATGATGTACGAGCCGCATCGACCTGCTGTACTAGACTCCACAAGTAGATGTAGAACTACATCATCGCACAACGATGATTGTTGATAATGAAAGGTAATGTTGACGTTCACGGCCCTACTTCAAAAAGGAACTGGCCACTGTACAACTGCCATTCTACATGCACTCTGCATCAAAATAAACCCTGAGGTACTGACTCTGACACATTTGTTCCAACGAAGTGTGTCGGCTAAATTTCTTGCTTTTCGATTTGCAAAAATTCTGCTTTGCAGACATTTGACGACGTAATAAAAGTCCCAGAACGTCGAGAACATTTTGCATCTCATATCTTCTTCATTTCATCTTGCCGCGTTATCCAGACAGTAGAGTTCTACAAGTCCAACTACTAACTTAAGCAATTTGAATATGTCAAATTCGCATTCGGCACCGCAATCTGGTATCTCGACGGTGTCGTGTGCTTCTTTTTTTCTATTCTGAGAATAAAGATTTTTGCCTCAATCCACCCGGCGGCGCAGCTGCCGGTTTCTTAACTTCAAAATTATTTTGGGCGTTGTAATCCTTGTGCTTTGCCATTGAAAATGAAACATCAATAATGACTCTCCGATATGGAGAAGTTCTTCTTTTTTTTTGCCCGACGGAGACCTCTGTCTTCAGACCATTTGAGTAGTACTAGATTATGATTTTTCATTGCATGGATGCAGCTCGCCATTCTGCATCTGCTGCTCGGAAGGTGTAACGAAAGTGAAATAAAACGCGGCGGAAACAGCAGTAGAGCGACGAACACTAGTGCTAGTGGGAGCTGCGTGCTGGGATATCATCAAATATGACGACGTTGCAGCAGTTTATCTAATTCCTAGAAACTAGTACAGTTGTGCACTATGTGCGGCGAAAAATGTTATCATGCGGACACTTCTGATCATGTATCTGTTGTACTTTAGCTTTTCATGAGAAAATTAATCAAAGTCTCGCGAAATAATTTGGCTGCTTAACATAGATACTTACCGATGGCGATGAAACAAATGCAAACATTGAGTTAAGGCCGGAACTCTTCAGCCGATATCTCACCGGCATTTGCTTTTTGTTTTTTCCAATCTCAAGCTACTATCAGGCTATCTTGCAAATCGATTTTGAAGAAAGCGATAGCCATACTCAAAACGGCTCGTCGAGCAACTCGAACTACACATGAAGAAATGACATCAATTTATTAAGTTACCTCTTCCCGCCCAGTACACTTACGGGTAGGTGGAAAGGGGCGTACTAGAAGGGGCAACTACAACAACGGCGCAAACAAGCTAATAGAGAAACACATGGCAACAAAAATTAGAATTACATGAACATGCCGGACTCGCAGGCTAAGAAAAAGTCTTGCCTCCAGCTCCAACCAGATTCCCTAAAGGTTGGCTCTTCTATACCCCCAAAAAAAAAATCCAAAATTTGTTTCTGTACCTGTAGTTTCGACTTTTGTGCTACACCGTAAAAAATACTGCGCATCGATAGATGACAAACAGAATTACGTCGGAACAGAGTTGATTTTAATGGTCGTTTCTAGGAGGAGAAAAACTCTGACCCGCAATTGTGGCCATTTGGCAGCTTCGGGGGTGCTCAGAAGAGAATCAGATGGAAGAACTTCCTCGCAGGACAGCACTACTACAAACATAGTGACTAAGTATGAAGATAAAATTAAATAGTCTTTGCTGTCTTCATCTTCCATCGATGTTGATGTTGTAAGAATTCGTGGAGATGAGGCCGCAACAATTTTCTTTGCTTTTACAGATTTCGTGTCTGTTTTTTTGCTAGTATTCTTCAGGTATGTTTTGCTCTCAGCCCTCCACTTTGTTGTTTGATTCGACGGCATGTATGCATCGTTTATTTTTGCTGGTGTCGCCGATTGATTAGCACCTTTTCTTGTTGTTCTTCCGTCGCTTATTAAAGCGGCTCCGCTCGATAAATTCTGCCCACACGCTTCACTGAGCTCTTCGTAGCTTGTTCTTTCTACATAAATTTCGCTCTTCCGACATTCTAATAAATAGAGTTTCCGAAGATATAACGAAACATACAGATTCACTTTTTTCATCTCGTTGTGAGAGCCTACCCACCTCTACCTTCTTGAGAAACGAGCGTTGTATGCTTAGTGTTAGCTACCCGTAGTTATTCCATAGGCCCACCTCCGTTCTTTCATGCGTTTACTCCCAAATATTGAACTTTTTCAGAAAACCGCAAAAAAATCAGAAAACCGAAAAAAACAAAAAAAGCTCAGAAATAAATTAACAACTACAGGCAAGCAACAGCTCAACGAAGTTGTGCTGCACCCAAACGTAGATGCATTCGCGTGAATGTCTGCTGCGTTCTTGTCCATTTTCATTGCGTGTTGTGGTTGTTTCTCACGTGCGAATTGAGTAAGTAGCTTGACACGACCAGTCATCATTTCTTTTTTTTTTCTCAACACGTAAACCGACGAGGGCGTATCGAGGGCGCTTGTTGCTTGATGTCACCTCAAACAAATAGGAGCAAACAGCCAGCGTTTGAAGTCGAGCGGTGCGCGTTTCTGTTTTTATTCTTGATCTTGAGCGAAACAAATATTACTATCAGCAAAAGAGCCTGACCGAGCGCGAGCGTATGAAGGGTGCGCTAGCGATTCCACGACGTCCTCGCGCGTTTGAAATCAGACGGGGCAGAAGTAGGACGGGGTCCTTTCACCTGCAAATTCACCTCTGAATGTAGTAGCGCTTCTGAATGTACTAGGAAGACGAGGTAGTTCCTTTCCCCTGAATGTAGTAGCGCCATTTCGACGTCCCGGGGCAGAGCGATAATTTCGCCTTCCACAGCACAAAGACATATAGTAAAGACTTGAGTCACCGAGTTTTAAGAGTAAGACTTGACAAAACCATAACAATGCCTACTCCAAACCCGGAACTTGCCGCCAAACTGCAACGGCGCAACCAAGCGCAGCAAGTATGGGAATCCCAGCCCCGCGTCTCTGCTGCGGATGCGGTTTTCTCCTTCCAGCGCAATTCCGACGAAATCCGGGTGGCCCAGCAGGTCGGGCGGACCACCAGTAACGCTCCGTTATTACAGGAGGAGATCAACCGGCGGAGGATTTCGTCAAGCGCAACAAGTCTCCAGCGGGAGCAGCTGTTGCCGGGGTCGGCAAAAAGCTTGTCAGGGACACCGGGGCTGCAGTTTGGGAACGATTTGCAGCAAGACGATGAAAATGATCCGACGTCAAGCAATCTCCTTTTCTCCGCCTGCATGCAAAGTGAAAATACAGAACGCGGCCATGCGCAAGGGAGTCCGCATCAGATGAACATCCATCGTTCTCCAGCAGGAGCGCAAGGACATCTACGACAACAATCCGCGTCTTCCTCTTCCACGAGGGCGTCGACGAAAGAGCAGGAGCGGGGTAGCAGCTACTACGATCACCCGAGCAGCGGATCGTCCACACTGGGTATCAAATGCAAAAATGTCTGGGTCTGGAAGGATGCAACCTGTGATGCTAATTTTGGATTCTACAAAAATCTGTATTGCATGACCAGCAAGAGGGGTCCAGTTTCTGCTACGCGGGGATGCCATTTGTCATGCGGAATAGGCATCAAGAAGCACTCAGAAAATCTGTGATGCCAGGGAATACATCACAGACGTCACGGGCCGTGTAAAATCTGCATGACAAGTTCGCACTCTTCCAGACCCAGACACTTTTACACTTGATACTGGGAGCTCCTGCACAGCAACTCCTGCGTTTACCAGTTGTGTCGTCCCAGCAGGTTGCGCCAAACGAAATAAATCGCAACGCCACCTCCACTACTAGCTCGACAGACAAGTCATTTCTCGAGCGGGTTTCGGGCGGGTTTGGGAGTTTTTTCTTTGGTACAGGAGGAGAGGGAGGCTCTGCTTCTTCAGGCGGAAATGGGACGGACCGGTTTCCAGCAGGGAACGCGGGCACTGGTGGGCAACACATTTCAACACAGCAGGAGCTGCAGGTGCATCTACATAGTCACTATCTTTGGTTGTACTCTGCGGCTACTACAGCGAGTAACTTTTTTCATCCTGCTTTTCCCATACTCAAAATCAAAATCGAACTATATGAAAAGTCATACGTGCCAAGTACATGAAGATTATCAGCCATATTTTATTGAAAATCAGCCAACGACGCCGCACCAACTCCGCGGGCCCAATCCGCACGATCAAACCGTTTTTCCGGAAGAATACCAATCACAATCTGACGCAACTCCACCCGTCTGGCGCCCGACGAGCCAGAACAGACCGAGCTCGAAGCCCAAGCCCGCCTATTTCGTGCAGGCTGCGACGAGTACTCGCGAGAAGAAATTGGACATCGACCAAGATGATATCTACGAAAAGTACCACAACGGTGAGAAAAACCGGAGTTGCATGAACCGCGTGGAAGCGTGCGACGTCCAGTTTTTTCTTTGTCCTCCGACCGCACACGGCGCGAGTACGCAAGATGAGCTAGTGTGGACGAAGTGAGAATAGGATTGGTAGAGGTTTTATGCACTACAAATTTCCTGTACATGTACAGAATGCATCACAAATGTCACCTGCTTGGAGCATGCCACTTGTCATGCTAGATAGACTTGAAGGAAAGTTTTGTCATGCAGATTCGCATTTGTACATGTGCAGGAAATTTACTGTGGATAGGTTTTCCACTACCTGGTCGTTTGGAAAATGATGATCATCGTCGTCCTACTATCCACCTCCACAACCACAAAAATGTAAATGAAATGTAGCTACGTGTATTTAGCCTGTTGACCCTTATTTCAGCTTCCACCTAAAGACGAACCGATTTTCCAACATGTACGAAATCTTGTATTGCGTAATACGCAAATCTTCAATGCCACCGCACAGCGCGTCAGCGTCTATGTTCCAGCTACTTACTACCCAATACAAAACCTCCTGCACTAGCTCTAGCATGACCCGACCGGAAAGCGCCGATGTTGTCGTATGCATGAGTCATTGAGACCCTCCTAGCTTTGTACGTTGACCGTTCCCACCCTCCGCTAGATTGTGTGCAACTAAACGCAAGTACTAACAGCATATCGCTTCCATGGTCAGTGGTTCACCTCGAGACGCAAACTACAAAAGCTCCCGATCGAGAAGTGTAGAAAAGACAACTCAGCCATGTCGCGCCGCTGCTGCCAAGACCTGCATAAAATTGCATGACGCTCCAAGCTCCTTCATCGCGGAGTACTGTCGCATCTGCGGTGGACGGTCTATGATAGATCAATGCTCAATGTCTTTTATGTTGTCGTCCACGACCCCAGGACGAGTTAGAAGCACATACGACATCGTGCATCATCATCAGCATCGTGAAAGTATCTCGTAGTCTGAGCCTGACTGCTGTCGTTCTTCGTCAGCTCTCGTTTAATCTTCCATCAGGCTTTATCTCATCTATTCAACGGACCTGCTTTTGTCGTTCAATGTTGATGCTCTGTGGATTTTCGTACAAAATGAATAATCTACTCGGTCGTCGTACTCGTAGTCCTACTAGTGGTCGGTCCGTCTCGCTTGATTATCGTGATTGTTGTTCGGTGGAAGGTGTGATTTTGGTTTTGCAGTTTGTTCGTGCAATGGAAACCACTGCCAGTGCCAGCTGATAGTGGTCCTCGCCATTCTTCAGAATGTCATTGCCAACTTCCTACCTTCCCTTCTTTCAGTTAATGTACAAACAGGTCCTCTCTATTCATCTTTATCTTTTCCGGATCATATTTCTTTCGAGTACCCGTAGGAAGTACCCAACAAGTAGAAGCTGCATACACCACTTGTTTCTCATCACACTAGTACATCACCTGTTGTACTATCCAGCTCTAGTGCAGCCGTGTCACTACGACTTGGGCATGAGCGAGAAGAACAGATCAGCATCCTAGTTCGATTTAGACGGAGGTGTTAAGACAGAGCTAAGTTCTCTGTATCCTTCCTGCCCGTCATGTCTGCCTCGTCTTCCTCATCATCTTCATCTTCCACCACCCAGGCGCCGTCTACTTTTGTGAGCCCGCCACTACCAACATCTTCATCTAACATCTCAAATGCAACCTCCTGGGACAAATCTTCACCGACGAACAGGAAAATGATGATTAGCATCCAGAAAAGCAGGACGACGCAGGAAGTTCTCTCAGGGGAAAAAAATGTTCACCAACATTCATGCGCAGTGAGCATCACTCTTCCAACCCCCTCCCTGTTCTTGAAGCAGTCCATTTCTGTGAAAACTTTGAAGCAGCGCATTGCGGCAGCATTGCAAGAGCAGAAGCTGCACGCATCAGTTACCGGCCGGCCAGTGCAGTGGGAGCAGGTGCAAATTGTGACAAAAAATGGAGGCGTTGGTGGAGATGAAACAGAAACCACTCTACCCGACAGTCACGAGATTCCTTTGGATGGAGTAGATGACACGAGCACGACGTCATCCTCGCATCAGCAAACCACTATTCTTCCAAACGACCTCGAATTTTCCATCAAAACCTTCGAGCCCTTCGACTCCAAGCGAACCCTCCACAAGGCGCTGATGGTCGTCTGCAGCGAATACTACCACACGAAATGCGACGAAGAATTGGGCACCAATTTTCGGTTTTTCTACCGCGGTTTAGGCTTTGACGAAGAGCTCCAGAACAAAACCAAAGCCAGTCTTGACGAGGAGCGGAAAAGAGAGTTCGACACACAGTGTTTCGACGTGCCGTCCGATTTTGACCCAAGCGACGGCACCGAGCCGACCGAGCATATCATTGCGCACGTGAAGGAAATGACGCCCGCGGAGGAAATCCACAGTCGCTACGGACCGCTGCGTATCTGGGACTGCTCCAAAATCGAGGATTTGTCGTGTCTCTTCGTCCACTTTTCCGGCACGGCGGACCCGGGTTTGCGCGAAGGGCGGCCCGAGGGGCTTTTGAGTTTTAACCGCGACATCTCCGGGTGGGACGTCAGCGGCTGCCGGGACTTCGAGGGCATGTTCGGGGGCTGCGAAGATTTCGACCAGGAATTGAACAGCTGGGATGTGTCGAAGGCAGAGAACTTAGCGGGGATGTTTTCCGGGTGTCGGGATTTCAACCACCCATTGGACAAATGGAACACGGAAAACGTGATATCCTGTGCAAAAGTATCGTACTCGTATTGCAATCATGCATTACAAATCTTGTTCTTAAGGTAAATCAGCATTACAAATTTTATTGCTCATGCTGTGGAAATTTGCAATGCATTTGTACGAGTACGATACTTTTGCAATGCATACGTGAAGGACATGAGCGATCTGTTCCGTGACTGCGATAGCTTCAACCAACCGCTTGACACCTGGAACACGGGGAAAGTTTCCACTACGGAGCGGATGTTTGTGAACTGCAAAGTGTTTAACCAACCACTGGATATGTGGAATGTGGAGAACGTGACCTCTGTGCGGCACATGTTCACTAATTGTGATGCTTTTGGCCATATGAACTGCAAAAGTATCGTACTCGTATAAATGCATACACAAATTTCCCCAGCGTGAGAAATAAAATCTGTAATGCGGATTTACCTTAGGAAAAAAATTTGCAATGCAAGACTTGCAAATACGATACTTTTGCACAGGATAGGCCAGGATTTGAACGCTTGGAGTTTGTCGAAGGTGAAAGGACGGGACTTGGGAGAGAAAATGCGTGATATGTTTGCGGAAATAACAGACCCCGAGGACTTCGAAGAGGCTTTGGAAGTAGGGGAGGACAACAACAACATCGCCGTGATTACTAGAGGCAAAGGGGGTGGTAAAGGGAAAGGTAAGCTAACGAGTTCTTGTAGGCCAAAAAGCAAGCGCAAAGCGGCGAAAATTGTAGTTCGGGAAGAGCGGATAAAAAGCATGCGCCCGGAGTTTCTCTCGTCGTGGCCGAAGCGCCTGCAGCTGTACCTGCCGAAAAAGCTGCAGACTTTGAAATCAACGTCTCAGGGAAAGATGAAGAACATTTCTCGAGGACGCGGAAAATCTTCTACTCCCACGAGAACCAGCACGGCGAGCTCGAGAAGCAGCACCAGTAGCAGCAGCAGCTCTTCTGCTACAAGAGTGTCAATGAAGAAGGCTGGTCCACTTGTGAGAAAGAGCAGTAGTAAGTCAAAGGCGACGATGAAAATGAAGATGAAGGCGAATTCTGCAGCGTCTCCGAAAATGAAGAAAAAGACTGCCGCGCTTGCGATGAAGATGAAGACAGCTGGTGCTGACAGAAGCTCGAAAATGAAAAAGGGAAAGTAGTTGTCGACGGAGACTGAAACGCTAATGTAAGGGAGAATAGCGACACACATAGTTTCATCTATTGAACGCTTCAGCATCAGCTAGTGTCCAATTCTGTCATACTAAACAAAACAAGGCGATGAAATTAAAAGCAGTAGAACACGACGGACGAGCCATTAGGCTCTCGCAGTGGCATATTTTCCACCTTCGGCATCCGTTGTCTAGTTTACATTTGGTTGTCGACAACGCGAAGAACGCCACACTATTTCCTGTGCGACGTCCTAGTTGTCGTGTGGTTGGAATTGGATCGATAGCTTGAGCTTGATTGGAATTTTACCCAAGAAGTGTAAAATTTGTTTTTTTGAGGGCACATAGGTCCTTGCCACTTCTCACGGCGGTGCCTGGTGCGTCTGTTATTTTTTCCGCCCTGCAGTTGCAGTTCTTCTTCTTCTTGATGGGCTCGTGCAGAAACCAAAAAAAATGTCGTGCATTCGTCCTAACTCGCAATCGTTCTTTTTGCGCTTTCACGTTCGGTATCAGTCAACAGATCAGCTCTGCTCGTCGTGCAAGTTCTTATGGCAAAAGCGCACCGTAGTTCGTTCATTTTTATTTTTGCAAACTCTCTACGTAAAAAGTTGAAGTTCTTGTTGGTTTGAACGGCACGACATGACGTTCAGTCGCTCCTGCTTTCCAATAGCGTACGATCACCGATGAAAGCTTTCCCGTAGCGCATCACGTAGAAATTTTCTGCAGGTTAAACGTGTATGCACAATAAAGTAGGACGACTCCGAATCCAATTTGTGTCTAGTGCCCTGCTATTTTAGAGTTTATCTTCTCATCCGGTAAGAGCTGAACTGGCACTACACCAATCAACAAGAACTTTTGTTCGCGTATTCACAACACCAACATAGGAAAGCCCGACGTTGCTCACACCATGTCGTCCTCCACCTCTCCCAAGGCTTCACCCAGTGCCGGCTCCTCTAGCAGCACACTCCCATGCAAGATGATCAGTATCCCGAACGCGTTGTCTGGCGAAGACGCAGCGGTGACCGTCTCCCTGACCCCAGACGTACTCGCGAAGCAGCTTCCGGTGAAAAAGTTGAAGCAGCTTATCGCGGAAACATTTCAACAGCAGAAACTCCACACCTCAATCACCGGGCGGCCGGTCCAGTGGGAGCAGGTGCAAATTGTGACGGACGGCGGGGATGTTCTCGCTGACCACTATATGTTGCCGACGCTGGGGCTACAGAAATTTCCCGACGACGTGAAATATTTCGTCAAAACTTTCGAGGCTTTTGAAAACAAGCGGACCCTGCACAAGGCACTGATGGTGGTTTTGAGCGACCTGTACCAAACAGCTATGATTGGCACCGATGACGAAATGGCTTTCAGTACTGGCGTCGGCGACGACAATGTGATGGCAGAGGAAGACCGGTTCTGGACTCCGAGTGGCTACTTGACTCCGTCCGACTACGAGGGTGAGGAGTCGTACCCACATCCCGACGTGGAGGAAATTTTGGACCATGTGAGAGAGCAGCTGCCAGAAGAGGAGATCGAGCAACGCTACGGCCCATTGCGAATTTGGGACTGTTCGAGGATCGACTCCCTGTCCTTTCTCTTTCAACATTTCCGTGGTTTCAACCACGATATCTCTGGATGGGACGTCAGCGGCGCCAAGTATTTTGATTGTATGTTTTGGCAGAGCGAGGACTTCAACCAGCCCTTAGATTCCTGGGATGTGTCCAAGGCGGAGACAATGTTCATGATGTTCAGCTGTTGTTACAAATTCAACCAGCCACTGGGATCGTGGGACACGTCTAGCGTCAAGCAGATGTCGGGCATGTTCGAAAAATGCAAGAAATTCAACCAGCCACTGGCATTGTGGGACACGTCCAACGTGGAGAATATGAGTGGGCTCTTCGAAGGGTGTGAAAAATTTAACCAGACCCTGGATTCCTGGAACGTCTCGAAGGTAAAACAGATGGAATTGATGTTTTTAGGATGTAAAAAGTTCAACCAACCGCTGGGCTCCTGGGACACGTCCAAAGTCGGGAGTATGCACAACCTTTTCCAAGGTTGTGAAAAATTCAACCAGCCCCTGGACTCGTGGAATGTTTCCAGAGTGACCAACATGGCAGAAATGTTTGCAGGTTGCAAAGCTTTCAATCAGCCCCTGGCCAAGTGGAACACGGAAAGCGTGACCGATATGGCAGGAATGTTTGCAGGTTGCAAAGCCTTCAATCAGCCCCTGGCCAAGTGGAACACGAAAAGCGTGGCCGACATAGATGGAATGTTCAGGCAGTGCAGCGCCTTCGGCCAAGACCTGAACACGTGGAAGCTGTCAAAGCTCGAGGACTCCCACGCCGCGCACGACGTCTTCGCAGATGAGCACCATTCTGCTTCGATGACGAAGAGATACAGCACAAAAAATGACGCCTCCGCCTCGCCCTACACCGCAAATCAACCCTACATCAAGAAGATGCGCCCGGAGTTTGTCGCCTCGTGGCCACCGGAGGTGAAGAAATTCCTGCCGAAAGAGCTGCAATCGATGAAGTCCCGGACAATGAAGTGCCAGTCTAGGATGAACAAGACAAGTTCTGCCGCAAGTAGTTCGTCCTCAACAATCACCGCTGGTGCGGCAAGCTCGTCCAGCAGCAGCTCCAGTACTAGCGCCAGCTCCTCGGTCATGAAGAAAATGCCGCAGCAGGCGAAGACGAAGACTGTCAAGAAGACCAACACTGAGTCGAAAATGAAGACGAAAACGAAATCTACCGCAACTTCTACCATGACCACCACTGCGATGAAGAAGAAAGCCGCATTTTCTTCGACAAGCGCCAGTAATAAATGCACAGTGAAGAATGGCAAGAAGATGAAGACAGCAGCATCAACCAACAAAAAAGCCAAGGCGGGAGCAGCGGCTGGAATGAAGATGAAGAAGGGGAGGTGAAACTCAAGTATAACTTGCTCAGGTGTTACAATCTCAAGCGTGACAATAGAGTCTGGAATTTGTGTTGCAAGAAGTGCATGATCTACCCTACTCCCACAGGATTGCGCATGACAAGTGCTGGAGTCCCAATCCGCACTACAATCTGGTGAAATTTGTATTGCAGAAAGTGGAATGCTGTCCGAGTCTGTCATGTTGATCATGCAAGACAAGTCTCAGATTCTATTGTAACGTTTGAGATTGTAACGTTTGAGCAAGTCATATCAAGCGACGCGCGAATGGAGGCGAGGAAATGTTGGGAGAAGACGAGGAAGCATTGTGGCTCTATCGCGGTCCTCCTTGGAGGGGACTTGTATACGTTTTTGTTTTGTAGCAGCTCGATATCCCGAACGTGAATCGATACCAAAGTCATTTATTTTTAAAGTTGAACAGGAGAGACAGAGACTGCTCATCACTTACTATATTTTCTCTTTTATCTCGTTTATTTCTGATACCTTTGCATCAGCGTGTACAAGCTTTATATCGATTTTGGTTTCCCAGCTGCTGTGATGTTGAAACTCGAATTCCCTCCGCTCTATGACGAACATAGGTTAACTTTCACTCTTTTTCGAATTTCCCCTTTGCTCTATTCGAATTCCGCCAGCTCCTGTAAGTAGTTTCTGCTCGTCTTCAAAGAGCAAGGTGACCTGTTCGTGCAGCTCGTCGAGCAGATCATCGCGACGCCCGTTTTCGCCGACGCGGCACTTAGATCATGTCGCGCGGCAATCCTCTGGGAGTAGGGGTAAACCAGATTTCCCACTACGTTTTGCATTCCAGATTCTTTGCGTAAACGTTTGAGATTGTAACAACTGAGCTTGAGCAGGCTATACATACTGGTGGCGTTGGATCGATGAAGTGGGAGCAGTTGCGGCAATGAGTTGTCTTCAGTACAACTATGTTATTCGGCGAGTGCGCTGCCGTGCTGTTGAGAGACAAAGAGAGTCAGTGCTTTTATTCAACATCCTGGAGAGGCAATTGCAACTGTTTCTGTTTTCATCTTCGAAGCAGGGTACTACTTTTACGTTCTTCGAAAAAATAAAAAATCAAAATGAAAAAACTAGCTCCTGTAGTAAGTCCGGTGAAGATTCTAGAAAAGAGTACCTTGTCTTCAAGATCGATCCAGCTCTATCCGAGCAGTTTCTCGGGCCACGATCAAAAGGAAAAGAACCTGCAATATCGAGAAGCGGACCGAGGAGCCATACGACCAGAAGCCTCTACCTCCTTCCACGATCATGATGTGGCCCAAGATTTATAGAATCGCTTTCCACCACGTCGCTTTGGTTTTCCTTTTCCTGTACCTACACCTTCCAGGCGTCGTTTTGTTTACCTCCGCTCGTCTCTACCAAGTCGGCGACCAGGTCTTCTACTTTCACCGGGAGTACAGAAACAAAGACGACTATGCAAGGAAAATACTGTGTAAGTGTGACTCTGAAATGCAGAACATGCAACAGAGTTACGCCTGTCGTGCCAGGCAGCTATGGAGTTCTCTTTTCATGTGTGTTGTCGCTTACAAGCCACGCATGACAGGTTTTCCATGTAGCGCAAATTTGTAATGCTGTTGTCAGCCAAAGATAGTTACGCAGTTTTTTTCTTGTATAACGGCCAATCTGCCTATGCCGCCGTGCTCGACCGGTCCTTCGGGATTTACCGCCTATCAAATGCAAAAATGTCTTGGTCTGGAAGGATGCAACTTGTGATGCTACCTCTGGACTCTACATAAAATCTGTATTGCATGAACAGCAAAAGATATGCATTTTGTGCTACGCGGAGAGGGGATTTCTCATGCGGTATGAGCATCAGAAAGCCCTCGCAAGATCTCTGATGCTAGGGCAACATGCATCACAGACCTCATGGGCCATGCAAAATCTGCATGGCAAACTCCTGCACTCTTCCAGGCCCAGACATTTTTGCAATCCATACCGCCCAAGGATGGGGAAGACCGAGGGGTGGATGCCGGGCGAGATAGTCTCCGCGCATAAAGAAATATCAAGCGGCTCCGCTGTACCATCCGCAGGAAATAATTTACCGACGTACTTCTACACTCGGTGCAATTACTTTTTTATGCATGAAAAAACTATTTCGCGCATCTCTTTTTCAGCATGACAAGTTGCATGTTTTGAGCTGGATTTTTCAGTTTTAGATACTTTTTTGCTGTTTTTGCAAGTGCGTTTCGTCCGTGGTCGGTATTGGTAAGTTTCTCTTCCATGATAACGACCCGCCACAATTGCAGAGAGGACCTACAAAGTGAAATCCACCTGGCCGGATTGGGTGGACGCGAAAGGTATGGATTGCAAAAGTATCGTACAAGTATGAATTGCATTACAAATCGAGGCAGCATTACAGATTGAATTTGTAATGCGGATTTGCCTCAAGACCGAGATTCGTAATGCAAAAACGCAATTAGAAGTACGAGTACGATATTTTTGCAGCAGATAAAAGGGGTGTTTTGCTGCGCGGATGAAGAGTCGAGGCAGCTTATCCTATGTAAAAATGTCTCCACTCCAGAGTTGTCATGCAGATCTGCATGTTAAAAATGTTTGTCATGCGGAGCCCCATGAGAAGTACTTATTCTCTAGTCGTGTTTTGGAATTTGTAATGCTCCAATCAGCGCGATAGACTAGAAGCTCTGTGATGCTGCTGAACGAGCTAAGCAGCATTACACTACGAGACCAAACTTGTCATGCGAAACAACCAAAGCTGGTTGATTTGTCTAGCAGATCCCCCGTCTTGACTGTGGGGTGGGGACGTTTTTTCTCAGGATACAGCTCCATCTTTTCCGGAAAGATCTGACAGAAAGCGAAATCAAACCCTCGATGCCCCCGACAGCGCTCACCATCCTCGCGTTCCGCTGGGGCGGGAGGTATGAACTGCAAAAGTATCGTACTCGTATAAATGCTAATGCATTACAAATTTCCTCAGCATGAGAAACAAATAAAATCTGTAATGCAGATCTACCTATAAGAAAAAGATCTGCAATGCATGACTGCAATACGAGTGCGATACTTTTGTACAGGATAGGAGATACGTGCCTGCGACAAAGGAGTCCGAGTTTCTCGCCACGAGCCCGAACTTTTTGTACCAATTCACCGATTTGGGGTTAAAGGAAGTTCTCGGGTCCGAAAATTACGAAGTTTGGTCGTTTTGGGTCTCCACACCGGACGAGTGCTTCACCTTGGCGAAGTCTTTCCACCTGATTGTGAACCCGATCATGAAACACTCCACCGCGATTTCGTCTTTACCTGCTGCATCTAGTGCCTCTAGTACTACGTCGCATCTGTCGGCAGGCGGAAGGAACATAGGAGCACCAGCTGCACCAGCAGGAAAAATTCATACCGACACGACCGATAAAATCGCGAGCATGTGGCTCTTGCACCCGTCCAGCTTCGATTTCCTCTCCGAGCCGATGTACCAAACTGGCTCTGCCTACGGAGCCGGGTACGTGGAGCATATGGCGTTCTCAAGCGTTACATTCTCAACCGTTGCATGATTTGCCATGCAGCATTGCCTTCAGAATCGACACCATCAAGCTGCTTCGCATGACAAATTCTCAAAGGGCCAAACAGGCTGATAATCGGCGCCAAATCTGTCATGCAAGACGCGCAAGATCCCCCCTATCACTTTTGCCATTCTTGCATCACAAACTCATGTAACAGTTGAGAATGTAACAGTTGAGAACGCCATAGAGCAGGCCCCGATGTTCGACCTGATGCGAGCTGCGGAACGGTTTGGGATTTACACCGCCTTCCCGCACAACGCACTGCTCTACCAACAGCTAGCGGCGAAGTCTTGGACCAGTGGGTTGGCCTTAGACCCGAAGTTTGCAATCCCGGCCAGTGTGAACTTCCCCCGCGTGTTCGTGAAGAAAGACCCGGCACAAGCGGCAGAAAAAGCGGTGCAAGTGTTGGAGAAGATAAAGCGGAAACAACAGCGGAACAGCAGAAGGCATGTGGCTCTGATAGACGACCTGGGACGAGAGAAGGAAAAGTGTCCGAGTAGCGGCTTCTGGATGCAGGACGACCTGGAAATGGAATCTTCTGCTATGCATCAAAACAGAAACAACTACGGTCAAACCCATAGTACAACATCAAAAATCACGAAGGGCGTCGCAAAGCTCGGGTACAGCTGGGAAGCGTTGGATGTAAAGCTGTGGAACAACGTTAGGGAGCAGAACACCAACACCAGCCGGAAACGCTACTACCCGTTGTCCGTATGCATTGCAAAAGTAGCTGCGTAGACTGGTACTAATCGCAACACAAATTCGCTCAGCATGACAGCACATGAAATTTGCCATGCTGATTTGGCTTGGGAAGGAGATTTGTCGTGCATGATTGCGATTAGTACGAGCGCGATATTCATTTTGCACAGGATAGTACTCCGCGTTGAGCGATTTGTCGGACTCCATCACCATTTCGAACCAGTACGTCGGCCAGGCGCATCTGCTCGACTGGATCTTGATTCAGGAGTTCATCCCGCACGCGGTGGAGTTATGAACTGCAAAAGTATCGTATTCGTATGAATGCATATACAAATTTCCTCAGCATGAGAAATGAAATTTGTCATGCTCATCTACCTTACGCAGCAGATTCGTAATGCATGACTACGATTACGACGAGTACGGTACTTTTGCACAGAATAGGAGTTGCGACTGTACTACCTGAAGAACGAACTGAAGCAAGTGTGGTACACGAGATTCGATAAGGTGAAAGCCAACAACGAATTTGTACGCAATAAAAATTTAGGATTTACAACCGCACCTGTACAAACTGCATCACAAATTTCTTTGGCAATGACCTGAAAGATGAACATGAGAACTGCCAGCATGCTGATTTTGATTGGCCAAGAGTTTTGTCATGCATCGTTAGCACTTCTTTGTACGTGTGGAGTAAGTTCTTGTTCAAATTTACTGTGGATAATCTGGCGACTTCTACTACATGGACGAATCAGTTGCGATCTCGTATTTGCGCGGAGACTTGACCGCGTTGAGGCAAGCCACGGAAAAAGCAAAAATCATCGCAGAAGACTGGCTATGCACTGCAAAAGCATCGTACCTACTACGTATCAATCGCATTACAAATCAGCTCGGCATGAAAAATTAAATTTGTCATGCTAAATTACCCAAGAGGCCACGACTTGTCATGCTAGTCTGGAATTTATACCAGGAAGTGCGATACTTTTGCACAGGATACTGGCTCGACTGGTTGATGACGCAAAGTGGAGAAACGGTCATTCCGGCGGTCCGATTCGACTTCTTTGTGCAGTATTGAAGTAGATTTTTGGTGTAGTGAACAAGGACCTTAGTTTTTTCGTCATGCAGGATGTCCAATGCAAATCCAAATGCTCTATGATGTGATTTTCATTTTCTCATGCTATCTCTCGCATGACAAAGACAATAAACTCCATCCCCACACCATCAATAAAGGTACTTCCCATACGCCAATGCCGAGTTCATCGATGCCAGCGGTAACCATGAGATGGTACTAGATGACGAACAGAACTCCGCAATATCCGAGCCGTGGACAACCTACGAAGAAGAACACGACTTGTCCGTGCAGAACACGAATAACACAAACCACCGAAGGAAAACGAAACAAGACTACGAAAACCTTCCGCAGCGAGGGAGCGTGAAGGTGTTCACTTTGGAGATTTGCGAGGCGGGGTTTAGCATTTTTGGATCGGAGGCGTTGAAAAAGGAGAAAATGAAAACGATCGTGCAAAACGCGCTGGACCAGGGATAGATAGGATGAAGAGCAGGGGTTGATACGTGGAAGGAAAATAAGCATGGATGGATGTCATAAAATGAACACGATGAATACTAAGTGGAACTTTCTAGGAATTGTGAAAATTCGAAAAAAATGGCCTCCCTGCGAACCCTCCCCCGGCTGCAGCGGCTCTTCGTGGTGGTGGTCGGCTGGCGTGGCGCGCTAGAATTGCTTTGCTGTATTTGAGAACGGAAACAAAGAAGGTTGCTTAAGACCCCAGATTTCCCATCACTCATCAAAGTCACCAAAAAAGACAGGTATTTTTACAGGTCTGGCTTACCGTGGCCGCCGACGTATCCAGCACCGGAGGTTCCACACACACACACACAAATAGCATCTTTTTCATCAAATAGCATCAAGATCTTTACAGGTACACCAAAATCAACAAAATGATCTAAGGTCACAGGTTTCTCATGTTCATGAGCTTACTCTACCGACCGCTTGCCGATCGACCATTTCTTGCCCTCCAGGCTGCAAGGCAAGCTGCGCAAGACTGGACCAGGTAGATGAGCAGGAAGAGGTCGTGTTGCACCGGGCGGTGCAACATGGCTACAAGCTGGCGGCATTGGGGTCGACTTCGGCGACTTGATTTGCGAACGAAATTTGCCGGCGGAGACCTCTAATTGGTAGGATTAGATGGAATGAAGGGTATACCTGGTTGGTAGATAGGATCTGCTTTGTAATGCGTGAGTTTGAGAATGAGTAGAGGCCATTGTAGTTTTTCAATTGTTACACCTAGTGATGCTATTTGTGTGTGTGTGTGGAGCCAGCGCCGCAATTGGAGATTCCGGTACCTGTTTTTTTAAATGATACAATGATGATGCTCTTTTTAGAGGCGAAGATAATCAGGACCGGTGACGGGAGCTGTCCATGGTGCCCCTTCACGTCGCTGCGCGCTCCAGTTTTTCCGGACCGGTCCGGACCGGCGTCGCGACTTTATACCTTCACCTGCCTAGTTTATTCGGGGGTCGAATTTTTTCGAATTTTCACAATTCCTAGAAAGTTCCACTTAGTAATGAAACACTTTTCCAATACAGTTCTTCACGACCACAAAAGGGACATTGGGCTTTGGAAATGTAAGATTTGTGCTTCGAGATCGAGGTGGTTTTTCGAGTTTCTCTCAAATGATAAATGCTCCCCACTAATATCTTGCTGTAACTCAACCTGAACTCCCATGATGTGTATGATAGGTGGAAAATAACACAAGACTCAAAAAAAAGCCGCTAGTATGCTGGCCGTCGTCGACGTTCCTGACTGCAGGTCTATTTTCTTGTCCTGTGTTTGCTACAGCTGTTCCAAGATGACGATTCTTCTGGCGATAGATCGCTTTTTTGGATCTAGGTCACGTTGTTCACGCGCGTTTCCGTAAGAAGTAGCAGGGAAATCGATTCTGTTTCGTTCATTTCGTGGTCTAGCCATAACGAGTTTAGCGTGTTTCTCTTCCCCCCGATCAGCAGAGAAGTAGATCATCACGAATTTATACCTGCAATAAAAGTCGACCCGCCTTGATATTTGGTCTGGATCTTTTTTTCAAAAAGTTCCTTTAGTAACTGTAGCTGGAGGTACTTGCAGAACAACTACAAGATGAAACATAAATATGCAGCAGCAACCTCCATAATCCGCGCAAAGAAAAGATGCTTTCTCGCTCTCTCCTTTCGAGCGAACAGATTGCGTCTACGAGTGTGAAGAAACCTAGTGCAGCGCGAGCGCGACACCACACAAACATAAAGGCCGACCCCGACAGTTGTACGACCAGTCTCACTGCGTCTGCGGATATGTCCGCAAGACAACGTCGCGGTGGAACCGCGTCTACTGCGACCGATGGGGCACAAGACCAAGACGCTCCTAGTGAGAGCATCCCCAGTACTGGTGGTGATCCGTTACAGCTGCAAAAAGAAGAACCACCAGCAAGTGCTGCATTGCAGCAGGGCGGGTTCCCGATCATTACCTTCCTCCGCAGGCTCGATTCTCTCATCAACCGGCAGAAACAACTCTTCACCATCCTCATTTCCCTCCTCCATGGCCTTTTCGCTTTCGTCATTTTGAAAAAAGTCCCCTACACGGAGATCGACTGGAAAGCGTATATGGAGCAAGTATCCCTCTTCGAGCGAGGCGAGTTTGATTACTACAAAATAATCGGCAACACTGGCCCGTGTGTCTACCCAGCCGGATTTCTGTATCTCTTCTCGGGGTTGAAAGCGGTAACCAGGTACAATGGAGTGTTCAGTTGGGAAGAAGATGAGCAAACAACTACCGCGAGTGTCGACAACAACTACGCTGCAGCAGGTCGTGGCACAGGCGGCGTCACCAATGCGGATTCGTTGCGCCCTGTCCAGTACCTCTTTCTCTTCTTTCTCATAACCAACACCTTTTTCGTGACCAACCTCGCCGTCACACATCTGAAAGTCCCGATTTACTTCACCATTTTCCCCCTATTCTCAAAACGCCTTTACTCCCTCACCATGCTCCGACTCTTCAACGACCTTCCGGCCATGATGTTTGCGCACCAGAGCTTGTTTTTCTTCGCGGAGCGGGAGGTTTTTCTGGGGTGTGTGCTTTACAGCATCGCAGTGTCCATGAAGATGAATTTACTACTCTTCGCGCCGGGACTGGCATGGTACCTGTTTGTTAGGGAAGATTATAGCACGACCACGGTGGAACAAAACGAAAAGCCACGGCTTGTGACGGCGATATTGCGAATCACCAGAAACTCCATCTTCCTTTTCCTCACCATGGCGGCAATCCAGCTCATCCTCGCTGTTCCGTTTCTCTTGGCAAACCCGAAAGCCTACATCCATCGGTCGTTTGACTTGAGCCGGGAATTTTTTTACAAGTGGACGGTGAACTGGAGATTCTTGCCGGAAGAGGTGTTTTTGTCAAAACTCTGGGCGGTTTGGTTGCTGGTCTGCACGTTTGGTGGCTGGTTTCTCGTCGTGCGGAAGGTGTATTTGTCCTCGTGGGGCGATAGTAGAACAAGCAGATCAACATCGACGTCCACAACTAAAACAGTGCTGGACGACGATAAACGCAATGCAAATGATTCGGAGATGATGAACGGCAACGGGACACAACAGCAAGCAGCAGCTACAGAAACCTCATCGGACTGTCGTGAAACAAAGCTCGTGAAAGCGATGCTGTGGTCAAACTTCGCTGGCATTGTGTTCGCCAGAACAATATGCATTGTAAAAGTATCGTAGTAGCATGAATTGCATTACAAATTAGCTCAGCATCACAAATGCAACTTGTAATGCTGTTTTGCCTTAGAGAAGATGCATGTTTCCAGTTAGTACGAGTACGATACTTTTGCAGAGCATAAACAATCCACTACCAGTTTTATCTGTGGTATGTCTGGAGTTTACCGTTTTTGGTCTTCGACGCGATAGGCGGGGGTGGAACTGATACTGCATCAATCTGGTCAACAGCCGCTGTGCTTTTAGTACCATCAACATCTAGTGCTTCCAGCAGCAGCAGGTGGCGAGCCTTGTATTCGATCATACCAGCAATCTGGAGCAACTGGGTCAAGCCGTTTCTCATCCTGTTTCTCATTGACCTCTGCTACAATTGGCCGAAAGCGAGAGACTGTAGTGCGTATGGTGCAACAGAAATGCCGGATTATTGCGAGAATCCCGCGACGGAGACAAGCTCGGCACTGCTACTGCTTTTGCACCTCTATTTGCTTTGGAAGAAGATTTCCCAGAGGTAGTACCTCAAACTTCATTCCCCGTTGACGCAGAAACAACGTACTGATACGGTCAGAAATACTTGAGCTTCACATTCACTCAACAACATGCACAAAAAAAAAAATAAACACCAAAGGCCCGCCGACAACGAAAACTTTTGTTCAGTATTTTCTTAAGAGCTACAACGAACAGAGAAACTGAGATCGCAACCAGGTGGTAATTTTCTTTTTTGTTCCACGATGACAGCAAAGAATTCGATCCGATCCTGCAATACCGTGCACGCGCGAAAAAAATGATTCCGTTGGCTCAGCTACAGCAGCACCCGGCTCGACGAGAATGGATGGATACGATTACGTCGGATCCGATCTGCTCCGTGCGCTGATGCATGATGACAAAATCAACATCAGTCGAATGCTATGTGGTTCAACTTTTGCTTTCAATCAATTTCATTCACAATCAATAGGAGCAACACGGATATATTTGTTTACCTTCTTGTTACTTCACACTTCTAGCTTGCTAGGACGTCCAAGAATGAGTACTTCACTTGGATGGTGAAAAAGAGTTTATCATCGATCTAGGTCACAGCCACATCTTCATCGATAAAAGTCTTTCTCAGGAGCGAATATTCTGCCTGTGCTAGTGCTTTATCTTATGCTAATCTTCTTTGATGGTGCTGCATCTTCTAACTAAAGGTGCCATTTGTTTCATTGTCTACCGCTTCAGCAACGTGACTGCACGTCTGCAGGCGAGACTGAATCTGTACAATTTCACAACGCACGACAGTACACGACCTGCTTTCTAAATATTACTATATCATAAGTTCTTCATAGCAAGAAGATAGCAACAGTTGCGTATTGCTTCGGTACAAGAAACCAAAAACACTTGACAAAATGGTCCTTATCCTGCAGCTTTTCCTATTTTCCTATTTCCTGCAGTCGATGCAGCTGCCTCTGCCAGAGCTTAGTAGTCCCCGAACTACTAGCCTTGGCAGCTACAACATTTTCCAGTCTGGTTTTACGACGTCACCCTTCACCAGCCAACTCTTCGCGCACGCTTTGGGAAGCGAAAGCACGGAAAGCCGCACCGGGACTCTGCGCGTCAATGTCCCTTCGTTTGAAGACATGGATAATTTCCCGTTTCCCCGCACGATTTCCGATTCCGCCTCGAGCACCGCGCTTCCCTCCTCGCCTGGGGATGGAAACGCAACCTCGTTCGGTAGCACCACCGGCGTTTCGAGCACAGTAAGGTCCGAAGACAGGACCCTTTCCACAGGGACGATGACGAGTGGGCGTGGCAGCTTTTCTCAGCAGCGGAGTACCAGTAGAGGGGTACCTCCCCGAGTTGATTCCCCATTAGTGCCTGCTCCAAGCCGACTGGGCCGGACGTATTCGAGGAGAAATCTGGACGCGGAGGAAGAGGTTGGGGGTGTACTAGTTACTCCAGCGCTTTCGCTCACCTCGTCTTCCGCGGGCGTGTCTGCTACAGCCCGGCTTCCGCATGTAGTCCCGATTGGCGTCCCGCTAGATGGTGCCCACCTTGCGGCTGAAGGGGGCGTTGCAGCTGCGGTTGGAACACATCAGGACAGTAGCCCTTCTGCCGCAAGTTCCGCAATGGCCGGCAGCTACTACCGCGCCGAGGACCCGGAAATGATAGTCCCGGAGGAAGAGGAAGGTGAAGGGGATGATCTGGTAACCAAATGCGTGCGCGCGCGCGCGCAGAGCGCGCGCCGGCCCACGAAGCCGGCGCGCGCGCTCTGCGCGCTTGCGATATTGCTTAGCAAACGCAGCGCGAAGGCAGTTGCCGTTACCATATAGGGCAACCGCCGGGAGGCGTGAAGGTCAGGGAAATGGCCAGAAATGAAGCGGGAGAAGGGAAAAAAAGCGGACCAGATGGGAAAATGGCCAGGAGGTCAAAAATGTCGCAAAAATGGCAGAAACCAAGCGGGAGAAGGTGAAAAAAGAGCATTTTTGCGGTTTGGCCCACTTGATATCTGAAAAAGAGATGGGCCATTTTTTGCTCCGCCCGCTGGCCAGCTGCGTTGGAGAAGCAGGCCCGCGACCTGTCCGGAAGCCTTGGGCCGCTTCGTAACTGGAAAAAGTTGGAAAAAAATGGCAAAAATGTGCTTCATAACGTGGGTGGAAGCAATCGTCGGATTTTGTGCAGATCACCCGGGCCACTTGGAAAATGGGAAAAGAAGAAAAATCTTGCAAAAGCGCAATCCCTCCGCAGGCTTCAAAACTGCCAGTCAGATGCGGGCGGTGAAAATGTCCAGGCCGCCCGGGCCACTTAGAAACCAGAAAAAGATGAAAAATTGCGCGAAAGCGCAATCCCTCTGCAGGCTTCAAAACTGCCAGCCAGATGCGGGCGGCGAAAATGTCCGGAGCCCTTCGGCCGCCTAAAAACCTGAAAAAAGAGCGAAAATTAAAAAAAATCGAAAACCCTCGGCAGGCTTACAAACCGGCCGCCAAGGGCGGTCCAGCGGGCGCGTGGTCGCGCCGTGCCATCGGGATTGTGAAAAAAAAGCCGCACTAGAAGCAGGCGGAGGGATGTCACAAAATCCCCATTTGCCGTGGATTGTGGGCACAAATCCGGAACCTCCGCCGCGTCTGAAATGGCCGACTTTGGTGGCCCGGAAGGGTTCGCGGGTTTTCGGCCTTTCGCATTCCTTCCTGGTCACGGGGCCAGTTTGTCACGCAGGGGGCTAGAAAGGATGCCCCGCTGCGAACTAGCAGACCGGAGTTCGCATTCAATGCTTATCGCAGGAGCCTGCGGGGCGCCGCGGGCGACAGTAGTTGTCCGCGGCCCTTTAGGGCCGCGGGGAAGTGGTGGAGCCCGCGGCGGCCCGCAGGCTCCTGCGATAAGCTTTGAAGGCGAATCCGGCAGCCCCCGATGACCCGGGATAGAAGTGGGATTCTAATTTAAAAAGAAATGGTGGCGGCAGTCGTGCGGCGAAAGCGCGGCCCTTCGCCGCGCGGCTGGTTAGGCTTTCGCGCTGGTTAGATTTTCGCGCACGCATTTGGTTACCAATATCGCCCTCCGGGCGCGACCTTCATACTACACCGGAGCAAGAGGAACTGGAGGCAGATGATGAAGACATGCCCGGCGGCGACGGTCGACTGCCCTTCCGCAGAAATTCGTCGAATAACAAAGGGAAGTCCTGCTGTCAAAGCTTGACGAAAATCTTCCGCGCGGCTCTGCAACCGATTGTGTCGTCGGCTGCGAAAGACAAAGATAGTGCCGGACGTCGAGAGGAGCAAGAACACCCACGAAACGCAACAGCAGCTGTCGTGCTGGGAGCTGCTTCTTCAGCCAGTGACGAGCAGGACGGTCGTGCTAATGAACAGGCAGCGCCAGCGCCAGCAGGCCCTACAAATGTAATTCCGTCAGGCTCAGGCCAGCAGCAAGGCATAAGCACTGGAGGACCTCCGACTTCCCGGCGATACCGGTCGCGTCTTGGTGGAATACGAGGAATCAGAAATGCTCTCTCTGGGGTTTCGGTGGAGGACGCAGAGGCTGCCGCTCCGCGGACGCGAGAACGGGGGCTATTGCGGTCGTTGCACATTCGAACTGATAGTGGACAACAGCAAGGAGGTTCCGCTTCTTCTGGCACAACAGCTTCAGCTGCACATCACGGAGATCTACTTCACTCACAGCAAGATCCTGCGCAAACTTTTTCGTCCGTCCTGGCAACGACGCCGCCCCCGAGTTCAGCAAGCCAGCAGCAGGAACTACAACAGCCGCGATCTACTTTATCGTCTGCTGCATCCAGTACTGCGACAAATATGACACTGCGACAAAGTCAGTCGAGGAACCGGAGCCCTCTTCCAATGACGCCCCCGCTCTCGATGAGTGATCTGAACTCGGTGATCTTTGAGCGAGCTTTCATCGCCGAAGGCGAACGCAGGGAAAGACGAAGGAGGAGAAACAGCGAGGATCAACAACACGCAGCGGTAGGAGCGGCCGATAGTGCACATAATCACGCCACTGCTCCTGGTGGCAATGACCCTCAAATTGTAAACGTGGTCAGCAACAACTACGACCAGAGCGAAGCCTCGTCAAGCCACGGTTCTTTCGGCATTCCAGTTAGCAGCATTTTTCCAGAGGGCCTGAATAGCACCAGTCGGGGCACCCAGCTTTCCCTGCGGCAAGTCCAAGAGAGAATCGACACTCACATTCTGCAGCAAAGCGGCCTGATGTATTTTTCCTCCGAAGGAGGTCGGGGCCGGGCAGAGTCTGATACTGGGAGAGAGTCCGGCGTTTCGAGAAGTTCTTCTGGCCGAGGCTCTAGTACTCTCTCGGGGCCGAGGCTCTCCAGCGTTTCTAGCAGGGGTTCTAGAAGAACTGTTGGTGGCGGCAGAAGATCCCCTTCTTCTTCAATCGGCCGCCGGCCTTCATCATCGCAGAGGTCTTCCGCGGGAGGTTCATCATCATCCGCCGCTGGGTATAATTCTTCGGCGAGGAACAGCAGTTTGATGAGCAGAGTTTCGTTCGACGGCCCGGCACCGAATGTGGCACCAGGCGAGGCGAAAGCACGCCCACGGACTCCTCCTAGGAATCGCAACGGAGGAGGAGGGTGGTCTTCAAGACGGCGGAGCTCTTCTGCAGCTTCTGCTGCTCCTTCGCAAGCACAAACCAGACCACCGCGGCCCGGGCCACGGGCACCGGCCAGACAGGAACACGAGCAGCAGCGAGCAGTTGTGCCACTGTCAGAACCAGCTCAACCTCCTTTGCAGCGCGGAGCAGCGCGGCAGTACCAGGTCGATGTTTTTACTAGCTCCGACGAACAGGTTGAAGACGCTGCAATGCAAGAGCGTGACCTTATCAGCAACGATCGCATTTCCTTTGTCGCCAATCTCAGTGAGGTTGATGCACACCACCTTAACAGAACACGTCCTGCGACCGTCGACGGAAAGGAAGCCCCACGAAGAATAGACGAGAGCGACTGTTGCCCACCTCCCAAGACGCCGACGACGTCAAAGACAATTTCATCTTGGCGGCATACTGTGAGATTCACGACACTCGGTGGGAATAGTGGCAGCTACATTTTAGACGACATCATCCGAGACATTACCACTGTGGGCGAAGTGATTCAACGGCTCAGGGCGAAGTATGGTGACAGCATTCACGACAGTGTTCGGGTGGAGATTTTGAAACGGAGCGTACTTGTGGAAAAACTACAACAGAAGAAGAAAACCATGCGCCCGTCGAAAGACGATTTTTCGTCTGCCGCGCCGCGCCCGAGCAACGCATCCTCGTCTTCCGACAATCTTCCGAGGATTTTTGAAGAGGGTGCCCCTCCGCCACTGGTCAACGCCCCGGCTTCATCTTCGTTATCGCCAATGGACGTGGAGGATTTTTTGCTTGTGACGCGAGCGAAAAATAAACTCGTCTCGTCCGTCCATCTTCATCTTCGAGAAGTCCAAGACCCTCCTCCAGGTGCAAGTAGCACACTCGATTCCTTTGAAACGAGATGCACAACTCAAGCTAGTAGCAGCAGCCTTGCTGGCACCCCAGGACCTGCGGGCGGTTGTGCGGCAGCTGCGCCCTGCTTCCCGAGTCAAAGCGCCAGCGGGTGCGGCTCATCTTCTTCACCGCCGGGCACGACTTACCATTTGCCTGCAAAAAGCTACTACAGCCAGGAAGATTCGGCAAGTATAGGCGGGAAACTGCTTGAGGACATAATTGGCGGCGAGCGTAAAGACGCAGACTACTACCTGACGCTGCACCACGAGCCACAGTTTCACTCGGAACAAGAACAGCTCGGATTCTCTTCCTCTCGTCGCAGTAGTATTGGCTGGACAAATTCTAGTACTGCAGCAACCAGAGCCGAGAGCGAATTTTTGTCACGCCGCGGCAGTTCGCAGACGGTTGGTTCTTGTGGTAAAGAATTGCTCGACCAGCATCCGGAACATGTTGACGTCGATGAAGACGAGCACAACACTTTTTTCCAATTAATCCTCGTCGACGAGTGTCAGCGGTTGAAAGACACTCTAGAAAACCATTTAAAGGAGGAATTCACCAAGGCGAAAAAAGAAGTGAAGCTCCTCTTCCACAACATCGACAGTGTCGGGGATCGACTGTTTCCCCAGATAAAACACCTCGAAAATTACTCGCAAATGGACCGGGTTTATGGAGATGCTCTGTCGAACTACCTGGGGTCCAGCTCGAGATACGTTGAGAGCTTGGAAACGTTTGTGGGAAATTTGAAGGAGCATTACGTCGAGGATCTTGTTCTTGACGTCGAGATGAAAACGAGAACTGGCCAACTGGATTTGGGGAATGTGGGACCGCAGCTGCAACAGGAAGAAAGAGAGCTTCCTCCTGCAGAACTCCCCGCAGCTCCCGAAGATGAAGCGCAACCAGAATCTCCCCTCTCCCTAGCTCAGTCGTCCGTCGCTTCTTCCCCGGAGATCAAAGCCTACAAGTTGAAAGACCCGCTGCCAGCCGACCTCGTGCCCACAGATTGGCGGTCTTGCCAGGATATCCGGAGATTTCACGAGGAACACGTGCGACAGTTGCAAGAAGCCCGGAAGAAGTTTGCGGAAGTTTTGCTGCAAACCGCTTACGAAGCCGCGGATCGGGAAGGGAAAGCCGCGGGGGAGTCAGAAGTTATTCCTCCAAACAACGGTGCTGGAGGTCCTCGCGGGAGGAGACGAGATAGAGTGGCGGGAGGAGCAGTTCCAGCGCAGGAAGCAGAAGCACAAGCGGCTGGCGCAGCATCTTCTACCTCCGCGGTGCAACAGCAACAAGACAAAATAAACAGCGAGCGTGATGCTTTTGTGCAATCTGTCGTGCAACTTCTCGGGCTGCAGGAAGAGATCTTCGGAACAAGCGATTGAAATACCGCGGGCACAGTCGTAGAAGAAGGAACAATCGACCTGGATTTTGTTCAGAAGGCGGGTAGGGAAGATATGGAGCAGTCGCTCCGCTCTTTAACTTTACCGGAAACGGAATACTAAAGTGATGCTGAGTGGTGCGTCTGGTGCCCTAGCTGGTCTGGCGGGAGCGAAAGGCTACACAATAAATTGAGTCGTGCACCACCACAGCAGGACAAGTTATTTTTCCGACCGGAATTAGTTCCTGTGGCTCAACATTTGCTGCTGTAGGTGGATACGGAGCCTCCACCGGTTAATCAGGATTAGACTATGCTAATGTTATCATCGTGTGAAGTCGCATCACTTTGCAATCGCTGATGCACGTATAGACTGGAAGTACATCAAACCGAAACAACCTGTAATTAGAAGTACGTAGAGGCTGCACACCGAATAAGAGTGCTATAATGATAAAGCGACTCTCTTTGGTATAACAAAGAAAACATAGCACCAGTTCCAGTGCACCTCTATCGTTGTGTGCACACAAGAATACCTGAAGCTGAACAATATTATCAATTTGTTTGCGATTGTGTAGCTTTATCACGCCAAACCAAGCCAGCCCGTTGATAAAGATCATCATTAGGTCGAACACATCCTCAGAAACACACAGACACGACGCTCCCGCTGTGGGGGTTCACTTCTTGCTTGTATATCTTTACATGAGTGCTCGACGACCTGTCCTAGACTTTTGGCCGCGAGCGTTGTGCCCGTGAGCTCCTTGTGTTCATTCTCAAAATATCAAGCGTTATAATGTTGAACCATAGACGCACGCCGGCAAACCGGCGCACATTTTGCAAAGCCCCGAAGGTGAAGCGCCGGCGAACCTCCTACCGGGGTGTAGATGCCGCAGACCCAGACCTCACTGGGGATGGGCTGCGTACGCACTCCCCTCACAGGCAGAAGGCCCACGCCCGGTCGGCTTCCCGCTCCTCCGGCGGCTACCGGCAAACCGGCGCACATTTTCGATTTTCACGGAGCGAAGCCCCGCGCGCCTGGCAGAGTTTGCGCTCACCGCTCGTGCTCCTCGAAACTCCGGGCCAACGCAGTTTGCGCCCACCGAAAGGAGGACGCTCGGAACAGGTCGTCGAACACCTTCCCTGGCAGAGCAGGGTCACCCTTTCGGGTGAACGGGTTCACACTTCCTTTTCTTGGCCGCGTGTCTCGCACGCTGCTTGTCCGCCAAATGCTGCCGTCGTCCTGTGCTCTCCAGCATTTCCCGAGCGCCCTTGTACACTAGCCAGGGGATCCGGCCTGGCTCCAGCTCCTGCACCGAGGTCGGCAGTGCCTGCTGCAGCGCAGCGATCTTCTCCAAGCGTGTCAGCGGGTCGCTTAGATTGCGAGCGCTAGCAATCCAGGCCCAGTAAATTTCACGGCCTGCTGTGTCCTTGTGCAGTTGATGGAGAAGTATCTGCGACGCGAAGTTGCCGCATGAACCCTTCACAATGCTATAACACTCGGCCGTGTTGTCAACATGATGCACCACCAACGCGTCGCCGGGAGCGAGGTCCACGGCGAAGAACAAGTGCGCCACATGCGCGCAAAGGGTCTCGAAGAACGCGATGTCCGGCTTCAGGTGCGCCACCCAGGCGGGCACCTCCTGCACATGGAACGTGAAACCATGTCCACGCGAGTGGTCCGCGTTCAACATCAGCGCGCCGATATAGATACCGCACGCGCGCGTGCAATACCACCCCGGCCTCGACGGCTTCGCTTTTGTGAAGTCGTCCAATGACGCGTCACCATACACATGGATAACCCGGGACGGGAACCCCTTACGGATTATCTTCGGCCGCAGGCTACCTGCCTGCAGCTGCAAAAGGAGGACCGTCGCAAGCAGCTGCCTACGCTCTCTTGGGTCCTTGATGCGCCTGTTGAACTTGTCGCTGCACCAAACATCAAGACCCCGCACAACACCGACAGCACCTGCATCGAGCTGCGCGCAGTGTTGGAAGAGCCCTCGCACGGTCTCGACCGCCTCCCTAGTAGCACCACGACGCCGTATTGCACCCAGCAAGTCGGACAAGAGCTCTTGGAGGTGCGCGACCTTCTCAGCCGCGGGGGCGACTGACAGGAACTGCTCGCAGCTTGAACGCGTATAGGCTAGCCCGAGCGCCACCAGGCTCCTCTGCTGGATGTCCCTTTCGCCCCCAGACGGCAAGTAGTTACGATCTTGCTTGGCCGCCTGCTGCGGAAAGCCACACAACGATAAAAATAGATCGACAAGAGCCGAGCTCTGTGGCATACTTTTTACTCTATCCATCAGATGGATGTCATCGATGTATACTGGTGCCAGTTTGCGTAAAATACAAACCAGCACCAGCATGATAGCCTCTGAGCAGGCGACATCCTCATACACGGAGACTATGCTTCCGAAAACTGTTACCAGGCTCTCGATGACGTCCCAACGCCGCGCAGCGGTTTTGCGCTTCTGGGGGACCAGCCCGCTTGCGAAGGCTTCCTCCTCCTCCGCCGTGAGCCTGGGGACGACGAACACGTTCTTCGCCCTGTCCGCTACTGCGAAATTGTAATAATAGGACTCCATGTCCTTGGTTTCGCTTGCGGGGATGAAACTGGACGCCACGTCCCTCGCCCGCAGCTCGAGATCGGGGTCGTCCTCGCACACAGAGAGCGGGGCGGGCTCGTGGCACGGCCGACCAGCGACGCCCGCTTCGCGCACCTCCTTCAGAAACTTGCGCTCGTCGAAGATGTCCTGCGTGACGTCTCTTTTGCACTGGAACAGGGTGACGGGCCGCACGTTGCTACTTGCCAGCCGCGTCACAATCTCGCACGATGCGCGGCCTCCCAAGAGCCTCATTTTCTCGCGGACCTTGACGCATGCATTATGCCGGCGTAGGTCGATGCAGAGGCGCGTCTTGTTCTTCTGCTTCACCGGGAAGCAGACAGCAGGCCGGGTCTTTGCCTGCTCGACCTTGACCCACTTTCCCGTAGCCAGCATCTTAGTAGCCTGGCGCTGCATCTCCTTGATGTCCTCCGGCTCGGCCCATGTGTCCGCAGGCAACTTTCGCGCCTCATCCGCGCCGAATATCTGCGCTTTCTTTTGCTCCAGGGCCTCATCACGATGGGAGAGGCCAATGTCATCCGCAACCGATACCCAAAGGCCCGAGGGGTCTATGTCTTCGTCGGTTTTGAAACCGGCGACGATCTTCTCTCGCAGCCCGAGGACCTTCCGCCTGCGCTCGGGCGAGAAGCCGGCGACGTCGCAAGCCCGGGCCAATAACCGAAGGAAGAAGGCCCATTGCTTATCTTTGTACACGAGCCGCACATCTGCAACCATCTGCGCGAGCAGAGATTCATTTTCCTGAGCTGAATCCAAATGCACCTGCAGCAGCCACCCAGCCAGCCGCTGGGTCGCGACGTTTATTTCATCGGCGGAGGAGCTCTTCACCTCGTCGATGACTGGCAAAAAGAAATCCGGAAGGACGTCCCGCCGGCCGTATGTCCGCGCAGTATCGCGCTGCACCACCGCCCCTAGCGGGGTCCCCTGCCTGTTCTGGGCCTCGGCGCTCATTGCGATAGGGAGGGTTCTAGACTACGCGGAGAAGGAGAAGGGGCGCTTCGTTCTCTTACTTGTTAAGTTAGGTAGGCCGGGTAGAAATCAACTTCGAATCAAATCAAGTCACAGAAACACAAAGCAAAATCAAATCAAATCAAGCCAATACGTCGAGAGGTCGCTGTGGGTCATATCATCCGAAAAACAAATCCAACAACATCCCGGACCTACCAAAGCAACCTCACCTCGTCCCGGAATCGGCGACGCCCGGTTTCCTTGCCCAACTGCCCCGAGACTGAACACGGCCCGAGGCCATTGATGAACCGAACAAGCACAAGGGGGAGCCGCCCGCTGCGGACAGCAGCCGAAAGGGCCTCCACCCTTGGCCTTCATCGTGCGTGTACGCTGCGCATTTCTTTATCTTGATTGGACAGTAAAACACTACCGGCTCCGCACAAAATTGCATCAAATAGGTCCGAGCAACTGAGTGGCCAAACGGCTGGCAAACACAGCTGTTTCAACATTCATCATCGTGTGTTCTTGAGTGGGAGCACGTCCCGTCCGATAAACATCTTCCCGAATCGAGTCGATGCGGCAAACCGGCGCACATTTTCGACCACCCTACTCCAGTGCGACTCTTGTGATTCCTGTGAGTGAGGTCCGGCAAACCGGCGCACATTTTGGAAGGACTCGTCGTTCGAGGGGCTGGCGGAGGCGCACCTCCGAAACCGCAGCGAACAGGCTTGGAGGGCATGTCCGGCAAACCGGAGCACATTCCTGACAATTTGAGTTCCTGAAAAATCTTGACCGAAGTCACGGAGACGACGGCTTTCCTGAGTTACGTACGACAGGCCTAGGGCTCGGTCGCTTTCTCCTTCATGTGGCTCTCCGACAACCCGAAGCCCTTGTTCTTGTTGATGTACTGCATGAGACTCAAGCTTCCGCCGTGCTTGAGCTTGCAGCTGCCGCCATAGGAGCAAGAGCCCTTCATGTACTGCTCGCAGATCATGTCCTTAGCCTGCTTCTTGCTCGCCGGGGCTCCCGCGTCGCCACCCCCGGGACGCTTGTTCCCCAGGGCTTTCAACTTCTGCTCGAAACGCGCCTCCAACTTGGACAGCTTGGCATCCGTCGCGTCGTCGGCCTTCTTCAACAACAACGAGTTCTTCACCTCGGTCTTGAGCCCGACGGTCAAAGCCATCCGGATGCGCCACTGGTACTGCTGCCCGGCCGCCACCCCCGCGGGGGCGGGCGCCATCGTGCGGAACGCGCTCTCAGCGGAGTCCCACCAGATCTTGAACACGGCGGCCTTGCCGTCGCCGGATTCGTGCCCCTTGCCCATCGATTGCGTCGTGATGAACGTGTGCGCAGCGGTCATGTGGTCCATCAGGATGGCCCCGATCGAGAGCAGGCAGGACACGAAGACGAAGGGCGTGAAGTCGGGCTCCTTCTTCACAACAGTGACGCACTTGGCTAAGGTTTCCGCCTCATAATGGCGGCGCACCTTCGTGACCTGCTGGAAGTTGGGCTTGTACTCTTCCGGGACGTCCACCACGGAGTTATTGAAGGCCTGGATCTGGGCCGGGGTAGCCGGCACCGCGATGCCCGCGTCCGCGAACAACCCGGCAAGGCCCTGCGCGAGCGCCTGATTAGCGGCCATCCTGAACTGCTGTGATGAAATCAATGCAATACGTGTAAACTGTGCGGAGCGACTGACGCGAAAACTCGCTCTGAGCTTGAATTCTGCAGCTAACGCGACGCGCGGTCGTGGTGAGTCCTGTCTCAAGTGTGGGAATTTATACTGAACAAGGAATGTGCGTGGCATGGTCAAGCCGCGGCACACAGGGCGCGGGGGATCATTGTTCGCGCGGAGCGCGTGCATACTCATCGAACTGTCTGAAAATTTCGAACCTGAAAGCCCTTCACGGAGGTGCCAACTATTTCCATCGAGTGTGGTCAGATTGCAATTTGTTCGCGAAATGATCATCATTGTCTTCATTGTAGCAGAGACGCTTGAACAAGTGGCCAGGGCAGAGCAAATTGCTCCGTCACATTCACTGCACGATTGCCCTCGTAGCGTAACTCCGTGTCGATGTTCTTCCACCTTCCGACCTGCGCGATCTCCTCTCGCGGCAGGCCTCCCTGCGCAGCGGCAGACGCTCCTCCGATCCTGAAGGAGTACAGATTCCACAGCCTCCGCCCGTCCTGCTTCTCCTCCATGTCGCAGCGGCGGACCACCTCTTCCATGCATTTTCGCAAATGCGCGCCCGGTGCTGCGGCGTAGCCGGCCCAAGCGTTCTCCTGTATCGCATGCACCGGACAGAGAACCCGCGCGAGCCCCAAAGGCTGAACGGCATTGCAGCAGCAACGCATGCGGGCGTGCCAACCTCGTTCGCACTGGTCTACCTTGGACTTGCTGACAAATGAGTGGACGCGCCACTCTCCGCCCGCCTCATAGACCTCCCGGGAGGTGTTCCTGAACTCGTCGGGCCGCTGGAACAAAAACCAGGCGGTGACGCAGAAGTCGAGAAAGACACCGAGGTCGTAGGTCTTGCCCTTGGTAACGGCGAAGGGGGCCGCGCCTGACTTGATGCCGTCGACCTTCTTCCAAAATGACAACAAGACGGGATGCTGCTGCACCTGTATGACCCCCTTTTGCAGCTGTGTGAAGCAGCGGCTGTAGTCCTTTTGCTCTGCGTCGGTCAGTGGCCTGACACAGGACATGCGGGCCTTGACATGTGCGAGCATGATGTGTCGCGATTTCGGGATGTTGTCGCACCGCGCCAAGACCGCGGCCGTGGCCTTAATCCTTTCGGAGCTCCAGGGCTCCGCCGGGTCCCACTTGAAATGGGCGCAGATGGGCAGGTAATACGTCTCGAACGCCTTCTGCTGCTGCTTCTTCGTCGCCGCGGAGAGCTGCTGGCCCTCGAACTCCTGAACTAACTCCTCTACTGCTGCCGGGTTCGCGCTTAGTCCTGCGAGGACGTCGTCGACCCTCCCCGGCAAACCGGCGCGCATTTTCTGAGGACCATCTCCGGCCCCCAACTTCTTCTCCTCCCGGACGAACCTCCGCTTCTTGGCAGGCTCATGCGGGTCGCCCTTGTCATTGCACTGCGGCGGGTGGCGAGATTCCTGAGGGCTGGCGCCCTGGCTTTCCTGAGGTCCGCGCACCTCCAGATCGCAGCCGAAGAGGACGTCGGCCCCGGCTCCGATCATCGCAAGGTAGTCGGCGTCCATTCTTTGCTGGGACTCTTGCGGGCTCACACAGCTTGAAAAAAAAAAATTTTGGGCCTTTGCACTATGTTGAACTGAAACACTTGCACGGCTGTCCCTTGCCAATGGCGATGATCATCAACGAGCGCGGGATTTGATCTACCTAATGATATCCATTATCACGCCAAACCAAGCCAGCCCGTTGATAAAGATCATCATTAGGTCGAACACATCCTCAGAAACACACAGACACGACGCTCCCGCTGTGGGGGTTCACTTCTTGCTTGTATATCTTTACATGAGTGCTCGACGACCTGTCCTAGACTTTTGGCCGCGAGCGTTGTGCCCGTGAGCTCCTTGTGTTCATTCTCAAAATATCAAGCGTTATAATGTTGAACCATAGACGCACGCCGGCAAACCGGCGCACATTTTGCAAAGCCCCGAAGGTGAAGCGCCGGCGAACCTCCTACCGGGGTGTAGATGCCGCAGACCCAGACCTCACTGGGGATGGGCTGCGTACGCACTCCCCTCACAGGCAGAAGGCCCACGCCCGGTCGGCTTCCCGCTCCTCCGGCGGCTACCGGCAAACCGGCGCACATTTTCGATTTTCACGGAGCGAAGCCCCGCGCGCCTGGCAGAGTTTGCGCTCACCTTTCTCCATCCGCCATACGCAAACTTGCTGCTTGACAGCAGGCACGCGGGCTTACCTATCTGCTCGCTTGCACTGATCTTATTGCGCTCTGATTACTTACTGCCGTACGCAGCAGCCTGGGGGGGGCGAGGACGGCCAGTCCTACTCACAGCCTAATCATGAAACACGACCCAAAATTTTGGGCCTTTGCACTATGTTGAACTGAAACACTTGCACGGCTGTCCCTTGCCAATGGCGATGATCATCAACGAGCGCGGGATTTGATCTACCTAATGATATCCATAGTTCTCCAGGTGTCTACAACTTCTTTGAAGTTTGCTCTAATCCCGTAAGATATCATCTCTATCAGTCGTCAGCTATCGTTCGCTTACCTTTGCACTGGTGATGGGCAGCGAACAAGCGAACGAAGTGACGCAAGTTTCTGACTTTCTGAAGATTTATGCTCTCATCATAATCTGTTCATACTTACCTCATCTAGTTGCTCCTATATGTCTGCACCTACAGGCAGGCAGGTCGGCTGAGCAGCTTTGTCAATACCTTTTGAATTTGTGCAGCAGTGGCAGTCCACACAGAAATTTAATATATGGAAGAGGATATCACTAAAAATATCTTCGCGCAAATTATTTCTCAATAAAAAACTCAGACTGAAACTTTAACTTTGAAAGGCTGCAAAACCTTTTCGTAATTTTATGAATGATATTAGCGTTTCAACTTTCTGTAAATGGTAAGTACTTGCTTTCGCCAGCAACAGATGATTTCACGTAGTTTTTTCATTTTTGATTTCTCAGGAGTTGCAGGCTCACCGAGGAGACGCACGCAAGACGTGGATGACGTCCATGGTTCGACTCCAAGATGAGAAGTTGAAGGTCCTCAGAGGTGCAGATCGGCTGCTTCGCTTTGATAATTTATAGCAGAAGGGGGCTAAAAATAAAAAGCGGTGACGAGTTATTAACCATCAATTACGGATGTTGCTTCAGCGTTGGCGTAAACGTAACTGCACTTGCCTCCTTTCGCTAGTGAGTACGCATACGTAAATACTAGGAGAAATTGTAGCTACAGGAATTAGATAAACCTATAACAGACACACCAGCACTAGCACATTCAAGCTGGAATTGGTCTTTCTGGCGGCCGATAGACGAACCGCTCATGGAGCGTCTGCGGAACCAGCACGATTTATTACGAAAACAGCTGCCATTGGCGTGCACAAGCTTTACAGTCTTGTAAATGCGACTGCTCAACATGATGGAGCCGGGCTTCAAAAACAAGAAGATCGTGTAGACCGACACCGCAACTTTGTCGATGCACATGCAGCATGCTCGCGAGATAGAAGAAAGACAAGAGCAAGACGAGGGCTCTCCAGGTGAAAGTGAAAGCTCTACCGTAACAACTGCAAAAGCAAAACAGATCTTGAAACCTCTCGTAGAAAGAAGAAAAAGAAATACAAATACTGCGTTGAATATTAAGGATATAATCGAAGCGTTTGCGCCGAGGATGCAGTAGGACTCTGCACGTCACTGCCGCAAGAACCCCGTGTGTCTGTTCCAAGTGTTGGCTCACTTACTCTGGTCGTGGATGAAGTACGTTTTGTTTCCCCACGGATCTACAGTCTCGATCCACATGCACATGCTGCTTCTGCTCATTCTCTCATTTTTTTCAGGTCTTTTTCTAAAATACACACAGGTCGGCTATTCCATGACGGCCAAAGTTAATTATAGCATCTCCTTCATCTTCTGTCAAGTTTTATTCTCTGATTGTGATTTTCATTTTCCTTTTTTCCAAAACACACACTGGTCGGCTATTCCATCATGAAGACAGCCGAAGTTAATATAGCATCTCCTTCTGCCACTTACAAGAAGCAGTGATGAGCATACTACAATCTAAGTACAATCTTCGTTTTTCAACGCTATTCGTTTTTGATATTACTAGAGCAAGAGCTATCTTACTTGAAGCCTCCTTATCGAGGCAATTGCTTTCCAAAACAGCCACGTCAGAGATGAGAATGGCAAACCGGAGAAGAGCAGTCATATCCAAAATGCCGCTCCTGTTCCTCCTCTGTGCGGCGGCGTTGCAGGATTGGAGGTTTATTTTCGGAATAGAGGCGGTAAATTTCAACGAGCTCCCAGGTCACTACACAACACTCGTGACGCCTTCCCCGGACCCGGCGGCCAACAATGGAGTTGTCGACTTGTTGCAACGCGAACGCGCAGACAATTTCACGGAAATTGGGATGATACAAGTAGATGAGGTAGAGGTTCCATCCAGGCAATTGGAATTGCTGTTGCGCACCGACCAACGAAATGAAGATCTTCACGACCAGGGAACATCTTCACAAATGCCGTTGCCCTTGCCAGCTGCAGGTTTGGCACGAGGACCATTAACAGGAGTATCTCGTCGGTTGCCGCCGCGCCAACGGTTGCCCCCGCGCCAACGGTTGATACGCGCCGCGGCGGCATCTTCTCCTGCCGCAAACAGTGGAGAGGAGGAGCAAGAGCATCAGCATCTTCATGTCCTCAGCCCTCGCAGCCAGCAAATTATGAGCTCAGAACATTTGCGGTCGATGCTTTCAAAGGCCGTTGGCGTAGCCACTGGAGGGCGGGCTGCATCGTCCGGTCAACAAGGTCGGCGTCGTCGTCGAGGGGAAGGGGTAAATAATGGGCAAGAAGATCATGATGTTGCTCCTGGCCCTGCTCACAACATACCTAGACCTCCCGTGCAGCGTCCTCGTGGCCCACCACGCTGGCGATATTACCCCGGGCCTGGGTACACCAGGATGTTTTCTCGAGAGCCAGAAGAAATAAGAAAAGCGGCAGCTGCTGCTGCATCCTCGGGAACAAGCCGCTCTTCTGGCGCCGGCGGTGGAAGTCCTCTTGCGAGCGCTTTGAAACAAAATGGAGGAGCGCCAACACCTTCAACTACATCGGCGAGCACTACACAGACGACCGCCAGTACAGCACCTAGTACGACGACCAAAGAGAGCAGTTGTCATTCTTCCCGTCCGCTGATCGACCTGCAAGTGACAACGCTGGGTGGAGAGACGTACAAGGTCAAAAAAGTGGACGTGGAGAAAACCACAGTCGCGCAGGTTCTGCAGCAGATTCGTACCCTGGGTACTCGAGGCGTGAAATTTCACCCAGGCGTCCGGGTGGAATTGGTTCCGATAATGTTTCCACCTCAGCTTGAAGACAAGGAACATGGGACTGATGGCAGCTGCACTGCAGACCCGTTAACTAGAACTTCTCGCGAAAGTAGGTCGTACAGCAGTAATACCACCACAGTGCCCTCTGCGCCCTTCTCGCTCCCCTTGCGAGATTCGAATTCCTACCATCGGTATCTTCACGAGCCGATGATTGGAGTGGTAGTAAACGCTTTGCTTTCATCGGACGAAAGCTGTGTTACCACGAGGGAGCAGCAACTTGTCCAGAGAATCGTGGAGAACACGTACGCAGAAGAGTACTGTCCAATGCCTGTAGTCTCCTTCCCGCCGCCGGCACCAGCTGGTGGTGCTGGTGGTACCATTGCTGAGGAGAAATTGGTACTGCCGAAGATGAAACAAGTCCCGACTCTCTCTGCTAGTGCCGGCAGCAGCAGCAGCAGCATGATGACCACGACAAGCGGCTCGTCTCACAATAAGAGTAGCTCCTCGACGTGGTCGACGTCCCCTCCGCCCACTTGGCGGTTCCAGGTTCTGGCCACCGATGAGTGCCAGAAGTGGCAAGATCTGTACGAGAAACTGAAAGAAGAAAAACGGACTACACTGCTGCAGGTGCAGGAGGCGAAGCGGTTGGATTGCTGGGTGGTGCAGAGGCTCACTGTATGCATTGCAAAAGCATCGTACTAGAAGTATCTATAGATTGCATTACAAATTGGCTTAGCATTACAAATTAAGTTTGTAATGCGGATTTGCCTTCGAAAAAAAGATAAAGATAATGCATAAAAGCATTATAGTACAAGTGCGATTTAGTTTTGCACAGGATACACTGGCCCTCCGAATTTCCTGGTAGATCCGGATTCCGAAGAGATGCAGGAGTTATCCAGAAAAAAAAGACCCATCCCCAATCCAATTTCCAATTTGTCATATACAAAACAGGCATATTAAAGTGAAGTGCTTGTCATGCAAAAAATGGATTGGGCTTTGGGTGTTTTTTCCCGGATAGAAGTACCGCTACCACTACGTCCGCTACGCTTCTGCTTTGAAGAAGCACGAACGGAAAATCGACAGCCTCTTAGAATTATCCTGTGCAAAAGCATCGTACTCGTACTAGTTGCAGTTTATGCAAGATAAATTTCTTTTCCAAGCTAAATCAGCGTGACAAATTCCATTTGTCACGCTGACCTAATTTGTATTGCAATACTACGAACACGATGCTTTTGCAGTGCATAAGAATTGTCCGCAACGCTGCAGAAGTTTCAGTGGTACATGCCCTACCGGTTTCACAGCTATCTGGAACGGAGCATGAGACTAATGAGTGAAGAGCACCTGGTCTGGGAGAACAAGGAGCAGCGATTCATGAAGTATTTCTACTGGACCGCGGTGGACTGCATGAGCTTCACGGAAAGGTACATCGAGAAGATAGAGCCGAGCCACCAGCACGTCTTGCACAGATTCGCTGCGCTTACGGATTATACTGAGGAGCTATTACGGGAATATGGATATCTCGGGTCGTTAATGCAAATGACACATGGAGCTGCAGTTAATTATTGACGTGGATTCCACTGCTGTGGAGTGGTCGAGTTGTATTGTTTGATGTGGCATGATGCGCATGCTGTCCTTCCTAGAAGTGGACATTTTCTCGTGGCGCTCTACGTACCAGGATGGTGGATTTTTGACTTTCTGGCCACTGACAAGCTTCTACTTTAGAAAGTAAGCCAAAACCTAATGTCGTCGCCTTATTATCATTTTGTTGTCAGCAAGGCCAATCCCAATACATAGCGACGCACATTTGATCGGAATGGGGATTGGGCCCTGGGCCAGTGTGAGTGACGGCAATAATAAAGGGAGCACTAATGCTATCCCACGAAAAAAGTGTTACAGTTACGCATTTGTTGTAATTTCAGCATCACAAACTTGCTTTGCATGACAGAGGAAACTTGCAATGCAAAGATCATAAGGGAAAACACGAAGGAAACGAGTCTCCAAAGCATTTCCTGCATGACAAAGGTTGTCTGTGTTGCCGGTCGTGCTACACAATGTGTAACTGTAACACTTTTTTCTTTGCATAACTGCAAATGCCAGGATGAACTCCAGCTCTGTCATTTCGCGCGGCATGACAAACTTCGGCGGAGGTCGGTATTCCGCGAATTCTTTGAAGCAGCTGCAAAATGTATCCAACAAAAAAACTGTGTAAGTGTAACTTTGTGTTGCAGAAAATGCAAAACTGTTACACTTGTCATGCTGGACGTGCATGAGGGGCTCTTTTCGTGCGTGTTTTCACGTACTAGCTACGCATTACAGGTTTTCTCTGTCATGCAGAGCAAACCTGTGATGCTGTTCCTCCAAGAAAGTTACACTTACACAGTTTTTTTCTTGCATAAAATGTGATCGTGGAAGAGGATACGCATGGTAAAAGCATCGTACTACTAGGCCGTTATTGCATTACAACTTTTATTCACAGGAGAAGGAATGGAGCTTGTCATGCTGAAGAACGGTTTTAGGAGCAGATCATACCTGCCATGCATGATTGAGATTGCAAAAACTACTAGCACAACAGAACAAATCAGTGCGATGCTTTTGGAGAGGATAGAAAAGGAAAAACTGCAAAAGCTGACCGCCGAACTGGAAAAGTTGGACAAGGAGCACGAGGAATTTTGCCAGAAAAAGGAAACAGCGAAAGCCAAAATTGGCGAGCTGAAAGAGGAAAAGACGAACAAAGAGCAGGAGTTTATCGCCAGGGAAAGAACTACACCTGTTCTCATCTTCCAATGAATTATTTGTCACGCAAAATACAACATGAACGTCTACAGCCTGCGCTTTTAGTATCCTATCTTCTACTAATATCAAATCATGCAAAAGATGTATTGGGAAGATGGATATTTTTTTCCTCTGGATAGAGCTGACCGAGCAGAAGAGACAGTTGATAGAAAAGCGAAAAGCCAGCGCAGAAGCGGGGAAGAAGCTAGACGGTTGCAAGGGCAAAGTGGAATCGCTGCAAGGTATTAGTTGACTCTGTGTCCTCGTCTGCTGTAGTGGTCTCAGAGCTTTTTTACAATAGCAGATGTGTTGTTGGTATAAGGTTATCTCAATTTCTATTTCTGTGGCTGATTTTGCCATCTAGTATGTAGTGTTTTATTTCTACTGGCCCTATAATCTTCACTTTCTATCAGGTTGGCGCAGCGATTTGTGGCGTCACGCGCTAATGGACGCGGTGCAAATTCCGGTGTTGCCGATTCCGATAGTTGGTACGAACGGCGGCCAACATGTTGCAGGTCCTGGTATAAGCGGAGGTCAAAATCCAAATCCGCAGCAGAAGAACAAGAAAAAGCAAAATAAAAAGAACCTCCTTTTGCCACCGGAGTCCTCAGAAGAAGAGAATTACAAATCTTCCTGTAGTCGCAAATTGGTAGAATTTGTGAAGGCCAATCCCAATACATAGCGACGCACATTTGATCGGAATGGGGATTGGGCCCTGGGCCGACAACGTCCTACTCTGATCAGTTAGAAAGTGAAAAAAAGGCTTACCGGCAATCCAGCAATGAGATAAGTATTGAAGTTGAGTAAGATTCCTGCCTCTTGCTCTTTCGTGATTTAGAAATGTCGAGCCAGCTCTATTTGCTTGAAGTTTTCCCCACGTGATGCCTTGCGTGGCATCGGTCTGTTGCACTCATGCAACTAGTCGACGCACCCTCTTGTGCAGTCGTTTGAGCTAGAAACTACCTTTCACCTTTTCCCGCTGTGTGTATAGGCTGGCAACACAGATTCCGTCTGGTCTACAGGATGGCCAGCGCCTTCCCCATTTGCCGCTGGAAGTCACGCCAGCACTTGAACTAATCTTTGTTTAGAAATTAGAAAGCCCCTGATGAGAACGACCAGTCGCCACGAAAAAGTGCCGGCAAGTAGATATAATGTAGGATCTGGCAGCGGTGTTACCAAGAAAGCTGCAGCATGCAGCGACAAGGCAGCTACCAGGTGGCCACAGCGTAGAACCACCGAAGCAAACAGTTTAAAGCTAATTTAGAAAAGCAAGAGAACTCCTCACCCTAACTAGACGGGAACTTTTCGCGAACTACTCTTTTCTGATTCCTTCAAAAAAATAAACACGAAGAACCACAGGGGAAGACCTGCCATGCGCCGCGGGGTTGTTCGTTTGTTTGCGTTCGCTCCACATGTGTATATCAAATAAAGAGAAAGCAAATCGGCCAGAGCGGGAGGAGAGGGTCTCATATGTCGAGCAGAGCCGTGGTGGATATGGCTGGAACACAGATAGACCCGACGGAGCCGATCCATCCACGCACCAGGCGGCGCGCATTTTCGCAGACGACGTTGCCTTCCGGACTGGGGACGCACATCTCGCTGTTTCTCCAGGACATTCCGCACGAGCGTGTCGCCGCACTTCGTCCGCGGCTCATCGGAGGCGGGAGGCACTCTATCGTGGCCGCCGCCGACTTCTCTTCCTGTTCAGGCCCGCGACGAGACGGCGTTTCTGGGGTGCGAGGACGCGCTGCGCTGAAGGATCGAAAAAATAAATATGCTTTTTTTGAAAATTTTGATCTTGGGAAATGGGACCACTTGACATAGCGACGCACATTTGATCGGCATGGGGATTGGGCCCTGGGCCGACAACGTCCTGTCTTTTTCACACCATGCCTCCGAATGTTGTGAATAACTATGAAAAGCAAACGATGTTAAGAAAAAGCCGAATTACAATCGCACTGCTAGTCGGAACGAAGTAACGTTCTTTTATCTTTTTTGGTGTTCCGATGGAGCTCGTTATTGTTTCTTTGCAAGGTTATTTGCGCCGATAAATCTAAATCCGCATCAACTCCGATCGTTTATCCTCGCACATTTTTTTGCACGCGGCGGCGGCCCCCCGCGAAGTCCACGACGTCGACGTAAGTATACTTTAATCACAATCGGTAGGATTTGGTTATAGTGCGCTCAAAAACTACGCAGCCTGCCACGATAAAGCAAGCATGACGTCGTCCTTGTCCTCGAGTTCTTCGCTTCTGACGATCAGACAAATGTGGCAAGTGGGTCAGCCCAAATCGCTCCGGACCCTCGCAGTTCCAGCAGCGCGGTCCCGATGGAGCAGCGGTTCTTTCTTTTGTGAAAGAATAAGCAAGAACGCTGCTGCGTATCAGTTTCAGAACCCACAGCATCCCCTCGCGGCGCTGCAACCACGATTCTACGCCGTAGCAGCAAGAGACGCTGGTGGTGCTTCAGCTTCTACGACATCGACAGTGGATGAGAAAGCCGTTCCAGCCTCTGAACCGCCAAAAACTACAACAACTCCCATGATTTCATCGAGCGGGAACAAAATTTCTTCGAAACCCACGCCCAGCATTTTCTCCCGTGCAAAATACTTCACTTTCGGCGTCGTTTTCGCGTCGGGGGTTTCTTTCTGGATTTTGATGCTGGAAGGGCAGAAGATGGTCGATAGATTGGAATTATCCGTGCAGAAAGTGGTGGAGTATCAAACGAGGGTGGAGAAGCGATTGGACAGGGTCGAGACGGCGATGGCGGCTGGCTCCTAGTGAGGATGAAAACATCAGCCAGGAGGTCGTCATGATTTCTTCTGCAAACGAAGAAAAATAAATAAGGTGCAAAAAATGTGATGATGAACAAACCGGAACCGAACTAGGACGCCGCGTCTTTCTCATGCGTATCTTTTTTGATGCCAAAAGGCCTGCGTGCCTCCTGTTGTTTCGTCCGAGCGTTATTTGCAAAACTGTTCAATCTTATCTTCCAAAAGGAGAGCCTTGTGCCTCTTGTCGTCCGTGCCATGCTCGATGAATTGGAGCATGATTCTGCTCTCATCGGTTCGTCGTCCACTTGTTGTCTGATTTCGTTCGAAATTACGACGCAATTTTCGTTGTTGGAAAAAGGGTGCACATGCACACCAATCGGTCTCCTGCAGAATTTGTTCGTACGTTCTGGCGTGAACAACAAACCCCAATCGTACTTGACGTGAATCCAAATGTGCGAAAGACGACAGCAAGCCGTTCGCTATTTGTAATTTGAAAGATTTATAACAGCTGCAAAAGTAGCTGTAGCAGGCGAGGTAAAAAGACGTCGTGTGTGAGAATGATTCACAACAGGCCGCCACTTTGTTGAAAGAGGTACCCCCGACGAGATTGTGATTGTGCTAGTTTCGAGTTACCCCCAGCAGCATTTCCCTTTGACGAGTTTGTGTTGTTGTTTCCATCTTTACTTGCATTTAGTTTCAGTTCCGTCGTTCTTGTTCTTCAAAACATCGCGTTTTATTTAGTCGTAAAGAACATCTACCAACACCACCACCCTAGTTGACCATATTTCAACACCTTGAAAAACTTTAGTTTCTGAGGCAGCGGAGTGGTTCTGCCAACCCGCGCGCAGGTCAAAATGGAGGGTGGCGATCAGCTTTCTCCGAGCAATCAGGAGGTTATTGCGGAGGAAATTGAAAGCGAAATATGAACTGCAAATAAAGTATCGTACTAGAATAAATTGCAATACTATCGAAGAAAAAAACACCATCACAATCACAAAACTCAAATTTTCAAAATTTTTGACCATCAAAATTAAAATTTCGCTGGACTTTCGCGGCACTCCCGAACCTGTTGTATCTGGTTTTGAATGTTGAGTTTTGCAGCAGATGATTTATGATATTGGCTATTGGCGGTAAGCTAGCTAGTTAAGAAGAGAGAGTTCTGAAGACAATCGCTCAGCTTCCAGCAGACGAACAGTGGTAGATGGGGTTGTCGCCCTCTGGCCCCACCTCGTAAGTCAAAACGTCGACTTCGGACATCCACAGCTCGAGCTCGCAAAACGTCTAAGTAGGGTATCCACTGCTCCGGCTCCGGCCCATAGATCTAGACTCTAAATCCCAAGGCCCGAGCAGCCAGATCGCCAAACGATGCATGCGCTCCGGGCTCTAGGCCCCAGCGATCAGAGCCAAGCTCTCACAGCCAAGCCAGCAGATGGCTTGGAGATCTAGAATATTCGCGGTCACCAAATTTGTCACGCAGATCTCAAATGCGTTCCACTTCTACCGCGTTCCACGGTTCCTCATATTTGTCATGCGCCGACTGCGTTGCGACCCAAACCAAAAAGCTTCATTTCCAAACCACCTCCAGGGCTTATCTAATTTCAGCGCTGTCGCAGACATCAGCTTTCCACTTTCGTACTTTTGCTCGGTCGTAGCATCAGTCTTCTCGATTCACCGTAATCGCTTTGAACTTCCACCTTTATCATCTCCACCGCAACGGTAACTTCGTCGGATTCCTCGACATATGCATTAGAAAATTCCAGTTTTCCCAAGTTTGTCATGCATTTTTAGCATGACAGATATTTTGCAGACGTAGACTTATGCATGACAAACTGGTTGGGAATGACTGGAGTTTTCATCTTCATAGGGCTCGACTTTCCGCTCTCGAAGACAAGCAAGATGTCTGGACGCCAGGAGATCATTCTCAACGCCAAAACCACGGGGAACTACGGTCCTTTGACCGCCCCCGAGAAGAAAAAAGAGGCGGCCCGCCTGGCTGTGTGCTTGAAGATCATCTTGTCGCACTTGAAACCGGCCGACATGCTGGACTTGATCAAGCACTTGCAGGATGCCTATGACGAGTCCCAGAAGAAGCCCGAAGAAAAGTTGGGCGGCCAGGTGTTCAGTGGAACCAATTTCAAAGGTACTACTTTGCTGTTGTCTGATGCGCTTGTGCTGTTGTTGTAGGGTCGGTTTATAATTTTCTTCATTTTTTCCCGTCCGACATGAACTCATATCTTGATAAGAGATTGTCATGCGAAAATGAAACCAAAAATATATCTTCACAGAGGGGTGGAAGTCGATACCCATCAAATTCCTGCAAAAATGGACGGCGCTGGTTTTTGAGTGCGGGGCCCAGGACGTGCAACGCGTCCTGAAAGAGGCCGAGCAGGCGTGGGTCCTCTTTCGGACCATGGGAATTACCGACATTCACGTACTTCATCTTGTTTTTTTCAAATCTGTCATGCATATGTGTAGTTTTTTGCATCACAAATTCATCACTTGTGTTGTGCTCCAGAGCTTCAGCTTTGGCGCTGATCCCGAACCACCTCCTCATAACAAAAAACAGCCGCCGACCGGAGGCGAATCGGCCGCTACGGAGAAGTCCTGCGTGGGTGAACTGCGCTGGTGGAAGCAGAACCGCCCGAAAAAGTTCCGCAAAGCGGCCAAAGAGTTGCGCCGCTTGATGCGCGGCGACCACGAACCGTCGGAATCCGGTAGCAGCGACAGTGACCACGATTCGGCTTTCGGAGGCGAAAAAAACCGCAATGCCAGCACCGATACCTCTGATTCCAGTTCTTGCGGAAAAGGTCGCCGCGGTGGGAAGAAAAATGCCAAGAACAAGAAGATGAAAAAGGAGAAAGCTAAGCCGAAGGTACTTTTGTTTGTCAGATAAGTCGGTGCAAATTTACACACAACACAAAGCTTCGCCAGCCTATTCATTCATGCGCAATACAGACATCTGAAAAGTTATATCATGACTGACCAATCCAAAAACTAAAACAGGGCTCGATTTTGGCGCTGGCCAACAAGCCGAAGTCCATGATGTTGAACTTCCGCGACAGCTCCAGTGCGGATCGCAAGCGTGGCCGCTCCAAGAATGTGACCATCAAGCGCCGCCGCAAGCAGTCCTCTTCTTCCGCGCCATCCACCCCGCCCAAGCGGAAAAAGAACAAGCCCGTCCGCCAATTGACCCCGCACCCCCGTTACATCGAGCAGCGTGCGGGTCTCCCCGGGTCTTCGAGAGACATCTTCGCCCCGAACCACAACTACTCGCTGCGCGACTACCGCAAGATGCGCTCGTCGGGGAAGCCGAAGTCTGGGAAACCGAGTATGCTGCTCGCGGGGAAGGAGACTTCGAAGAACAAGCGGAACGTGTTGGAAAGCGTGGACGAGGAAGAGGAAGACGCCGACTCTATCGGCGACTCTGATTCCCACGCCGAAGATTCCATGGACAACTACTTCCGCCACAGCCCCAACCTCGACAGTATGATCGATGATGGGGAACTGGATGATCAGGAGTCGAAGTCGGGACTGCCTGCTACCCCGTTGTCGCCGGATTCTTCTCATGGTGCTTCGAAAAAGCGCGGCCGTGGCAAGGGGAAGGATGATAAGAAGCCGGCTGGGAAAGGTGCTGCTACCCGCACCAAGAAAAAATCGGCCGACAAGAAGGACGATAAGAAGGAGGCTCCGAAGCCGACGGTGAAGGTCCCGGGTACCGATGAGCGCCCGTCGCGTGGTAGCGCTTTGTCGGACAAAGCCAAATCCCTGCGTGCGAAGCGTGAAAAAGCGACGAAGAAGGCGACTGCCTCGCAGGCTTCCGGCCGTGGTGCCCAGTCCTCCCAGAAGTGTATCTACTTGAAAACGGCCTCGCTGCAGCATTTGTTTCCAGGTTTCTGAACGACAAGGTTGTTCATTTTATGGAGAAGTTGATTTCTCTAAAACGAAAAACGCATGACAAGTTCAGCCTCCTGGAAATTTCTGCAGCGGAGGCTCGTTTTCAATTGCATAAACGCCGCTCCGAAAACCCCGGAGTCGAAGGCGCGCACTCCGCGCGGCAAGAGTCCTGTCGCGACTCCGGGATCCGAAAAGAAGACGAAGATGTTGCCGCCGAAGCTGCCCGCGCCGAAACAGGATAAGTCCACCCCCATGAAGACGAAGTTGGCCAGTACTCCGGGCAGCTCGGGGAAGAAAAAGAACGACGACAAGACTGCTGCGTCGCAGAAGGACCCGCCCCCGTCGGAGAAGAAAAACGACAAGCACTATTCGCCGAAGCCCAAGACGGGGCCTCCGGCTAGCAGCAGCAAATCCACGAAGGGTGAGGTCAAGGAGGAACAGAATACCTCGAAAAAGGACGAGGTGAAGAAGGACAAAACGCAGTAGGTGCTGCTGGTGCAGGCCGAATCAACATCGTCAAAACTGCGGCGTTGCAGTTTTTCACAGTTCTATTTCGTCGCGGGCCGACAAGAGCAAACCGATTATTCGTAGAAATAAAAGCTCATCGGAGGTGCCTACATCCTCCCATCAGCAACTACACTCGAAACCGGTGCCGATATCCGGACCAGTGCAGCGGGACACTGATATCAAAACCTGTCTACATACGTCACGCGGTCCTGCATGACAAACTTCAAACAACAAATGAAAGAAAGGAATAAAAACAACGTCCGATTTAGCAGCACCATCACCAGCAATAATTTCGAATATCCGGCTAAAACAACTTCGGCTGCGGCAGTAGTAGTTCCCGAATATTCATCAACTGATATCTTCACCTCCACCGCGTTCGGTCTCGGCGACACTGATCTCCCAGTCCTTATGGATTTGAAAAATTCTACCCCACTTTAGTGAAAGGCTAAAGCGCAAGATCGGAATCTGTCACGCGTGACAAGATGATATCTCGTTACGATTTCACAGCGACAGGAATTAGTCATGCATTTTGTAAAGTGTCACGCGTGTGAGGATGAGGCATCTTGCAATTGTGCCTTTCGCTAAGGTGGGGGCATCGTTTTCATTTCCATCTGCGGACCACGGTGTCGAATCAAACGAACTATCAGGGAAAGAACTACATTTATTTGAGTCGATGTCATCGACGATTTCTACTCCTCGATTGAGGAGAAAATGAACATTTTCGCCGCGTATGGAGCTTGCTCCTTTTGAATACATTGCTGAGATAAAGTGTGAAGCTTTTCGAGCTTCGCAAAAACTTTATTTTTTAACTGTTAAGCGGACGGATGGAACCCAATAAAGCTGCGCCCTTCTCATGTTTGCCGACAGGCTACGTGCCCGCTACCGCTTCTTCTTCTTTCGTGTTCCTCAACCTCCTCCTTCCGAAATGAAAAGCTCCTTCCACCGAAGCTCTATGGTTCCGCGAAATCAAAATAACGTGATCACCGCCCGGATCACCAATGGCTTTGCCGTCGATCAACGTTCTCGTCGCCTACAGCCACGACCGCAGGAGATCCCAAATTTCTGCTCATCGCTCGGCCCTGCGGTGCCTCGTTCTTCCACCAATGCGCTCCATCCAACAACAATTCTTTTTTCAATTTTCTCCCCGGTTCTGCTGCTTCTCAGCGAGTTCGGACGACAAGGCTCCACGGAAATCAAAACGCAGGTCTTTCGTTCTCCACCCGATCTTGATTGCGACTGCGAAAAGTTCTTTCCGATGCATGCATTTTGAGCCATCTTCTAACAGGGCCTTCGTTTTTGCACTTCGTGCGAAAACAGGACTGGAATTCCACTTGATTGCAAACTAGAGCTTCTAGGTTTTGTAGCTTCTAAATCTACGTAGCGACTCAGATTCAAATATAGTTTTTGTGCGGGTTTGCGCTCCGCGCTTTCTCGATAGCGACATAGTTTGAAGATGGTGCAGGTGTATCCGATGTCAAACGCCCCTCGAAAGTTGTTTGCTGTGCCATGCACAACCTTCATTTGTCATGCACGGAGTGCATGGCTGCATATCAAACGACTCTCGTGGGGCCAGTTTGCCATAGGATATACAGAGCAAGAAACTGCACGAGAACGGCACGCTGATGCTGTGCCGCATGCTCAGCGACACGTGCGTTGGCAACTGGAAGCGCCAGCGTGGAGCCTTGGCTCCGAAGTGGTCCCAGTGGCGCCTGGAGCTCGAGCAGTCCGAGATGTACGGCACGGCGGAGGACCTGGACATGGAGAACGGCACCTGCAAGACCAATATGGGACTGGAGATGGTGCTTGTTTTTCTTTTCAACCTTTTCCTCTACTTTTTCGTGGGGCAAGCTGCAAGAGCTGCATCTTCAACATGGCGAAGTGCTTTCGAGGCATTTGCCCGAGGGCATTTTCGCATGACAAATTTAGAGCACGCTGAAAGACGGCGCCCCTACATGCATGACAAATTGGGTAGTTGCGGTCGAACATCATTTGCGCATCACAAACTCGAAACTGATGAGAAGAAAAACGTATTTTCGCAATACAAATTTAAATTCTTTCAGGCCTTGTTCCTGTTGTGGATGAAGGGGCGCGGGTACAACGACCAGGTGAAGGCGTGGCTGGCCACTGTCCGCTATAAGCCGCAGGACCTCAACGACTCCGACAGGCTGCAGCTGATCGCCACAGCTTTGGAGAAGGCGCACTGCGAGTCCGAGGTGTCCGCACACCTGCAGCTGGTAAATCGTATCCACCTTCTTTTGTCGCATTAGGTCGCGCTACTTCCGCTTTTCCAAAATAGATATGATAGCCACGCCTCGAGCTGCATGATTTCCACTTCTTTCCCGCAATACAGATTCTCCTCAAGACCCAAAAAAATCAACCCAGACCAATCTGCTGCGGGGGACGCTCGACTTGATCATCTTCATGAACAACCTGCTTGGCGTTGTCCACTTCGAGTACCCCGGCGAGTACACCCAACTGAGTGACCAAGTGTGGCAGAAAACGATCAACATTCAGACCGATGAGAGTACAAAAGGGCAGGAGAAAAAAGCCTCCTTTGCGGTATAGAGTTTAGATTTCTTTTGGTTGATTCTCGCATGACAAATTGCATCAGTCGTTGTTTCCTTGGATCTGTGCATTACAGAGCTTCGCCTTATACGATTTACGCATTACAAACTCAGGCTTACTTGAGCTTCATGATCAACCCCGTCCGGAAGTTTGTCACCTACTTCTTCCCGCTGATCTTGCAGCGCCCGAGCCAACGGCTTCCGGGAGGGAAAAACCCCGTGCACTCCGCCGCGCAGGGCAAGGCCGTCGACTTGTTCCGGCTTGTCCACTGGCTCGGGGGGCCGGCCTTGGTGCGAAAACTGGTCGGACCGTTTTACAGTGGCTGGCGCCACTGTTTGATCATAGATAGTGATCAAGAAGAATCACAAGTACGTTCTGGACAAGGACTCGGCTACGTGATCAACTGTGTCACGCGCCTCGGCATCCATCATCGACTTTCAAATATATGCAGCCGCGTGTACCTTGCCATCGCGCGGGTCCGATTCTGTTTGCGAGATTTCCTCCGCGGCCAATACGCACGTAACAGCCTCCGCGGCGCCTACGAGGCTGCGAGGCAGCGCCTGCTGCAGAAGTGCGACGAGGAGAACTTGTGCATCGTGAAGGTCGAGCGGCAGACCGGGAAGACGACGAAAAAGGCGCTACAAGAAAGTACTTCGATTTTGTTTCTCTTAGCGTTCGGTAGTGCATGCAAGTGGTTTATGTTGATTTCAGGTTTTGGGCTCAATACAAGTCGGCTTTTTATTTTGAAATGGCCATCACAGCGCCCTGAAACAAGATGGAGGAAGCTCGTGGCCAGCGGCCCGGTAGCCAAACTTGCCCCAAGTCGAAAGCCGGAACCTTCGGCTTTCGATTTTTTCAAAAGTGAGCGCTTTGATTCTTGGTCGCACAGATCAGAAAGAGAAAAAGTGCTCAAAAAGTGAGTTCGAAAAGGGACAAAAAGTGCAAAAAAAAACATGGCTTTTTTTCATTTTTTTGTGGAAAATCAAACGTGATGGCGTTTTTTATCCCCACCTGTATACAAAAAAGCGAGTTGTGATGGTGTTTTTTATCCCCACCTAAAATGGCACTTTTTGCGCTTTTTGTAAACGTGATATTTTTTGAATCCCCACCTAAGTGCAAACGAAAGAAGCAAAAACAAAAACACCACCACAACCGGAAAAGTTCAGTTTTAGGCGCGGACTCCGAAGTCGCTTTTTTTTCAAGTTTTTCAAAAGTGGTTATTTTGTGAAGTGTGATGCTCGCCTATAGGTGGGGACTCACTCTTTTTTTGGTGCAACATCACACCAAAAATGAAAACATTTTTTGTTTTCGGGGGGGGTCCAAAAAATATTAGAGTTAGCGAAAAAAAATGTCTATTGTGATTGACAAAACAAATAATGAAAAGATTGTTTTTCAAAGTCGAAAGCTCTTGATCGTCGTCTTCAAATCCGCCCAAATCTCGCAATACAGATGCGTCGCTGACCAGTATGGTGGGAGCCCGCTGGTTTGCGGAATGGGCGGTGGCACAGTGGCTGCTCAGAAACAGCGAAGTGGTGATTGCGATCTTGCGCGAGATGTTGGACTTCGAGAACGGGTTTCGGGCCAGAGTCGACGGCTCGGAGCGTGGCCAGCCCTCGACTTTTGAGGATGGCACCGCGCTGGATTATCTCGACCTGTTTCCTGCGCCACTGGTTTTGACCGAGGAGGGCAGTGTCATGGGCCTCAGCAGTGATGTGTTCGGTGGAAGATATGCATGACAAACAGCTAGCAATCTGACCACGTGGAAATGTGAAGAATAAAGATGTCATGCGGAAATGAACTCACAGCTGCGTTTCCTATATGCGCAGGCTGCAGTTGTTTGTCCCTTGCATAAGAATGGAGAGGATCTCGTGGCGGCTGAAGTCGATCGCAATGACACGCTGCTGGACTACGAAGGTAATCTTGTTGATAATCCGGATGGAGTGCAGCAGCAGCCGGTCGGCAACTTGTTGGCCCCCATGGACGTCGAGATGGAGGACGTGCAGGATGATCCAGATGTTGCTCCGATTGTTCCTCCGGCCGCCAATCCGCCCGCGCAGCAGCAAAACGCTCCCGCTGGGAATTTAGGTGATCCGGATGACGACGCAGATGATGAAGTACGAAAGTGAAAAACTCTTTGTAGAACGGGTTTGGTAGTTTGAAGCTTCTAGTTGTAGAATTTCGAACTTGTCATGCAAAATTTCCAAATTTCGTATCTACAAAGAGGCTTTCACTTTCATACACTGCTCCCGAAGGAGCTGCCGGTCGCGGAAACAACACTCGTCGCACGGACAAGCAGCGGACGCTGGACCTTTTGAACTCCATCGAGAATTGCGACGAAGACCGAGCCCGGCACTACGTCGACTCCATCAAAGTGCACCACTCGTTTCACTCCATGCGCCTTTCCGTCACCGCCGGTGCTTTGTCGACAGATCGGGGACGAGCGGAAATCAAGGCGAAGTACACGCCGCTGTTTCCCTGGGCCAACTTCGACGGTCAATGCCACGACTTTCTGATCAGCGTGGAGGAGAACATGCCGGGGTTCTTGCTTGCTGCCATGCGGCAGGCTTGCAAGAACATCCACAACCTGCAGGAAATGCACTCCGCCATGTGCATCATGATCTTCACCATGCGATTTTACTTGTACACGTGCTTCGACCCCAATTTCGGGCTGTGGTTTTCGGTTGTGTTCCGTCCCCGCATCTCTGACGCCCACATCATGGCCAACGATATTAAGCACGACGTCCTGGACACGACGGCCGGAAATGGCGTGTTTTGCCGGAAGCTGAATGTCTTCGCCACCTACATTCAGAACCTCCTGAACACCGATTCGGAGCTTGGGGAGGAGGTGTTGAAATTGATTGTGATCAGCGGTGCAACGGGGGAATTTGAAGGCGAGCGGCACTGGCGTTATGCCAGTGTCGCACAGAAGATTTTCCGCGCCCTCCAAGGCCGGTTCAAGTTGTCTTTCGGCCGCTTGCGCTGGGCCGAAAAGTGCATGCAACTGTACCGGAAGACTCCGTCCCTGTGGGGCTCGAGTTCCCGCCACGCCCCTGCCCCGGTTTCCCAGATCCGCCCGATTTTGGCAAACACCGCTGATCCGCCGACCGCTGCGTCTTTCCGTGAAGAAGTTTTGCAGGAGTCTAAGGACGCTCCGACCCTGCAGCAGCAGTTCAAAGTCCTGGAGGACCTGCGGATGTCCCATCCGCTTCCGGAGCCGATGGTGGAGATCGCGAATCGAATCAAGCTGGAGACTATCCTCTGAAAAAAACTAAAATGAGTGTTGCTCTCATGCATGACAAACACATAATGTGGCACTGGAAAAGAACTCGCATCATGGAAAACATTCACTTTAGACATTTTTCTTTGGGATAAATTCTCTGAGTGACGACATCGCCGCCAGCGCCATCAACTACGTGAAGCCGGGTTTGGAGACCGCGGTGCGCCTCCAGGCCAGTCGCGTCGAACAGACGGCCGACATCCCGATCTTGGAAGAGGTTGGCAAGCGTTTATCCAGATGAGCCTCCTGCTCGCCATCACAGATTTTGTAATGCGCGAGGAGCAGACGCGGCATCTTGCATCACATTTTGCGCATGACAGATGGTAGTGATTTCAGGGAGCAGGAGGCTCATCTGCATAATCTGTTGACAATGCTCTGCGCTTGCGGCACCGCGCTGCCGACCACCGCCCGGTCTGTGCTATCGACGAGGAGGACGGGACTTTGGGAATGATCATGTGGTTGGTCTTGCAGATTATCGACGGGAAGTGGTTCGGAGTGTCGATGACCAGAGTTCCGGGAGACGTGCTGATGATCGCACTGGCGTACAACCAGATGCAGCCGGGGTGGGGATTGACGGCCCATCTCTCCTTCATGGAGATATGCATTGCAAATTTGTCATGCGGAAGTGTAGATTTGTGCTTCTTGCCCGATCGCTGCAATTCCGAAATATAAAGTTGAAGCACAAATCTACCGCTCCGTGCGCATGACAAATTTGCAATGCATATTCTGACTACACCATTTCGTTTCATCACGGGCAGCTGCGGTTCCATTTCCAGCAGGCGAACATCATCGAGTTCAAGCAGGGAGTGATGGAGTGCATCAACCACCTGCCGTCCCCCATCCTGAAGGATGTCATTCGGATTTACACCGGGAAGTCGATCATCAGCTCCCCCCCCGCGAGCATTTTGCGGAAGATTTTGCAGGGACTCGCGGACGAATCTCGTCCGATCGAAGAATCTGTGGCGGAAGTGAAGGAGTTGTTGGAGAACAACACCATCCTCATCGACGGGATCAACGACGAGCCGATTGTGCGCCGTCGCCGCAACAACACGCTGCTCATTCCCCGTGAAGCGGGCGAAGGCGGTGCGGGAATGGAAGGAGTGGACCGGGCTGGGCGCCGTGAGCTCGGCCGGGTCATGAACACCACGCAATGGGCGGACATCTGCACGGCTTGTAACGATGACGTCCACCTGGTCCGCCGCAGCCTCCGTCGTACCGGACAGGTTGGTGCGATGCTGCGGTGTGTCTGGCCGAAAGGTACTGACTTCGGTCCCGGACCGAAGCCGCAGATGACGACTACTATCGGCGGCCGCCAAAATCTCATTGAGATTATCGAGCAAGCCTTCTGTCCCGGCACCCTGCGGCTCCACAAGTTGCAGTGCCCGGACTGCGAAGAGCTGCTGGTCCAGGAGCGCAGCATGCGAGACCGCGCCGGAGAGGTCCTGAACTTGGTTGGCTGCTGACCTCCAGGCCGACGACGAGCAGAACTCCGATGATGACTTCGATCTTTTCGACAACTGAGCCCGGTACTATGAGATGCAAAAATGACCAGCTTTCACGCCAGCGGTGGTTTGCATGACAAATCAGTGTCCTCGTAGCCATTTCATACCTAAAAATCCACTCTCGCATATCGCTCTTCTCAAGCCATGTGCGATAGTGGAAAAATGCATGACAAATTTTGAACTTGCGGAACTGTATCCGCCGCTGGCATCGCTGGCATTTTTGAAGCTGATATTCTCGACGAGTCGGCGCGTAGAGAAGCAAAAAAGTGCTTTCAAGTGGAAGCGAGATAAGATTTATTCTAGAAATTCTTTTTGCATAGAAATCGCATGCGCTTTGTATTTCCATAGGTGGTTATACCTTTCTTCTTTTATAAGTGGTTCGGCTTTCAACATTTAGATTTAGAAAGCAGGAAGAAATAGAACTATCTGCTCGCGCCACTACCAACAAAATTCGATTTGTGATGCAATAAATGATTTATTTTTATATCTCGTGTTGATATCAATCCGTCTCCGGGTGTGGTGTTGCTCCATCCGCAATCTTTGTGGTAGGGTTTCGCCAGACTCCGCTGTAATCCGGATTTGTTTTCCGATCTAGACGAACTGATGGAACAACTACACAACTTGTCATGCAATAACTTCACTTCTCGCCTCGAAAGAAACGAAGAAGAAACAGAAGCAAAACGCATGACAAATTTCAAACACACTTTTCTTTCTCCTGTAGTTTGAAGCTGCGTAGCATCACTACAGGCGAATACTGCTGCACGTTAATACCACGCGATTTATTTTCTGAGAATGAAACTCATTTTTGAGTGGACTTCTCGCAATCTGTCATGCGCAATTTATGTTGCGAAGGAACTGGCCCGGGTGGACATATGGCAATGTAGGGAATCGGGTACATAGTTTTCGCATCACAGATTTGAAATTATCGAAGGTTTTTATCATGAAATAAATGAACTACTTCAGGACCCCTCAATAAATGACCTCAGCTGCACTACCCCGCTTGGAATAAGTGAGTCGCTTTGCCTATCTCAAAATATAGTGTTTCTGCTTCTGTTTCTTTCTTGTTGGTGAGCTTCTCCGCACCTCGGCATCCACTTGAAAAATTTGTGATCGAAGTAGAGTTGTACTGGTCCAGATTGAGGCTCGGCAAGGTCCTCGGGGCTCGTTGCTAGCAGTCAAAATCATCGCTGCTATTTTTATGTTGTGTGGGTCTGCAGGAGCCACCGGAAATCACTTATAGCTCCATAGCGTCGTCAGAACTTTCGCTGTTGACGTTGACCACTTTGCTCAGCATCTCCTGCAGCTGAGCAGCATGACAAATCTGCTCCTTCGATAAATAAAACTCATCCGCCCAGGACGCTTCACCATTTTCCACGTAGTTCAGGTTCTCCGGATATAGTGTTAGGGTCCCGGACCACCGTAGCCTGTGTGTGGATTTGTTTCAGATGATTCTGCTTATTCATTCTGCCTCTTAGAAATATCCTTAGGCTTTGTTTGAAAACGAAAACACAATGGTGCGAAAAGCAGCTCTTCGACAAGGCAGTCAGAAACTGCTTACGTTTCATCCGTGGGCTATATGGAATTGAAATCTGCGTCCGTGGCTAATCTGTCATGCGTTTCTGTTGAGAAGCCGCTGCTTCTGAAGTTCTACCATTGCTGAGATCTGCTTTACACGCTGTCCAGGTTGTCGCTCTGCATGACAGACTTTGCACGTTCGGCATGACAAAGCTACATAGTTTGGACAGAGAGCTTCTGCAGGCTTACTGCCATCAGCAGAAACGTATTCCAGGCGAGCCACGGACGTCAGGTTTCATCGGATAAGTTCTGGGGCGTAGCCGTGAAGCGATAGGGCCCGAATGGGGAAGAAGAAAGTGCCCGCGTAGCTGTGAGCCGGCCCGCGGTTTGCGCGCACATGCAGCAGGAAGGCGTCGACTTGGTCCGGGGTGAAGCCCGATCCGTTTTTCCTGGTATAATATTTTATGAAGATTCCAATCTTTCTCTCAATAGGTTTAGGGTGGCAATGCTCTGGCCTGTTGCGGCGCGGTCTCATGAGTGTGTAATGCGGGAGGCTGCAGTGCCCAGAGCTGCCGCGGCCGACCGCGAAAAAACTTAAATGTGAAATAGCATGATGCCTCGCGGTGCTCACCCTGATGCCCGCCACTTCACCGCGCCCGTTTAGTTTGAATTTCGCGGTCCTTTCCTGGCGCCGTATCGTGTGCCCGCCATACCGTAGAATCCCATCCACCACTTTGAAGCCAACAGAATTCAGGGCATACGCGCCGCCTGCGGCCACTGTGCCCTGCGCGAACTGCTGGCGCATGCGCTGCTCGACGGCCTGGATCCGGGATGCGCAATTGAAGTGGCCGAGAGCAGCGGTTTTGTTGAGGGCAAAGCCCTGCCAGTGCTCGCGTAGCCTGTTCGGCAGGTCCTCTTTTCGGCACCACCACTCGTTGTGCATCAGGTCAATTAGCTCCCAGTCGTAGTGCCTAGTGACTGGGACAACTAGGACGCTGGCCTGCCGTTTCCGCGTGATGCCGATGAGAATGGTGTTCGCGTAGGATTTGCGGTGCTTGATTATTTGGCATTTCAAGCTCTGGAGCCACGGCTTCAAGGGGCTCCAGGAGCCCTTGATCTGGAGCAGCACGGCCATCGGCCCATCCAGAGCCGCGTTGTTTGCGCCCATCTCCTGGGAGTCGACAGCTTCATCAGGTTGAATTTTGGGCGTAATCGCCATGTCCGCTTGGAATTCCGGCGTATAGATGACCGAAAATTCCTCCTCCAGCAGCTGGGTCGCCTGTGTAATGGACCACTGCTCGATCTGGTGGGGGCGAGTTCCCATCTTCGCGGCTCTGCAGGTGGGGGCAGGCTTCTGGGTCGGGTTGGTCTCAGGGGGTGCAGGGGCTGGCCTTGTTCTACTTCTCTTTGGCCACAGTGCCAGGCTGGGGAGGCCTTGGCTAGATGCAAGCTTTGGGAGGGTTTCAGAGGGGAATATTGGGCCAGGATGCTGGCTTTTGGGTCCTGTAGACGTCTGATTCAGCTTAAAATGCCTATAATATAGCCTTACTTCGAGCATTCTAGCCTTGATTTGGCCTATTCTGAGCTATATTCTCCCCTAATATGCATCACAGATTGCCAGCGGGAGCCACGAAATACGGACCGACACTTGGCTCAATTGCTCAATCCGACCAGCTCCTAGACTTCCAATGGACTCCGCTGCGATTACGAGGTGGGGCCAGAGGGCGACAACCCCATCTACCAAGCTTCGTCTGCTGGAAGCTGATCGTTTGTCTTCAGAACTCTCTCTTAGCTAGCTTATTCAAACCGCCATTTTTGACATAACCAAATAGCTAACACAAAAATAAATACATTCGCATTCGAGAATTGAAAAGTATTTTCTTACCTGAGAATCAAAATAATTTTTTGTTCAGCTCCTGCAAAATTTTGAAAATTTGAATTTTGTGATTGTGATGGTGTTTTTTTCTTCGATAAATACAAAGGAGCTCAGCAATGCAGATTCAATTTGTAATGCGGATTTACCTTAACTACCTAGATTTGTAATGCATAATTGCTACAAATATGCAATTAGAAGTACGAGCACGATACTTTTGCAGTGCATACGAAACCTTCGAGGACGACTTCGAGCTGCCGGGATTGACCGTGACGGAGGAGCAAGTCGCAGTAAACCAGGAGGAGCCGAAAGAACTGCCAGAAACACAGGAGGTCGAGGTGACTGGGGTCGAAGAATCCACCTCGCCAGCAGATGCAGAAGCTGCACCAGAAGTTGTAGCAGATGCAGTGTCCGCTGCGCAGCAGCAGGAAGACCCACATGCTACTGAGCAACCAACACCAGTGGAGCCTGCAGAAGGTACTGGCGAAGATGAACCAGCGGCGCCTGCTCCTGCGGACGAGGAGCCAACAGCTGTCGACGTCGAGTCACCACCTGTAGTTGCCGCTGATGAGGAGCCGACCGCAGAAGTAGCTGCTGCTGCAGATGAGCAGGAAAATGAAGTAGAAGAAACTCGTCCTGCCGCTGGTGGGGACGATTTGCCACTAATCGGCCAGGACGACAACCCAAACGCAGGGGACGAGTTCGTGCCAGTGCAAGAGCATGAAGAGGTAGAAACAGGTCCACAAGTAGTAGAGGATAGTGCAGAACTGGTCGAACCAGCTGCAGAAACCCAAGTGGAAGACCACGAGCAATTGACAGCTACCGCGGAGAAGGAAGGTGCAAGCGAGGAGCCACCAGCAGAAGTTCCTGTCGTGGAAGATGCAGATGCCCCAGCCGCAGTGGAGCCGGTTCAGGAAGACCAAACGGTTACAGTAGAAGTCGAGCAGGAAGAGCCGCCTGTGACCGCTGTAGTTGCACCACCAGCTGCTGTTATCGACGATGAAGCTGCAGCACCAGATGGGCCGCAAGCGCAACCAACCAACACTAGCGACCCAGAACCAACCACGGAACAGGGAGAGCCGTCCACTGAGGGTGTGAATAGTTCCGGATCCAGCTCCGACTCTCATTCCGAGTCAGCGCAGTTGCGGACAACCGCAGATCGGGCCGCATTTGTATTGCTTGTTTTGCGACAACCGATGCTTGAGCCTTCTCCTTGTCGATCTCGATCTCAAATGATGAACTTGATGTCAATTTGCTTACCACACCAACATTCTTGTTTTATCTTTCTCATCTTTGTCCTTGATGCAGCAAACTTCTAAACTTGTAAACTAAAAATGAAACCACCACCAGGCTGCCATCGTTTCCGGTTTTGACGCCGCGGAGTTCGAAGTAGAAGTTCTTCAACCAGAACACGGCCTCAACATCGAAAAACAAACCACGGACGAAACCCCCGACGAGGCTTCCTGGCGGGAGAAAACTTTACGATTCGCCCCGACTTCCCCCCAACAAGCTTCCGACCAAGGCGCACAATCTCCGCCGCAACCACCACCCTCCACTTTCAGAAAGCCCGATCCGGACAATCCAGAAATTGCGTTTGTCAATGGGAGGTTGGTGACAAGAATTCCTGGTGGAGGGGCAATTCCAAGTAGCTCCTCCGGTAGTCGTAGCAGCTCCCGGGGAAATTCGCCAAGAGGGAGTCACAAGAGCGATTCGAGTAGTAGAGCGGGTGGAAAGCGGACGAAGAGCAAAGACATCAAATCTGGTAGTGATAAGGAGTCTGTAGCGACGATTGAGGGAGCGGACGGACGGCCGAGGAAGGTAAAAATGTTGCCTAATACATTAGGGTGTAAATAATGTCCTCTTGCAGACGAGCATACAAGCTTGCATGATCATGGTTGTGCTCATTGGAATTCTGAACATCATCTCTTTCTCACCTTGCACAAGAAACTATCTCCAAACCAAACGTTTCAGGTCATCGACTTCGCTACCGACGACTCCACCATTGGCCGAACTCAAGACCAATCCCAACACCCAATAGTAGACAGCGAATACCTACAACCGGAAACCCATTCCCTGACCGAGTTAGGAAGACAGTTCGATTTGGAATCGACCCTCGAGTCTTTAAACCAGCCAGACGCGGAAAGAACCAGTCATAAGGAACTAGCCGCGAAGCACAAAAACGTAAAATCGAAAATCACGGTTTTGTCCCCGGAGGTCTACGAGAGCAAGAATTGCAAGGCGCTGATGATCCTCCGGAAGCACACGGTGCAAGCGGTCACGGACTTTTTCCACCATTTGTACGAGCCGATCGCGCCGGACGGGTCGCAGTTGAGGCAGGCGTGGCAGCCGCTGGGGAAGAGTTATGAGGACAAACTGGCGGAAAAACGGGTGCTGGCGTATATGCAGGCGAAGAAGTATAATTTTGATTACTGATGTTTTTCTAAATCCAGTCTAAGCGCTTCTTCGCATGAGAAATCACTCTGCTCACACTGAGACGAGTTATGCATGCTAAGAAAATTTTTTATCCAAAATCAAAAACCAGCCGTCTGGAGAAGCGGCAGAAAGCGGCGACGAAGCACACCGGTATCCCGGACGGCGTCGACCCCGAGCAGTTCCAAGCTTACTTAGCCAGAAAGGAGGCCAACGCGCTCGCGGTCCGGAACCGGATGTACGAAGCCTTGGACTTCGAGGAGACCGCGAAGCGACGGGAGCAAGCGAGAGAAAAGGAAATGGAGAACAGGAGAGCCGCGTACACCCAAATCGCGAACGAACTGCTAGAGGCGAAGGAGTACAGGACACAACTGCTTCAGCCCAACACCGCGACGGAACGGCACCATGGAAAAAGACCGGACTCGCCTCTGAACAAAGATCGGAAGGTGGAGTTCGAAACGCCGAAAAAAGACGGTGACAAGAACAACAAGCCCGCCGCCGGGAAAGTTGCGGGGAGGTTCCGGTTCCTAGACGCGGACGCGCCGCATTCGGACTCGAAGGCGATTCGAGGGGTGTTGTTCCGGGATAGAGGAGATGGAACAACAGCAGCGGCCGAGCGGGACGCGATCTCGGTTTCCCCGGCGAAGGAGAAGATTTCGCACTGGGGGGACTTGCGGAAGAATTACTACCAGGAATTGCCGAAAATATACGAGTCCGCGGAGCAGAAACTGGACAAACTGTCCGCGCAACTGGATAAAAGATTACACCGCTGCATCATGCGGGTAAGCAAAGTGTCCCCCGGGAAGAAACTGGCGCCGATTTCGAACTCGACGTATAGTTCAAGTACGGCTTTATCAACAGAGCAGATGATCCGCATGTCCGATAACAACTCGGTGAACGGGAATTCCAGGCCGATGATGCGGGGAAATTTCTCCGCGAATCACCCGATATACGACCCGAGCAACTTTAACGGGGGTACGAACCGGGATAGAATGAGGGGTGCAGGTGGTGGTGGTGGTAATAGGGGGTCGCCGTCGCCCGCGAGGCAGTTGGAGTTGTTGACGTGAGGAGGTGGAAAGAAGGTTGTAGTGTCAAAGACGAGGATAGAAGCTCAACCAGGCTCTCTTATCTTACCTTTTGATAATCTCAAATCTTACCAATTTCGAATAAAACGAACACGACTCAAACTCAGAAGTTTTTGTTTCTGTATTGATTTATCCAGAGTCAGAGTTTCGAAAGTCAACATGCTGTCGAGCCGTTGATGGTACAATCAACGCGCAGCTTCATCGTGGTCTTGCGTTTCTGTCATTTTGATGGCATGATCAGCAGAAAATTTGAATCAGTTACCCCTGTACAATGGTTTTGGATGTCGGCGAAGATTACGCCCCTCGCTGGTTTCTGTTGCTAGACAAACACATGATCAATGAACGAAGTGAAACGGCTCTTCAAGCCTGCTGATCGTGAATGCGACACTCGCGAGATTTTTGTGTTCGGCCGCCGTGCTAGACGGTAGTTTTGCTAAATTGTATTGAGGAGCGTTCTGGATCTGGACCCAGTGTCCACAATTACATGGCGAATGATATCGACGCACGGCCTTGAAGCTTACAGCCGTGGCGCGCAGGTTTCTGCCCGGAACTTGCAGGGGGCCGCGCCGGGCGCCGCTGCGCTTCCTGCGATGGACAGCAGCCAACTCCTTGGCCTGTTTAGTCAATTCGTTCGGCAGCATATTGCGGCGCTTGGCGCGAAGCTCCGGGCTTGGGCCAAAGCGCCAACGCCCTCCCTCGCGGTTCCAGGACGCCGCGGCGGTGCGGTCCAGACCCTGAAATCGGGCGCGCTTTCTCGCCATGCGGACGCAAGTAATTGGGCGCGCTGGTTTCAGGAAGCAGGAGCGAAAAAGAATTGCCGCAGTGATGGCGCGACAAGTATGGCCTGCCGGCAAGCAAGTGGGTGCCGGCCGCGGCCCGTGCGCCGCGCCACGCACTAAATAAAAGCGCGCCGAAGCTGGCGCCGCGGCTTTGCAGCCCCCCCCTTTCTGTCGCCCCGTTTGTTGCAATCATTTCGCCCCCGCGGCCCGCCGCCCCCGCTTTTGAGGTGCCCCGGACAAAGCGGCAGCGGGCTATGGATGAGAGGACCGCGCGGACTGGCTACTTTAGGCCATAGGAGAAGGCCTTTTTTTTAGAGCGCCCGCCCGCTGCCGGCTGAAGCGACACACAAGACAGCGTCGCACGCATCGGGCAGCGCCGGCCGCACAGGCGCCGCTTCGTTCTCTCTGTGGGCCTCGCCCTTGCGGAATGCCAGCGCCTGCCTCGCGTGGCCGGCCAGGGCCACCAAGAAACCGAAAGGGGGGGAAAGGCCGCGGGGCCGGGCCAATCGATTGGACCGCGCGCATGCCGGAGCACCCTGCAGGAACAGGAAAAGAAGGCAGCGCGCCCCGCCATCCCCCCCAAGCCCCGCCTCGGGGCCCCTCGGGGGGGGCGCCCTGCCTGCGCCCCGCGGGCGGCGCGCGTAGTTAGTAAATGACAGCAAAGCGCCGACGTCGCTTCACGCTTCCTTGCCCGGGGGGGTTCATTCGTTTCGGGGCGAGTTACAGACTACAATCGACATCGCCCCCAAAGAAAGAGGCCCCCACGACCACCCTACGCGCGCTCCTTGACCCAACCAGCGCGGCCCTTGGTGGCAAGCTCGACAAACAACACGCGGCGGCCTGTATTGGCCAGGTGCCTCGCGAGATACTGCGCCACGCGGAGGCGACGGGGGCCGAATGCGATGCGGCGCAGACACGACCGAGGTTGTCGGACGAGGTGAGGAGCGCGCTCCAGCAGGAGCTTGCGCGTGAATTCCCGGACTGGTGTCGCGATTTCGCGTCGCAGTTATGGGGGCGGACTTTTATCCCAGAGACAAAACCTGCCGCCCCAACCCCCGCGCGCGCCTTCCTCTTCGAGTTCCCTCCGCATCCTCCTCGCCCCGCCTCGGAGAAGCAACCGCAGCCAGCCGGCGCGCGGGGAGTTGGCTCCGGGGTCGTGCTTGCCGGGGTTGTGGGGCCCTGCCTTCCCTTGGCGGCGGCGCTTGGGCAAGCGCCCGCCGGCCCCCGCCCTTCTTTGGGTCCCGCCCCTCGGTTTGGTGTTCGTTCCGGCAAGTGCCGGCAGGTTGCCGTCGTGCGTGGTGTGTGGGGGCGCGCGGGGGGGGGGTCGGGCGCGCGCCGCGGGTCTGCTTGGTCGGCGCGGGTGTTGTGTGTGTCCCCTGCTCCGCGGTCTATTTTTCTTTCATTCTTTCACACCCGCCTGGCGCTGGCGTGCGTGGTGGGTTGGCGCGTCGTATTTACATGCCCGCGGCCCTTGTTTGTTCATGTTGCTCCGTCGCGCCTCAGTATTTCACCGAAGGAAACTCAGCCCCGCTAGTTTTCGGGCGGTGGCGAAAGGGCATGGCGTTTCGCTCAAGATGGAGGCATGCTGGCTGGCCACCCGCATCGGCGTGGGTGTTCTGAATGCAACTGAGCAACCTACCTGCCACGTTGGCGCGTCCACCTCCGAAGGTTCTTATTTAATCTTGCGACATCGCTCGAACACGAGGCGATAGATGTCGTCTCCGTAGCAGCGTGTTCCCCCCCCCGAGATGACATGACTGAGTGGGCATTTGCCATTTCAATTTCCTGCGGCCAGAAGCGGATCCATGCTTTCGTGCATGTGTGAGTGTCTCTGTCTACAACCGCCGAACCAACCCGATGTAAAGTGAGCCTGTCCTTGGGGCAGACGAACTTAGTGAGCCTCCTGAGCGTGGCGTCCTCTCATCACTACAACAAGAGAAAGAGTGATCAGCGATCGCAAAGAGAGGAGAGGGGCACGCAGACACGATGACCACGAGAGGGTATATTTAAACTCCACCATCAAGAACGAAGCGCCACTAGCTCCACCTTTCCAACTCGAAACTAAAATGTCCATGCGCGACCTCCCTCTCCTCGAATCAAGCGCCGCGCGCTTGATCCAACAGCAATATCGCGACTACCGCTTCCGAAAACGCCTCAAACTAGACAGACAAAACGTCGATCTGGAATTACCCAAACTCGGCCCGAAAGACTACAACACTGCGGTCTTCCCAGAAAGCAAGACCTGCGAACAAATCTTCCACTCAAGCGGCGTCAGTGGCTACGAGCGACAACTCTACGACGTGAACACCCTAGCTGCCGACAGCTCCCAGCACCCGGACATTCGATGGAGGAGCTTGCTAGACAGTTGCTTCAAGCGAATGGTGAACCACGCAGCGGAGAAGTTGTTGCAAAATCAAAAACGGAATGTCGAGTCCGACTACGCGGTGTTCGACGAATCTTGTCTGGACGTTCTCGCGCAGTTCAAACTCGCGGCGCAGGCGGCGGCCGTGCTGGTCGTGGATCACTTTGTTTATGGTGCGGGGACTGGCTCAGGCTCGAGCTCTACGAACAGCGTGAAGTCGCGGTACAACAACGCAGCTGCTGCACGAGGACCATCTCACGACCCGCTCGGGGGCACCGTCCTCGAGATCGTCAACAATCCTGTGTACTACAGGGGGAAGATCGCTGCAGGTGGAACATCAAGGGCGGTGGTCGACCGAAACCTCCAGTCCTCGCCGTTCGGTATGATAAAGAATGCAGGAGCTGCAAATCGCAAAAACCAAAAGCCATCTCTCAATCCCAAAATTCCGATCCGGGAAGTTACGAAAGTAGACAAGAACTACTGGCTATGAAAGTGTCAGAATCGAAATTGACAAAAGCGAAAACTTTGTCATGCATAAAATCGATACCAGTTGGAGCCTCAGTTTGTAAGTGGCGCATGACAAATTTCGGGAGCACCCAGATCCAGTCTGTCATGCTGTTTGGGCAAAGAAGACTGCTCCTGTCGTGCTACTCTGGTGGCAGCACATTGCATACCCCTAAACACGCTTACAATCGGCCTCATTTGCCTCCTCCCCAATACAGGCCTCCAGTGCCCTACATTTTATGCATCACAAATTTTTCGATTTTATCGATTTCGATCCTGACACATCCATACTGGCCTTTTTGCCAACCGCGCTTTTCCAACGACCGGGTTTTCCTCTGTGACAGCATCGTAGTCACCGTGGTTGGCGGCGGGACTCCGGTAGGAGGCGCTGCTAGCCGTGCGAATTATGTGGAGGAAGCCGCAAGAACCGCCGATGTAGCAAGCGGGATACTCACTACGACTTCTGTTTGGGACGCGAGGAAGACGTACAAATATGACGTCGACGGTTTGGGAAAGATCGCGGAGGGTTTGCTCGACCTGGCGTTGGAACAGAAATTAGACGCGGAGTCGGAGCTCGAAACGGGCGACGTTTCAGACATTCTGGGGGACTACAATACGGAAGTGAAATCCATGCGTACGATCTAAATGTCGCCTACAATGGCAAATAAAGGAGTAGAGATTCATGTGCTGATTACCATGACTGTGCATTGAAGTTGTAGACAGCGGCTTGCAGTACCGCTTTATACATCAACACTGAAATAAGTGAACAATTCTGATGCATCAATTCCTTTTCCGACACCGTATGAAATTTCTTCCTTTGAATTCCTGTGTCCCCCTCGTTTGCCAGATCGACTACAAGGGCCTGCGCATCATCGCCGAGCCGCTTTCCGGGTCTGTGGAGGCGAACCAGATGCAACTACCCGAAATCTTCCTCGGCGGTGACTACCGCAGCGAAGCAGCGCCGCGTCTTACCCCGCAGGCCCTCACCCTTCATCTGCTGAATTGGCGGGAGAAAAACCCAGCGGACGCAGAGCTGTTGCAGGAATTAGCGGGCAATAAGCTTGGGCTGTTGAGTTCGGAGCAATTCGATCAAACTGGGAAAAATAATCCGCGAACTACCGGGCGATCCAAAGAGGAAAAGATATGCTTTCCGGTGACCTTTGGGGAAAACAGCAACAATAGCTGCTGTTTGTTTCGGATCCGAGGGAGATTGTTGTGGAGAAGAGCGGCGGAATTGCTGCCAGTGAAGATGGAAAGCACTTCGACGCAAGTTGTAGAAGTACCGGAAGCTGCACCTTCGTTGTTGAGAAATAAAGACTACTCGAACAACCCCGGCGAGTACTGGCTCAAAACGAAGAACGCCACCGGAGATAGTACTTCTCTTTCCTTCAAAGTACACGGAAATCTCGAAAACAAATCCGATTTTGCCGGCGCCTTCAGCGGAGAAGGCGAAGCAGGAACTGCAGGTACTAGAGAACCCATGATCACCTCCGACCGGCGCGGGACGAGAAAACAACAAGCTCAACGACCGTACTACAACTCCGTCTCAACATCTGCAGCACACAACATCAACGCAGACCAGCAGAGCCGGTTCATCCGCGTGGGAAAGTCGGCGGTTTTTCGGCAAACCAAGTTAACCTTCCCGGTGAATCAGCCTTCGGGCGCGAGAGATCTGCCGCGGGACGCGTTCGGGGAGGTGTTAGAACCCGGAACATTATCCTGTGCAAAAGTATCGCACTCGTAGTAATTTCAGTCATGCATTACAATTAATCCGCATTACAAATTTTCTTTCTAATGTTGAGGGAATTTGTCATGCATTTCATACGAGTGCGATACTTTTGCAATTCATAAACATCGGCATACAATGATCTTTTGTCCGCTCGGAATCTGGAAGAACTAGAAAAACTTGACGCCGAAAATACACTCTTTGATGCCTCCCAGCAAGACAAATCGTTTTCCGTGATGCGGTTCCGGCCAGAGGCGTACACTGCCATGGGGTCGGCAAATAGGAACCTGCTGGAAAAGTTTCTGGCGAACAATTTGTCCAGCACGGTGAGCAGCGGAGGCACGGAACACGGTGAAAGAACCTACTTGTCAGACTTGCAACTTCTCCGCAGGCCACGATTGCCCTTGGTTGACGTCGCCGGAGGTGGCGCCAGTACTAGCTTGTCGGTGCAAGAAGAGAACATCGATTTCCACGACGGGCATGAAGCAGGGACCAGCTATTATCAGCAACCACCCTTCCCCGCCTTCCCTGAAGATGACAACCTCGCTGCCTACCAAAACGAGAACCCGGACGCCCGGGTGCGGCTTTTCCTCCAATATCTGCAAGACAATCCAGCCGTCGTGTTCCACCAGCTTACGCCAGCGACGCTCCTGGAGCTAGCGCATTCCTTCGGCTTGAGCTTCAGTGCGGATCTCGTGCGGGGCGTTCTTGGTTGTGGTCCTGGGAAGATGATGAACAACAAGTGGTCTTCTACCTCATCATCTGCTTCTACCGCAACGGGTCGTACAAACGATCCAGCTGTGATTCCAGCGCTGAAAAAACTCGTTTCGAAGATGGTATTGGCGAGAACTTTGAAGCACCTGTTTGCTGAAGAATTGGCTTCGAAATGTACTACGGATGACGATTATGCAATACAAATTTCCCGCACACGTACAAGATGCGTCACAAATCTCACCAATTTGGAGCATGACACTTGTCGTGCTAAACTAGGATCGATGCCCAGTTTTGTCATGGAGAGACCGAATTTGTACGCGTACGGGAAACTTACTGTGGATGACGATGCGCAGGATGGTGTACCACGGAAATTATACAGCTTCCAAGAAGACAGTAGATCTGGAACTGGACGAGGAGCGAACAACTACAAGATTTTCTCCCCGCAGGAGGTTTTCGTGAACTTCTTCAACCGATGTTTCTTTCCCGGGTCAACAGCTTCCTCCAGCAGCTCTGGTGACCATAGTACAAGCTCCGACCAAAGCTACAGCTTCGAGAAGCCACAGCTGGAATCCTGGCACCACACGACATTGCTCCCCAGTTTGCAGAACATCTACCCAGCAATCCCGATTCCTAGCACCGAAGCCATCGTGGATTCCTTTTTCGGTGCGGAGTTTGCGCTGCAGAATTATCCTGTGCAAAAGTATCGTACTCCTAATCGTATTGCAATCATGCATTTACAAATTTTTGTCTTAAGGTAAATCCGCTTCCGCACCATTACAAACGCACTTGTACGAGTACGATACTTTTGCAATGCATAAGAATTCGAGCAGGTCAGCGATCGGAAGAGGCGGACAAGGTGGCTCAACTCTATCAACTTCTCCACAGCAGCTAGAAGCGCTGAACGAGTTAGAGGAACTCTTCCACTTAGCCGCGGCTGAGTGCGGCGTCAGGTTTACCGAGTTCTTCAGTTTTGCGAAGCTGAAAACAGGGTCATCGACTTCATCTGCCACAACAAGCAGAACCACCTCTGATGCAAGAAAAACAAAACCGAGTAGAGTCACCATCTCGGACCTTCATCAATTTGTATCCACAGTAAATTTCCCGTACACGTACAGATGCGGTCTCTGCATGACAAAACTTGGCCTCGATCCTAGTTTAGCATGACAAGTTTTGAGCTCCAAATTGGTGAAATTTGTGATGCATGTTGTACATGTACGGGAAATTTGTATTGCATAATTTGACAGCACGGACGATGAGTCTTTCCCGAACGCTGTGTTTTTGCGGCGAAGTCTTTACCATGCGAAGGTTGCAGCTAACGGGGGGACTTCTTGGTCGAACAGCAATACAACAAATTCCGGTTCTTTGACGGTTTCTTCCTTCCTCGACGACCGCATGCAGCACGTTCTTCACGAATACCAGCGAGATTTGCAATATGAACTGCAAAAGTATCGTACTAGCAGTAGTTGTATAAATTGCATTACAAATTGGCTGAGCATTACAAATGTAATTTGTAATGCGGATTTCCCTTGATTAGTAGATTTGTAATGCATGGCTGCAATCACTACGAGTGCGATACTTTTGCATTTCATATGCAAACCCACCCAGCCATTTCCGGCGAAACGACCCCTATCAAATGTAAAAATGTCTGGGTCTGGAAGGTTGAAACTTGTCATGCTAAGTCTCAATGACGCAAAAATCTGTGTTGCGTGAGTACCAAAAGCTGCCCGCTTTTGACCAAGTTGAGAGGGAGTTTCTTATGCAGGAAAGGCATGAGAGAGACCTCAAAAAATCTGTCATGCTGGGTCTCGCATTCCAGACCTCATGGGTCATGGAAAACCTGCATCACAAATGGGTCATTGGATATCTCTCACTATTCCTATATGCAGCGTCGGCGCTGAGTATAAGAAAGCGAGCTGACAGGTAGGGCACGACAAAGCATTCTCAGCGCTGGGATATGTATAGAGTGTGCGAGAAAATGCTTTGAAGACCACCATTCCTAAAGAGCGTGAAAGCATTTAGGAAAGATAGAAACTAAGTCAGGATACTAAAAAGCTTTTGGGTGCCATTTGTCCAGCAGCACACACACCGAGACAGCGACAAGGGGATGGATCACGACTAGCCATTTTGATGCCAATGAGCATCCGGCAGGAAAATCCAGATCCTTGCAAGGCCGGGCGACGTGGTAAGGCAGACGGGAACGCCCAATATACCTGCACTAGGAGCAAAGCAAAATGGCCTCTGCGCCTGCTTGCGTTGTCTTCGACGTGCCCACCGCTGCGCCATTAAGGTCAAAAATAGGAATGAGAATCATCTGAGTTTTTATTTTTTGCGCAGCCATATAAAAAAAAAAAACCTGCATCACAAATGTTGCATTCTTCCAGACCCAGACATTTTTACATTTGATAACCCCGCGCGCAAAGCGAATCCTCTGGCCGGAAATTTTCCTGAAGCACTCCAAAATGCAGTCCAAACTGCAGAAATTCTACGAGCCGCCGCATTTTGCCGACAAAACGATTTTGACGGGGTTTTACCCGTATGAATTGCAAAAGCATCGCACCACCAGTGGTAATTGCATTACAAATTAGCTCAGGACGCCAAATGGAATTTGTCATGCTGATTTACCTCGGGATCGAGATTTGTATTGCGTCATTGGTTGCAATAACTACGAGTACGATACTTTTGCACAGGATAACCCGAAGTGCAAACTTTCCTTCGACGCCGTAAATTCCATCGTGAGCGCCAGTGCGGCAGTTGGGAGGGGGCAGGGCGTGAAGACGGAACGGCAGTTGGTCTCTGCGGTAAGTCTCGCCGTTGTGAGTGGAACAATGCCGCCCCCGAGAACTTCTATTGCGCAATCGACGCAAATGAACAATTCATTTGACGACCAATTTGGCTTCATGGCCAGCAACAGCATGCCAAACCAACTCGCTGGCGGCTCCGCTCCGTCGTTGTTGCTGAAACTGGAAGATTTTTGCCAGCTAAAGTTGTCGATTGACAGGACGATGCTGACGAATAGTTTGTTCAGTAACAACTCCAGTACTATCGCCGCTTCGAGCACGAAATCCAACCTGATCCATCTAGTCCGTGCGATGCTCGCTTCTGTCACCGCGGAAAGAATGTTGGTCCCGACGCACCTGATTTTGTCAAAATTGGAAGATGTTCAGTCAATTTTGGAGTACTTGGAAAGAGCAGGCGATACAACAAACAGCAATTACAACACCAAAACGACTCTACTCGGGTTGTTGAAGATGCAAACGTTGCGGCTGGAAGTGGAAATGCTGACGCTGATGTTTGGAGCGAGCGGCGCTTTTACGGACAGAAGCAGCAATGGTAGGAAGACAAGAGCGACTCCGAGAACATCAGCGCCGCCAGCTGGTAGCACGACTTCTGTGTTGGAGAAGAAGCAAAACCAGCTGGAGAAACTCGCAGAAGAGTTTGTCATGCGGAGTTTGCAAGATCCAAATAGTAATCTATCCTTACCCCTGCTTCACTTTCTTGTGCTGCATGGCTTCAACGTGGACTTTTTTCAGCAAGATGATGCCGGAAATTTCTCCGAAAAAATATCCCCGACCGCGGGAGAAACAATTATAGCAAGCACAAGCCTGGCAGCACATCAGGATTTCGCTGCTCCCAATGCAAAATTTCTTCCGAAGCTTCTCTACGACAAAATCTGCACCACCTTCGGACAAACCCACCCGACGACCTTGAAGTCCGCAACCCTATACTGTGGCTTGGAGTTCGAGTTACTCCAGGAGCAGGCTGAGGAGGAGGCTCTTACAGCCGCGGTAGAAGACCATAGTGCTAGAGCGGCACCACAGACCAGCCGCGGCGGCCTCTCTTCTATCCCTATCGCAGGTAGTAGTTCTTCCTCGTCTTCTCTACTCGCCCCACAACCAAATGCAAAGCCAACCACCGCGGACCTCATTTCCCAGCTGGCTAAAATCACCGCAACGGCGGAACAGCTAAACCAGTTCACCGTCGCTTCCCTTGGGTACGAGTTGCAGGCAAAGATCTTCCTCAAGTTAAAACAGTACGAAAAAGCCTCGGAGCCGGTGGAAAACTTGATCTCTTTCAACGAAACGGTTTTTGGTATCTACTACTTCAAAACTCTGAACGCTCTTTCCTACGCGATGCGGCTTTGTGTTGGCTACTGCGACGCGGAATACCGGGCGAGGTTTAACAGAAAGCTGACAGGGAAAGATCTAGTGGATCAAGAACACATGGGAGATACAAACGTAGAAACTGGTGCTTTCCTTGGGCCTGCGGCTGCGCAAAAATCGGCAAGAGCGCCACCTACGATCATCTCAACAACCGCCAGTTTGCACTTTATCAAAAGGAAAAATCCCGCCACCCCATATCAAAACGAAACTTCTGATGTTGGATTTGGGTAAACAAATCGAATTTGTGTTGCAGCAGAGGACTACACGCAGATCCTAAGCCTAGGTAGTGGCTTGGTGGTGTAGGCGCCTAGCATGGTAGACGGCTACCCTATAGGCCTTACAGCGTTACAAATCGCCCATATAGCTCGGCGGAAAGCATGGGCGTGCCTCTTTGCTAGACAGACCCGATCTGTGGTCACAAATCTGCATCACAAATTTTCAGAGGCGTGCGCTTTCCATATGGGGAGGGTTGATTTTTCCTTGCAATACACTTTTCCGAAGATTTCCTTGCGCTCGCCAGCTCCGGGCTGCAGTTCGGCGAAAGGATTTTGGAGGGGTTTATGGAAGCGTCAGGATTGAAATCGTCAAAGTTGAAATAGTTTGCGATGCATAAAATGCAACCCACAAAATCAAAATGCCTGTCTTGCAGAGTAGGCAAGGGAGGCAGATTGCAAGCCTGTTGAGGGGTAGACATAGAGCTGCTAAAGCAGCACGACAAAAGGCGTCTCCCTTACCCAAACAGCACTACAGACTGGAATTCGGTTCTACCCAAATTTGTCATGCGCCGCTTGGAAACTGGGCTCTAACTGGCATGCGTTTTCTGCATCACAAATTATTTCAACTTTGTCGATTTCAAACCTGACGCTTCCATAGGGTTGAAGTATCACTTAACCGCGATTTTACGGGAGGAACACGTCGGGCTACAGCAGCAAGCGGAAGTGCGTGCTACCAGATATGGATCAACCTCCACTACTCAGCGCCCGCGCACAAGTACACCTCCGACCAGCAACCTCAGCGAAAGCAAACGAAGAATGAAGGAGCAGCTGAAGCAGAGGATCCGGTTCATCGTGAAAGAATCCTTCTTCCTGAAGTGCATCACCCTCTCCAATATGGAAAGAAAAAAGTTTGTCACAGTCACTAACTTGCAGGTTTTGCATTACAAATTTTTTTAGCATCACAAGTTTTCCTTGTATTGCAGAAACACTAGGGAAATCCCCTATGAAGCTTGGCTGTTATGCATTTTTACGCATGACAGCCAATTTTGTATTGCAAAAATGCGCATAAGTGATCGTGACGAACTTTTTTTGTTTGATATCCAAGCCGGAAATGGTGGTGTTTGTTTCCCACTTGGAATCTTTTGTCAAGAACTGGCTGAGTACGATATCAAAAGGAAAAATCCCCCCTCCCCACATCAAAACGAAATTTCTGATGCTGGATTTGAGTACACAAATCAGGTTTGTATTGCAGAAAAGCATTGCAGTCAGATCCCCAGGCTAGGTAGGGGCGTATGCGTCTAGTTGTTTAGCATGGCAAGCGGCTCCCCTTTAGGCCCAACAGCATGACAAATCGCTTCCATAGTGGGGCGGAAGCTTCTGCCCTGGTCTTCTTGCAATACAAATGTGATTTGCGACCTCAAATCAGCAACGCAATTTTTCGGAAACATACCTTTTCGATATGGGGAGGGGGGATTTTTGCTTTTGATATACGAGGGAGGCGGTTGGAGGGGGACAGCTCTCTTATGGACAAAGAACTTATACAAGTGAACAACTCCCCCTCCCCCTCAAAATATTACTTTTTCATAATATTTCGCAATTTATTTGGTTACCAAATAATGAGTTTTTATGTCACCAAATGCTGCACTTTTGTGCCATCAAATCGCGCACATTTCGACTCCAATAAATGCGCAGCGATCCATCGCGTTGCGTTTTGTGGCAGCAAACCGTTCGCGGCCAGTGTGTGCGAAGACGAAACGACAACGCCCGGACGGCCAACAGCGAGAAGAACTGGCCGCAGGGAAGGCTTGACGCGGATGCGCAGGTGATTCTTTTGTTGAATTGCTGTTCGCAATCAGCCTTCTCTTCAGCCTTCTCTTCGGCGTTTCGCTTCGAATTTGCAAGGCGGCGCGCAAAGTCCCTACCAAGAGTCTTGGTTTTTTCCAGGTTTTTTTTCTCCCTTCTGGCCAATTCTTGGCCAAAAAGCGGCTTTTTGGCCAAGAATTGGCCAGATGGGGAGAAAAGCCCGCGAAAAAACCAAGATTCTTGGATCGGCCATCTTTTGCGGCCCTGAATCGGCCTCGACGCCTTGCAGGTTTTTTGCTCGGCCTTGCGCATATTCAACGCTGGATATTTGTCGCTGGGCCCCTTCGCGACCGCCCGGAGAAGCATCGCGTCCCCTGGGTTTTCCGCATTTGGCCTGTTTTTTTCTGTTGCCGATTTGCAATTTCGCACGCGGCAAAGCGCCCACCCAACATACAAAATGGCAGGTGTGGATGAAGGCTTTCCCACACCCTTCGAGACATTGGATTGGGTGCGCAGGGGAGGGTAAGATGGAGAAGGATGGCGAACATGCTGGGGACTGGAGGGCCACCTTGCTAAAGTTGGGTGGGCTGGCCACGGGGATGGAAAATATATAAATGGGGCGGGGGAAGGCGCACGCCGGGAAGCACCCAGACCCCTTCGCCGATCCGGTTTGCGCGGCTGATCGCCCTCCCCTGCTGGCGCTGGGTTCGGGTTTTCCCTTTTTTTTTACTTCCGAGACCATGATAACCACCGAGCCCATATTTGGGCAACACAGAGGCGAAACCAGAAACCCGGCCTGGCCGTTGCAAGCGCAATGGCGTAACTCATTATGGGCCCCCCTCGCTAGGCGGGCTGGTAGAGCTCGCGGGCGGGATCTGCTGTCCATCTCGGTCAAAGCCCTTGCGCCTTCGCTTCGTTTGTTAAAACTCGGTCGAAGAGCAAGCGGACCGCCAGCAGCAGCCCCGAAAAGGGTCCCGCCCCACATCCGCGCCAAGGCTTCGCGGCCACCAGTTCTTGGCGCTGTTGGTCGCCCACACTTGGGCGCCGCGTCGCCTCACGACCCAACTCTGAACCGCCCAAAAATTGAAAATCGCAATTATTCTTGGTTTTTCGAAATGGTGGTGTTTGTTTCCCACTTGGAATCTTTTGTCAAAAACTGGCTGAGTACGAGGGAGGCGGTTGGAGGGGGACAGCATAGTAGTTACAACTACCATCGGGACGAGAAACAGAGAACGAAAACTACGAGCTACTACGGAGAACATCAAAATGAGGATCAGCATTTGACCAAGCTGTTGGAGGATATGGCTTTGTTTGTGGCGAAGCAACAACTCCAAGCAACTCACCATTCTTGTGGTGGACAAAGAACTGCTACTTCCCACGGAACAGAGAGGTTCGCAGGCTTACACCACTTCCTCCTGGTCCACAATGCGAAGTTGGAGCTCGCGACAACAGCCGTCGCGTCGATTTCGAAAAATTCCAAGCCATTGAAACAGCACGCGCAAGGGAAGGAGAGGCTAGATTTTGCTCTCGGAAGAAAGGGTAGTTTAGAGAAGGATCAGGACGAGGACCTGGGGTCGTTTATTGACCAGACGATCGAGCTACCTCCGGCTTCGATGATTTCTGATGCGATCACTGCCCTGTTGGAGATGATGAGGCTAGAACGGGCTGGCGGGAGTAGAACTGCAACAGCTCTACACAGCACGCGAGGGACGAGACGACCAACTATGAACACGTCTTCCCAAAACAGCAACCAGTCCAACATGGTCGAGCGGTATCTGATCGAGCGGTTTTCGACTTTGAGCTCGAAGGAAAAAGCGTTGAAGCCGGGGGACTGGTTTACGGAGATGTTGAAAAGATCCGACGAAGAATTTATCGCGGAACTATGTCTATGAACTGCAAAAGTATCGTACTTCTCGTATAAATGCATTACAAATTTCCTCAGCATGAGAAATCAAATTTGTAAATGCGGACTTACCTTAAGAAAAAGAGTTGTAATGCATATCTGCAATACCAGTGCGATACTTTTGCGCAGGATGCTGTCAGTTGTTTGTCGAATTTGGACTGGAAAGCGCGATTTTGTTTCAGTTGGAAGCGTCGCACTTGCGAGGAAGATGAGCATTTTGACGAGAAACTCGACAATAATGATGGGTATTCAAGATTGATTGGCATGCAGAAGAGGTAGAGCTAGAGCACTGCATTGGAATAACAAAGGTTTTTCGTACGTCGGCCGTGCTTTTTCCTCTTTGGTGAAAAATTTCGGTTTCGCCTGCTCCGGCTGTTTGTTGTAGATATCACTGAGTTTCGGTTGTAGGTTAAGGTTAACACGAGGTTTTCTCATTCATAGAAACCTTGACGTGCAAGAATTTTTTTCGGTTCTTTCCGTTCCGCGCATGAAAAACGTACCGCATTTCGGTAGACAGAAATTTTGTCGTTGTGACTCTTTTCGCTCATCGTCAGCACCTGCAGCTTCGGTTGTCGTGACAGATTTCGGCTTTCTAAGTACTTGTGTATCGTCTGGTGAGAACAGCACAATTCTTCATCTTCGGTCGAGACGTTTTATGTTGCTTGTTTACCTAGCGCAAACAAAATCTAAATCTTCGGTGGCAGCACTTCAGATATCGTGTTGGTACGTGCGTTCGTTTTGGATTGGATGGCTTCCAAAGGAGTACAAAACCGCTCTTCTATGAATCGCACCCCCAACTTGGAAACAAATTTTCGTTGCGATTCCACACTCACAGTATGCATCGTTGTCGCACAGTCGCTTCTGCAATCTGACGACTAATCTCTTTTGAATATCTTCGTTCCGACAGTGACAGCTGTATCATCGGCTTCTTCTATTCCCCGGTAGAAGTTGTACAGGTAGAAGTCATTTCCCAAAGAATTGTGTTTATTGTCTTTGTATTGATCTTTCCCCCGCTAGTAGTACTAGCATTAGTGTCACTTCTGAAAGGTGTATAACAAGGAAGTTGTGCGAGAAAAGAGGAATAAAGCTCAGCCATTTGTCCCATCGGGCGCAGGCAGAGCGTCTTCGATTTCATCCACCAAGCCTTTATTTAAGTGACTCTTGATTTTTTTCCCCAAGCACGATCAGGCGCAAAAAAAGAAAGAGAAACATTTACATTGCGTCGGTACAACAACACAGCGCAGAAATAGCAAGAAAATCCTCGGTGCTCCCAGATAAAGAGCCAACAACTCCTGCGCCATAATGTCAGTGTCGTTCTCTTGCGGCATGACCGGATCATCCGGAAGAAACTTCAACCGATGTCCAGTTGCTGGAGTAGGAGCAGCGTCGACCCTAGTCTTTTTCATCCTTCTTGCAGGAACAAAAACGCAAACGGCGAAAGCGATTGAACCTGATGCATTGGACGAACATAAGAATTTCAGGAAAAATGATGACGCCGCATCGAGCTTGCTGTCAACGAAAGGTTCAGAAGATGGACCACCTGCCGCGGCGGCTACAAGGGACCATGCCGAGAAAACAAATTCCGAGACGCGCCAGAATGTCAGCGGCCACGGCGAGAAACAGTCCAGGTCGTCCGCTGACAACAAGAAGCCTGTCGCTTTTCATCTCTCTGAGGACGCGAAGAATTTGCGTTCAGAACTTCTCACTGCCGATTCGGATTCGATTTCTGTTTCGGAATTATCCCATGGCCACCATGACGAGATGAATCAGGAGGATATTAAAGCGCTAGTATCACCAGCCCCGGTCTCCTGGCTTCAGCACCTTCTCCCGAGCTGGCTCACTGCGGATGAGCGGACTTCCAACCAACCTGCGGCGTTTGCGCGTCGTGCCCGATCTTCATCTTCTAAACGCGGAAACCTGCGCGGGTCGCAAATCAAGGGTGACACACAAGTCCCGAAGTCGAGAGGTGATGTTGATGATGTTCCCGGCCCTGCATCAAAACTTGGCCGTCCCCGCCCTGCATCAGGCAGTAGTACAAACTTTCTACGTGAAGCTGATGAAGACGTCATCAAGGAAGAAGAGAGCTCCTTGGGCGAAGGAACTACAACGCAAAAGCTGCCTTCTTCATCCGACCAGGTGGCCGCGACTTTTTTCGAAAAAGACCCGCATGTGCTGACCGGAAGCGAAAGTGGGCAAGTAGCTGCAGTGCCGAGGGAAGAGGAAGCGGATGCCATCCCCCCGCCCGGCGCTGCTCTTCTTGAGAGATGCGATTCCTGCTCTATTCAAGTGAAAGAAAAGCCCGTCGCTATGATCTTTGTGTTGCATTTGAGTAGTCACTCACTTTGTCACTGTCTCTGTTTTCTTCAAAAATCTTCATGCGCACAAGCCTACTAGAGGGAAGTACACATCGCTGTCGACGCGAGTCTTTTGATTTGATACAATTGCTTGCGTTCCTGCGAATACAATTTTCATGATACCGGCACAGAAGTACAACTGCTACTGTATGTTTTTTCGTAGCATCCCAAATTAAACTACAAAAATTTTTCTCGCGGAAAAAAATTTTGCCCGCCAAAAAAAATACTTCGCGCCTGAAAAATTCTTCCCGCAGAATAAAACTCTGGCAGCGGAAATAGTCACGCGATTGAGAAAGCAGATTTTGCGATAGGAGTTGGGCGATGGGAGTTGGGCGATGGGAGTTGGGCGGTGGGAGTCTGGGGATCGGAGTTGGGTGGGGAGAGTTGGGCGCTGGGAGTTGGGCGCTGGGAGTTGGGCGCTGGGAGTCGGGCGATGGGAGTTGGGAGATGGGAGCTGGGAGATGGAAGCTGGGCGATGGGAGTGGGGCGATGGGAGTCGGGCGACGGGAGTTGGGCTCTCGGCGGTTAAAATACCGCGCGCGAAAATTCTTTTCCAGGAAAAAAATTTTGGCGGCCAAAATATTTCGCGCGTTCGAAATTTCGCGCCACAAAATTTTTCGCCAGCAAAAGAAAGGAGCTGAGTGAGGAACGTTAAGCATAGAAGCGCGGCGCAGCATCAGAAGCACCTGCGCGAACGGCTTCACAGATGAAGACAGGTCATGAAGGTTTAAAACTTGAAAAAAAAACTCCGGACGCGCGCGATTTTTCCCCCCGTCGCAAAATTTTAACTTTCGCAACTCAGCAGCGCAAAATGTTCGGGGATGGGAAATATTTTGCGTCGCGAATTATTTGGACTCGCCAAATATTTGGTCTTGCGAAATATCTAGACGCGCCAAATATTTCAAGTCCTAAAATATTTGGAGTTGCAAAAAGTTTCGAGCTGCGACGGAAGTTGGGCGATTCGCGGGAGTTGGGCGATTCGCCGGAGAATATTTGGAGTTGCAAAATTTTGCGAGTTGCGATGGGAGTTGGCCGATTCGCCGTTGGCCGTTGGCCGATTTCCCAAGTCGCGACAGCTTCGGTTTTGGAAAGTTTGAAAATTGCAAAAAAATTTTTGATGCGGGCGATTTTCTTTCCCGGCGCAAAGTTTTAACTTCCGCAGCTCAGCAATAGGAGTTATAGCTATTCACTCCTCGCATGAAATTCAACCGACCCTAGATCGCGACGATGTTGGTCTTTTTTGTTTCCATATTCTCTGTGAGCACGCCAGCATCGTCGTCCCGGATTCTTCAGCCCCAGCAACCACCTGCAGCAGCATCACCAACAATTTTGCCTGCAGCTCGTGGTGTACCTCTACCCGCAGCTGCACCAGTGATGAGCACCCAAAGTAGAAGTGGTGGCGCAGGAGCATTGCCTCCTGGTAGTGTAGGAGCAGGGGGAGCGCCAATGACAGGAGCCAGCGCCGCAACCACAGCGACTACTTCGACACTTGCTGCATCAGCTACGCCAGTCGCATCTACTCTTTCAGGGGCGGGGGCTCCAATTGTACCACAAGCTGAAGAACTAGGATCAGCAGGTCCGCCGACTTCAGTGGAACCTCCACCTCCCTCCAACGATCTTTTCTACACCCTGCGAGAAGAATACGCCAGGGACTTCGTTCCGGGTGAAGTTCTACATTTGCCCGCCTTGCTGCACGAGGACGTGAAACTGTTACCAAACGGAGGTGTCGACCACGAAGGCTGTGACTTTGTCTGGCTGAAGGGGAAAGAAACGAAGCTGCCACCACGGGAAGAAAGTAACGAAGCTCATCCGGATGTCGGCGACGGGGAAGAAGAAAAAGCGAAATGGTCTCCGAAGGTGCTTTTGTATTTTCGCGATCGCAACTTTTCAATTTGGAATGCGCCGGGTGCAGACGATGACGACCACGATCGTCGTCACGGTTTACAAGGCATGGCGAATCAGCTGGCTTTCGACATCACCTCCAAAGGCGAGTTCGACTTCCTCGCGCCTGTGTGCGGGGAAGCGAAAAAAAATGATGAAGCTTTTGGTACCGGACAGGATGCCGAGACGATTCTGAAAGCTTTTGGCTTGTGGTCGGCAACGAGGGCAGCACCGCGCGGCGAAACACCAAGAACCGTCATCCTGGCTGCTGATGAGGGCGGCAAGAATGTGTTTCCCAATTTCCTCGGAGGCAAGAACGGTGAAGATGCACCTGAGAAGCACACGAAGAATGTCGCACAGCTTTCCTATGAAATAATGCAAAAGTATCGTACTCGTATAAATGCATCACAAATTTCATCCTTAGCATAAGAAATAAAATTTGTAATGCAGAATTTTCTTAAAGAAAAAGATTTGTAATGCATGACTGCAATACGAATGCGATACTTTTGCATAGGATATTTCTGGGCTCATTACGATTTCTGCGGTTGGTGTCGAGAAGTTGATGGGAGATGAAAGCGCTATGAAGAACATCCCAGCCCTGCACATTCAAGGCAAGCGAGATGGTGAGCGAGATCTTCGTATCACATGCAAATATGTCTTGGTCTGGAAGATTGCGAGATTTCTCATGCTATGCATTGCAAAAGTATCGTACTCGCATAAATGCATTACAACTTTCCTCAGCATGAGAAAGAAAATTTGTAATGCTAATTTACCATAACAAAAGGATTTGTAATGCATGATTGCAATTGACCCTGCGCGCCATTGATGTGTCGGAGATGGACAGAGGATCACTAATCTGGCCGATATATGATTTCGGAGAAGGAGCGCTAGGGCTGCCAGACGTAGAAGCTTGGCCAGAGATGACAAGGACTGAGCGGCAGGACTTCACTATAGGAGCACTATGCCCAGAAGAACTCAGAAAGATAGAAGAGCCCGAAGATATCAAGGAGAATAGCGACACTAGAGGAATACTGAAAGAGTGGCAAGACGAGCAGGAAAGTGAGGAAGAAGCGCATCTCGTAGAGCGGAAAAAGGTGAAGCAAGCAGACGAGGACCTGGAGAACGCTGCAAGAATGATTAAGGAGGAAGAGGAGGACGCGCAAAATAGAAATGACACGAGGAAAAATAGCATAAGAGACATAGAAAAGGGGACAGCATTGCAGTCGCTATCGCTCTCGATAGTAGAAAGAAAAGAGAAGAAGATACTACCTGGAGAGCTGCGGGACTACACTTGGGAAGGGGAGGAGGTAGATGGAACGGGCCAAGAAGACAAAGAGGAAGCAGGAGGAGTCGATAAGGTAGGGACGCAAAGGGCACAGGGTGGCGTAGGGGAGTGGAAGGAGAAAAAAACGAGGCAGAGAGTGACCGCAGAGGGAGACGGCCCAGCGAAACAGGGGGCGACAGCAAACAAGGAAAAACGGGAGGAACGGAAAGAGAGCGAAGAAGGAAGAGGGAAAAAAGAAACGAAAAAAAGTAAGCACGAAGGTAGCGCGCAAAGCAGCAGGCTCTCGACCGTCCAGTCAAAAGCCAGGGCGTCGCTAGAAAGTAAAGGCATAAGTATAGGAATAACGCGGAGCAGCGCAGGGAAAGAAGCTAAAGTCACGGGAGGAAATGAGACGTCGGCGACTCCACGAAAATCAAAACAAGCGGAAGCGAAAAGCACAAAGCAAAAGACAGAAGCAAAGGAGTTGGCCGAGCCAGTGCGAGCGGAAGTAGACCCCCTAACTTCAAAAGCGCCGCACTCATTAGAATTTTCAAAGGGAGGGCATAAAAGATACTCAAAGGAAGCCGGGGCATCGCAAGACCAGTGAGCAAGTAGCGCTGCAGGACAAAGAGGGAGAGCGAGCAACAGTGAAAACGTGAGGAGAAGGAAAAGCGCCGAAGGAGAAAGAACAGAGTCCAAAAAGAGAGAAGCAGAAGGGGAAGATACAACGCAAAGGAAAACGCAGAAAAGCAAACAGCACGGAGATAATAAACAAGAAGCAGCCGAAGAGGAGGAGACGCTGGCGCAAACGATGCAGCGGATTATCAGCGAACCCTTGCAGATGGGCGCAGGAGGGAGAGCGGGAGGACGACTACAGGCGACGCAGGATCTCTACGGTTAAACAGCTGAAAAGTCTCTAAGTCAGCTCGGGAGTCGCGTCTGAATGTTCTACAAGTTTGAGAAATGCAC